TTGCCTTTTACGTCCACCTTGTGCAACATAACAGTCAAAATCCTGAAGTCAAGAAATGAAATTTTAAATCACTGTAACATCAAAGTATCCAAATTCCACCTATTTTGAAAAAAGAGGAAAAGTTTTTCTTAAAGACTAAATGATTTGTATTTTTTATGCCCCCGCTGCAGCGTTTGAATTTGGGTGGCGTCACTTTTACCGTTCAAGAGTTATGCCCCTTTACAAATGGAAAATTGCTGTATTTTTGTCGAGCCTTCGACTTTTGTCGAAAAAGCGAGACATAGCGATCCTACATTCCGTCGTCGGCGGCGTCCACAAATATTCACTCTGTGGTTAAAGTTTTTGAAATTTTAATAACTTTCTTAAACTACCCTGGATTTCTACCAAACTTGGACAGAAGCTTGTTTATGATCATAAGATAATATTCAAAAGTAAATTTTGTAAAAAAAAAATTCCATTTTTTCCGTATTTTACATATAAATGGACTTAGTTTTTCTGCCAGGAAACATTACATTCACTCTGTGGTTAAAGTTTTTGAAATTTTAATAACTTTCTTAAACTATCCTGGATTTGTACCAAACTTGGAAAGAAGCTTGTTTGTGATCATAAGATAGTATCCAGAAGTAAATTTTGTAAAAAAAAAATTTCATTTTTTCCGTATTTTACTTATAAATGGGCTTAGTTTTTCTGCCAGGAAACATTACATTCACTCTGTGGTTAAAGTTTTTGAAATTTTAATAACTTTCTTAAACTATCCTGGATTTGTACCAAACTTGGAAAGAAGCTTGTTTGTGATCATAAGATAGTATCCAGAAGTAAATTTTGTAAAAAATTTCATTTTTTCCGTATTTTACTTATAAATGGACTTAGTTTTTCTGCCAGTTAACATTACATTCACTCTGTGGTTAAAGTTTTTAAAATTTTAACAACTTTCATAAACTATCCTGGATTTGTACCAAACTTGGACAGAAGCTTGTTTATGATTAAAAGCTAGTATCTAAAAGGAAATTTTGTTAAAATTTTGTTCCATTTTTTCCGTATTTTACTTATAAATGGACTTAGTTTTTCTTCCAGTTAACATTACATAACAGTTTAAGTTTTTATTTAAAACATTTATAAGATTCATAAACTATCCTGGATTTTTACCAAACTTGGACAGAAGCTTCTTACAATCAAAAGATAGTATAGAGAGTAATATTTTTATTAATGTTTTTCCTCATTTTTGTTGAGCCCGTGATAAACAGCAGAAGTAGGCGAGACACTGGGTTCCGCGGAACCCTTACAAATTTTTTGTTTCCGTTCTCAAACTTAAGTTTGCCTCAACCCAAATTGTTATGAAACTTATATACTATGCTTATTACCACAAAATACAGATCAAGTTTAACTTTGGATGGTGTCACTTATGCTGTTCTAGAGTTAATTGCCCCTTTATATATATGGAAAAATTCCTGAATTTTTTGTTTCGATTCTCTTTGTTGGCATCAGTTTGCCTCAACCAAACTTATACACAACGCTTATTAACAAAAAACAAGTTTGAATTTGGATGGCATCACTTTTACAGTTCTCTAGTTATGTCCCTTTATAACATTATATGCAAGCGGGGTCATCCTTTGTCCCATGGACACATTCTCCATTTATTATAATTTGCATTTATGCCTGTCTTTCAATGTAGCTAGTTATATTTAAACATGCACAAAACTGTCACATTATAAATCAACAGTTGATGTATCCAGTGAAAATAGTAAAAACAAGGCGAACGTCGCATGGGACATCCACAAAAAGTAAACTTTTAAAATATGTCCAAGGCATCCATTTCTTACAAAATGAACAGTATTAGCATGAACTATTGTCAAATTGTTCTATAAATGTAGAGAAATAAAACAAAACATTAGTTTATTGATTTTTATGGAGGTACTCCTTGTTAGGAGGATGGTTCAGACCCATTTTTTGTCGAGCCTTCGACTTTTGTCAAAAAAGCGAGACATAGCGATCCTACATTCCGTCGGCGTCGTTGTCGTCGGTGGCGTCCACAAATATTCACTCTGTGGTTAAAGTTTTTGAAATTTTAATAACTTTCTTAAACTATCCTGGATTTCTACCAAACTTGGACAGAAGCTTGTTTATGATCATAAAATTATATTCAAAAGTAAATTTTGTAAAAAAAAATTCCATTTTTTCCGTATTTTACTTATAAATGGACTTAGTTTTTCTGCCAGGAAACATTACATTCACTCTGTGGTTAAAGTTTTTCAAATTTTAATAACTTTCTTAAACTATCATGGATTTCTACCAAACTTGGAAAGAAGCTTGTTTATGATCTTAAGATAGTATCCAGAAGTAAATTTTGTAAAAAAAAAAAATCCATTTTTTCCATATTTTACTTATAAATGGACTTAGTTTTTCTGCCAGTTAACATTACATTCACTCTGTGGTTAAAGTTTTTAAAATTTTAACAACTTTCTTAAACTATCCTGGATTTGTACCACACTTGGACAGAAGCTTGTTTATGATCAAAAGCTAGTATCTAGAAGGAAATTTTGATAAAATTTTGTTCAATTTTTTCCGTATTTTACTTATAAATGGACTTAGTTTTTACTTCCAGTCAACATTACATACAGTCTGCAGTTTAAGTTTTTAAAACATTTATTAGATTCATAAATTATCCTGGATTTTTACCAAACTTGGACAGAAGCTACTTACATTCAAATGATAGTATAGAGAGGAATATTTTTATTAATTTTTTTTCTCATTTTTGTTGAGCCTGCGATTAACAGCAAAAGTAGGCGAAACACTGGGTTCCGCGGAAACCTTACGAATTTTCTAAAATTCTTATGGATTTAAATTTGTGGAACTATATAGTAAATAAGGGTTCATCTACAAAATAAACACAGAATGGAAACTTTTGTCAGGATCTTAAATAAACGAAGGTGAAAAAACTGTTGAAATACATTTTTTGTAGGTTTAATTGGAGCACCCTTACGTTAAACTGATAGCTGAATTTTGATATAATTTGTTTATATCAAGAGTATCTGAACCTGATATATGAATGGTATTATGAATAAAAGGGAAGTTAGGAAAATTATTAAAAAATATTTGGAGATACTATTTGGGTTTTATCAGTGTAGATACAGTCAAATGGCAAAATAATATTTCATCTTCTCAATACAGTTCTTAGGACCTTAAAAATCTAGAGTTACCTCCCCTTATTTAGCAAATTCATTTAGCTTTTGAATTAGTTTTTTTAGAAAATGTCGCCACCAACTGATAAAATCAATTCTGTCTTCAAAATGAAAAGCCTTTTAAATAAATTGCATTTCAGAAACAAAATTTGCTACTTTATATGAAACGAGTTTCTAGTAATTTTAATGTTATCGAAATTATTGAACCAATGCATGTATAATTCATTGGTTGCATGTCGTTTGTTTATGTGTTAAATATTTGTTTTTCGTTCATTTTTTGTACATAAATTAGGCCGTTAGTTTTCTCGTTTGAATTGTTTTACATTGTCATTTCGGGACCTTTTATAGCTGACTGTGTGATATAGGCTTTGCTCATTGTTGAAGGCCGTACAGTGACCTATAGTTGTTAATTTCTGTGTCATTTGGTCTCTTGTGGAGAGTTGTCTCATTGGCAATCATACCACATCTTCTTTTTTATATATATACTAAACTAAGCACATTTTAAAAAAATTATTACGAGTATATAAAATATTATCGATGAATAATCATTTCATTCAGTGATTGATGATCACAAGCTAATTAACTTTCGAGTTTGTTGCCGAGGTTTATCGGATAGTGACATTCAACACAGAGCACATGTGGAAAACGTGACATATAAGTGAATTGAAAAAGCCATGATATTTTTTTTATATTTCCCATACTTTCCCATTTGTTAATTAAACTTTTCCTTAACAGTTATTCAATGATTTGTTGTATTAAATGTGTTCTTTAAGAATCAGTTATTACTATTTACCTTCCAGTGCACGTTTGTTTACATTCTTTCATCATGGTTTTCCCCTCACACTTGCGCTGTGTGGTGGCCAAAGTTCTTAGGGGCGCTCTACAGTGGTTGAGGTCACTGCATATGGGAAAATATCGGCATGTTAGTGTACGAGAAGACAATAATTCAATAGCAGTACTTTTATGAAGATTTGATAATATGAAAGATTTTCTTTTACAAGAGAGTTTTCGTAAACTTGTTTTTAAAACTTAGCCATTCAAGTATATAAAACATATTCAACTTTTTTTTTTTTAATTTGAAGTTTCATATGACTTTAAGTTAAAATTCAAGGCATATTTGTGGTCATTTGTGTACAAAGATTTCAAAGGTCTCACACACTTTACTAAGTAATATTTGATAATTATTCAGTATTTAAGGGAAATAATTAAGATCTTTTGGAATTAAAATGAGAACTATTTATAATTGGCCCGAGAACACAGTTATTTCGTAGTGCATTTTGTTTGGACAATAAATGAAAATTATATTTTCACAGTGTGGTGTACTACTTTTGGGACAAATTATATCAAAATTAAAGAAAACGTCATCAGCTCTTACTCAAAATATGGACAATTTTATGTTAAAGTTATAGGGTTCTTGAATTCTTTTGGACAGCTACTAATTTTAAAACTTTTTCATTTAGACCAAATCACTACTTAATAACTTTAAAATTCATGACCCAAATTTTTTTACAGTGTAATTTCATCCCCTGTACTTGCTTTTTGAGGCATAAAACATGAAGCAATAGATTTAGAAGGGGTATGCACAAAATTGCAAGTAATACACTGTCCACACTAGAGAATATATTTGTAGACAACGAAAATCAAAGGACAATAACTGTGTTCCTAGACCAATTGACAGCAGAAAGGTCCAAGACCCAGATCCTTGTATTTTACCCGTAAAAACACATGTAAAAAGGCATCATATAATAGCTACTGAACATTAAGCAAGCAGAAGTTAATCATGTATAGGTTGTTGAACTGAATTATTTTTATTGTTGGTAGCCATGGGAATGTGACAGATAGACAATTAACATGACCAGTAATGGAAAAGGGGAGGCAACCTATTTAGTTAATGAAGACGAACTTGCCAAACCCAATGTAGAGGAGAAACTACGTAATCGTACAATTTCTGAGGGCTACAAATATAGGTCACTTGATGAAAGTGTGTCATCTAGTGAAGGATCATCGGATGGTGGTAAGCAGGCAGGCAGCTTTGTGATGTTCCAATTATCAAATAAAATCATAAAATTGATTAATTATTGAACATTTTTGATTAAGCGATTATAATTTTCAGGAATGAATATCTGTCAAAGTAAACAAATATCTATTTAATGTAAATATCTTAGAGAAACCATTTGACATTTCCCTGTAAATGTAAGGAATAGCTAAAAACCTATAAATTTCATTTTGTACCTTCAGTGACACTTCTTGGTATACAGTATTACAGTTTTGCATCTTTGTGACTTTAATACTACAAGTTATATTTTGACAAGCATGATAATTGCAGTAGGGAAAAATATGTTACTAAATTTTTTTCATATTATAATAACTAAAAACCAATTATAAATAATTACCTTTACATGACTGTATGCTTCGTAAGAAATTGTGCTTTTTGATTGGCTGTCAACAATGGAGAGGCATTACAAAATTAGACTTTATTTCCAAATGAAATGCAACATTTATGACCGAATGTGTCTCTGGTGACAACGTCATAGCAATGCATAGGAAAACAAGAGAAAGACTTTGATATAACTTATAAATTCACTGTTGTCGCATAAAAATTTAATTATAACAATTGAATGCTTCTTTTTGTAATTTTATCATGTTTATAGTGTGGTAAAAGCGTTGATCATGTGCATATTTTTAGTGTAAGCTTTTCCATGCTTCATACAGAATATGCTTGTTTGTTAAGTGAACCATGATGAATTTTTGGTTAATATAGAAGCAGACTAGTTGAACAGGGTTTTCAGTCATCTTTTTGTTACAAGTCCCATGACAATAACTAGTAAAAAGTAGATACATGTAATGACAAAACACATACTGTAAATTCAGAAATTAATGCGAGGTTTTTATTAATGCGAATAATGCGACTGAAAGAGTATCGCATTAATAAGAACTCACATTCTTATATCTGATACATATAACTGTATGTATATTTTTCTGAAATCGCAATAATTAATCCTGCATTTTAGTCCTTTCAACAAAATTATATTCGCAATAATAAATGCACGCAATAATTTCTGAATTTACAGTAACAGAATTATGATTCATCTTTACTATTAAGCACTGTTCACTATGTGTTTTGGCATTACCTACTTTTTGCAATTGAGTCAATACCCTCCAGTTTTCAATTTTGGAAAAATATAAGATTTGTTATCGCTATTTTACGAATTTTTCCTTTGATCTTGCTGACTGATAATTTCCTTTCTCAGCGGAGTCAAGTGATATGAAAACGGAGTCGAGTGATATGAAAATTATTGCTAGAAACTAAGGGAACATGTGCTGTTGTCAAGGAAATTAACAACGTCTTCATAGGTAAAATAGCGATAAACAGATGATCATTGGTTATCTCAACTCGATTGCTTTTCTCACTTTCGCTGTACCAGCTCAAGCGAGAAAATCAATCTCGTTGAGATAACCAACGATAATCTATAAATAGACAATGTGCCGTTAAATAACCAAGATAATATATGGGCATTGAACATTAATATTAAATGAAAGTTTGTCTTGTAGGTGGGTGTTCTCAATCCTTCATGTGAATGTGTGTTTGTTTGTCTTTTAGTTTGTTGTCTGTCTGCTTTGTATCATTGAATCTTCTACTCCTTTTTCTTCCTTTAGTGACAAGAAAATCTTAACATCTTTTGCAATATACAATTTTTTTTTTTTTTTTACAGAGGATTTTTTAATTGACCTGTCAAAGGATATGTTTGTTAGCACTGCTGTGCTTACATTTTCAGTATGCTTAAATTGAAGCATAGGAAAATTTTATTTGGTATAATTCTTATGTTACATTCATTGACATTTGATGGTTATACCGCATGATAGCCAAATTAAGCCAACCACATATCTCTTAATTGCAAAAGTATCCCCATGGCGGCAACTCCATTGATAAGATTTATGGGATTATCTTTCTATTACATAGATTTTTTTAAAGTTTCTTGTGTTATTTTCTTCACCTTAGGTGAAATTTGTCATTTAAAAACAACAGTGGCAGTAGTGTTAAGAGGGCAAAACGTCTGACTGGTCCATAATAATGTGTAGACCCTACAGAGTTGACAAATCTTGCATATTTTTTTTTGCATCGTAGGACTTGTACAAACAATACCTCACAACTGAGTGAAGCTTTTTCTTCAGTACTTTGGGGCCTCGGTGGCCGAGTGGTCTAAGTAGTTACTACTGTAATCACTAGCCAGTCAACACTGAGGTTGTGAGTTCGAACCCCGCTCGTGCGGGTGCACTCGACTCCAATCTTAATTGACTAGGATGGCCAGTTTTCCTATCGAAGGTCGGTGGTTTTCTCTGGGCATTCCGGCTTCCTCCACCAATAAAAACTGGCCGCCACGAAATAGCCAAAAAGCGGTGCTTAAAAGTGGCGTTAAAAACACAACAAAATCAAATCAAAATCTTCAGTACTTCTGTCAAATATTCTGCTGGATTTTTAGTGGGCAGAAGTGATCGAGCACAGGCAGGTGAAAATAGCAAGATACATCTAAGCTGCATATTGTGTAATTCTTTAAAATAACATGCCCTCTTTAATAGTCTGGAAAAAAATCTCCTAAATCAAAGTCTCATATCATATTTTAGGTGATAAAAAAATAAGAATTAGAAAAAAAAGATTTTCTGTATTATTTTTATTTATATTCGTCTCATGCAATATTACTGCACAGATTTATGATTTCTATTTTTAGATACAGTAAAACGTAAACCTGATGTATTATGGTCTCAGCGATACAACAGATTGGCATGTCTACTGGCCATTGCTGTGTTTGTTATAGCCTTCTTGGTTGGCATTGTCATATATCAACATGTGACAAAGGATGACAAAGATGTAAGAATTATGTCCCTTTGAAAGAAGTATTTCTCATGAAAATAATTTACTCTGCAGATCAGGTGGTTAGTTTTGGTAATGACTTACAAAAATGTTAAACAGTACATAAAGGGTGATTCAGTTAAAAAGTACATAGTAAAAACTTGTAATTCTGGATTTATTCACTCTAAATATCTCAATAATGTTGATTGAATTGACTTAATTTTGTCTTAAATTGACACTCCTGAGAAAAACCTTTCTCAGACGAGTATCTTGAGATGGTATATAATCACACAGTAAAACCAAAGAAATGCTTTTTATTGGTACAGAAAAGAACCCCCCAAAAATGTATATGCATTTTTATTGTCGACCCTGCGTCTTTTGTCGCAAAAGCGAGAAATAGCGATCCTTCAATCGTCGGAGTCAGTGGCGTCCACAATTATTCACTCTGTGGTTCAAGTTTTTCAAATTTTAATAAATTTCTTAAACTATCCTGGATTTCTACCAAACTTGGATCATAAGATAGTATCCAGAAGTAAATTTGAAAAAAAAATCCTGTTTATCCATATTCTACTCATAAATGGACTTAGTATTTCTTTCAGTTAATATTACATTCACTCTGTGGTTTAAAGTTTTTTTTTCAAATTTTAATAACTTTCCTAAACTATCCTGGATTTGTACCATACTTGGACAGAAGCTTGTTTATGATCATAAGATAGTATTCAAAAGTAAATTTTGTTAAAAAAAAATCCTGTTTATCTGTATTTTACTTATAAATGGACTTAGTTTTCTGCCAGTTAACATTACATTCACTCTGTGGTTAAAATTTTCAAAATTTTAATAACTTTCTAAAACTAACCTGGATTTGTACCAAACTTGGACAGAAGCTTGTCTATGATCAAAAGCTAGTATCTAGAAGGAAATTTTGTAAAAAAAAATTTCCTGTTTTTCCGTATATTACTTATAAATTTACTTAGTTTTTCTTCCAGTTAACATTACATACAGTCTGCAGTTAAAGTTTTTAAAACATTTATTAGATTCATTAACCATCCTAGATTCTTAACAAACTTGAACAGAAGCTTCTTACATTCAAAAGATAGTATCTAAAGGAAAATTTTTAATAATTATTTCCCGATTTTTTATGAGCCTGCGACTAACAGCAAAATTAGGCGAGACACTTGGTTCCGCGGAACCTTTACAAATTTTTTGATATATAATGTAACAAGGAAGGGAATTAGAATTCTTTTCTAAATTTTGCACGTCACAGCTCAAAAAGTACTGTGTATTTATATACTTTTGTGGATTGAAGAAAAATTGTATTTTCGTTGAATATGATTTCATGGTTTTGCCAAAGTGTGCATACAAGACTATAGAAAATTTGAACTATGTTGAACATATAGTTTATGGTTTACCCACGAAAGCCATGAAAATTGGTATCCAACAAATACGGATAAATCAACTTTTGTTTTCTTTTTTTTGTAGATATGTACAAAGCCTGAATGTGTACATTCTAGTTCTTACATCACAGCTCAGATGAATTTGTCTGCAGACCCATGTCAAGACTTCTACCAATATATCTGTGGTAATTGGGAGAATACAGTCACCATTCCAGACTCTCGACCAAAATACAACATATTTTCTGTAGTTTCTGATCAAAATAAAGTATACATAAGAAAGGTAAATTGTTATAAACAGGTCCTGACATAAGAGCGAAGGAGATAACTCTTGTACCGTAATAAGTCAGCGGAACTAAGAAAATAGGTATTCTTGTGGTAGCATTGTTCTCTTTGAGTGCAGGAGGTCATAGGTTTAAACTCTGGCCAGGTCAAACCAATGACTAGAATTGTTTTTTGATGCTTCTCCACTAAGCACACAGTATTAAGGAGCAAGAGCAAAGATTGGTTGGGTAGGGCGTAATGTCTTCCTGCAAACTTGTCTACCTTGTGAATAGCACATTAAAAATCCGGCTCTGGGTGTCTGTCTAGTACAAAGCAGGGTTAATATTCATATTACATTAGCATGTTCTAGTCCTAAATATGAATTTAATATGCCACTGGATGTGAAATATAGATTTCACCACAGCAACAAGTGTGTTACGATATTTCTCCACTCGAGACAGTTAAATTTTAATATTTAAAGCACGAGGCTTGCCAAGCTTATTAAATATTTAAAATTTAACTGTTGAGAGTGGAGAAATATCGTAATAGACAAGTTATAGTGGTGGAATCTGTTTCTCTAATGATTTTTTATCCTTCCTTTTCAAAGATTTGCAGAAAGTTGTGTTCTTGTGTGACGTCATCAGGCATGGTCACCTTTTTTCATGACGTCACAATAAGAAAATTCAGAAGAAAGCAAGAAAATTTGACTTCATAATTAAATTTCGACCAATCATTTGCCTAAAACATATTTCACTAGTGAGGAGAAATATTTTTCTCACACCGATCAAGAAATGTGAAAACAGCACAATAATTAGAGAAACAGCCATCCATCATCTGTCATCATCTGGATTTGTCAAATACCATTTCTTTATAATACACACTTATTGGCTTCCTGTGTAGAAATTTCTGCTTTGGTTTTTTGAATTGCAAAATTAACTCTGTTATTATGTTTTGTTTTTGAATCAAATAAAATCTGGAAAATAACAGATTTAATGAGACATAACAATTGCAACGAAAATAGAATTCAACAAATTTTGTGTGTCCAAAGCACTTTTCTTGATTTAGCTACAGGAACACTCATACCCAAAAATTTAAAAGCCAAGGATGTGTAGGGCCTTAACTCATAAAGAGCTATATACTGTGGATTCATTTATTTTCGTGGGTACCAATTTTCTTGGATTAGCGAAAACTTGCATGTTCGTGGATATTTAATTTCGTGGTTTTGATGAAGTCCACGTACAAGCCTATAGAAAATTTGTCATTCGTTGGACATTTAATTTCGTGGTTCACCTGTAACCACGAAATCCACGAAAATTGGTATCCCACGAAAATTAATGAATCCACAGTATATGACCAAAATGGACTTAAAAAGTATAGCCAAATTTATCTAAGTTTCATGCAAGTTTCTGATGTATGCCACACTTGTAACATTCAGTTCAGTAAAAGGAATATAGATATTGTTGACAAGGTTTGCTTAGATACATCAATAGATACGATTAAAACAGATAAGCCTATATGTAACACAAGTGTTTCAATATTGGAATTTTTGTCAGAATACACATATTTATTAGTTGGAAAATAACTTTTTTGCAAAAAACTTAAATAATGCACAAATACAGGACATTTGAACTGACTGGTAAATTAAGTTACATGGAAGTTTACTGGAAATTTAAGAATTTTTCTAGTGAAGAAACAACACAACAGATTCAATTTTACAATTGTTAATGTGTTATTTGCTATTTAAGAACCTGAAGCATTCTGGGTAATATTCTTGAAGCTGTCTGCCAAATTGTGATTGTATAACAACATCCTATAAGAGCAATAAAAATTCATTGAATGATGGGATATAAGATATTTTCATTTTGGGTTTGTTCAAGATTAACCCATTTAAAAATTAGCAGGTGTGGTATGATTGCCAATGAGATAACTTTCCACATGAGACCAAATGACAAAGAAGTTAGCAACTATAGGTCACTTTACTGCCTTTAACAATGAACAAAGCCCATACAACATGACAAATTTAAAACAGTACTAGTTCTTTAAGTTTTGAAACAACACTTTAGAGATGACTATATTGTATTTGAAGCTTTGCGGACGTCCATCAGTAGTTTTACTGTCACAAATTTAGTTTACCTGGCAACGCGTAGCAGAGACAGGTAAAAGGTTATTTGCGACAGTAAAACTACCGATGGACAGCCACAAAGCTTCAAATACAATACAGTTATTTCTATTCTAATGCAAAATAAAAAAAAATCATTCAATTTTAGTCATTATTATAATGTTAATCTTCAATAATTTAATTTAGGATGTAACACGTCTTCTGATTGGCTGAAAGTGTTTTGTCTATCAGCTCATAGACATAATTTTGTCATGTGACCGTAACATCAACATTTTTGTCGAGCCTTCGACTTTAGTCGAAAAAGCGAGACATAGCGATCCTACATTCCGTCGTCGTCGTTGTCGTCAGCGGCGTCCACAAATATTCACTCTGTGGTTAAAGTTTTTGAAATTTTAATAACTTTCTTAAACTATCCTGGATTTCTACCAAACTTAGACAGAAGCTTGTTTATGATCATAAGATAGTATCCAGAAGTAAATTTTGTAAAAATAAAATTCCATTTTTTCCGTATTTTACTTATAAATGGACTTAGTTTTTCTGCCGGGAAATATTACATTCACTCTGTGGTTAAAGTTTTTAAAATTTTAATAACTTTCTTAAACTATCCTGGGTTTCTACCAAACTTGGACAGAAGCTTGTTTATGATCATAAGATAGTATCCAGAAGTAAATTTTGTAAAAAAAAAAATCCATTTTTTCCTTATTTTACTTTTAAATGGACTTAGATTTTCTGCCAGGAAACAACACATTCACTCTGTGGTTAAAGTTTTTAAAATTTTAATAACTTTCTTATACTATTTTGGATTTGTACCAAACTTGGACAGAAGTTTGTTTATGATCAAATGCTAGTATCTAGAAGGAAATTTTGTTTTCTTCCAGTTAACATTACATTCAGTCTGCAGTTAAAGTTTTTAAACATTTATTAGATTCATAAACTATCCTGGATTTTTACCAAACTTGGACAGAAGCTTCTTACAATCAAAAGATAGTATCAAGAGGAATATTTTTATTGATTTACTTCCTAATTTTTGTTGAGCCTGCGATTAACAGAAAAAGTAGGCGAGACACTGGGTTCCGCGGAACCCTTACGAATTTTTATCCTGATTTACTCCTTTTTAGAATTAAATTATAAGGAATGACTGTAATATTTTTTCTGTCTATTCAAAATAACCTAAAAAGTGTGGTGCACACTTTTTATTTTATTTCTTCATTGTCAGAAAAAATATCACAGTCATTCCTTAAGTAAACAAAAATTCCGTGAAATGATGTTATCTTCTTTGGTGCCTAAACTAGGTGACGTCATAAGTATGCTTTCGGCATCAAACGTAAACACCGGGTGTTTTCTGGCTTCTTGTCCTCTTCAGAAGGTAATAAAATTTGATCAAAGAAGATTTCTAGGTGCAAAATGTGATTTTTTTTGCTTATTATTGGAGAAATTACATTTCAATACATTCCGGAATTCAAAATGTCGGCTTCCTTAGTTACAGACAGGGAGATAGAGAATTTTACGCTTATTGTCATCCAATCAGAACCATTGATACAAAATAATTGCATTAGAATTCATTATATTTATAGATTTTATATATTTGCAGATCTTACAGTCAAACTCCACAGTGATTAAAGGACAGCACTCCGAAACTGTACAGAAAATGAAGACCTATTACAAAATGTGTTTAGATATTACAAAGATAAATGAACTAGGGTCAGAACCATTAACTCAGGTTTGTAGCAAATTAACCCCTGAAATGTCCCCTGAGACATAAAATTTTTATTTTATGATGAATTTTATTTGTGTAGTTATTTTGATAAAATGAACAAAAGTTTGTTCTCCACTCTACAGCATTAAAGATTTTATTTGGTTTTACATTTTACAGATGTTTCACATGATTTTTACCAAAAGGACACACCATCACATAAAAGAAGACATCTTTATGCGTATTAAACTTCAAAGTTATTTATAGAATATCTTAATCAAAGAATGCAAATATTGAAAAATATTTATAATGATTGACTGCACAACAAATAAATTCACTATTACACGTACCACATTTTATTGAACCTATATGCTGAGAGTACCATGAGATGCGCACGCAGATCGTAGAGATCACTAGCGTATTTGGTCTAATGAGGTCAATTCATGAAATTTATCCCTCTTATGTTTATTGGAAATAATGGATATCTTACTTGTTTTTAATTGGAAATTAATTTATTTACTTTCTGTACTTTGATAGAATACAAAGTTGATTCAACATCTTGTTTCCTTAAGCCTGATAATATATATCATGTATTGAGGCTGTAATAAATTACAATGAACATGAGTAACAGATCACATACCTCTGAAATCTCATGGTACTCTCAGCATATAGGTTCAATAAAATTGTACAATTAATTGAGACTTACCTTAAGGTGGTACATAACACTACATGGAGATAACTCTGTAAAAATCAGCTGAATGTTTTAATCACATTCTATTGTTAAGGAAATATTAAGCTTCTTAATGATCAAAATTAGTGTTTGTCAAACTGCTATATATCCAATGAAATTTTTCCGATAAAGAGTGTGGTTCCAAGTTTTTTGAAATTTTTATATTTTAGTTAAAGGGTCAAAGTAAATATTTTATCAAAATTTTATGAAAATTAAACGAGCCAAATTAATTTTAGTCAAGGTGTTTGGTACCACCTTAAGTCAAAATTTGATTGTAATTTTGTTGAACCTATTTATGCTGAGAGTTAACATACCCTCTCTATCTCTCGTATTCCCACCCAGTTTCTTTTGGTGTATCATGTGCTTATGTGCTCTGTTAAATTCTCTGAAAAGTGACCTCTACGATCTGTGTGCGCATCTCATGTTAACTCAGCATGAATAGGTTCAACAAAATTACAATCAAATTTCGACTTAAGGTTAGTCTCATTAAATTATACAATTATCAGTGTTGTTGAGTGTCAGGTGGGATATTTTTCGATATTTGAGAAATCTTGGCATAGTTTTTCTGTTTCATACATTGACTTTTAGTGTCAAAAAAGTAGAATATGCAAGGAACTATTATCTTTTTCTATGTTATCTCATTTTGTTTCAATGCAAAATGTCATTGACAACAACTATTGTGAAATTACAGAATTTTGTTTTCATATTTGAAATTATCAGTTTTTAATTGATTGGGAAATTATGGTATTTCATTGCAATAATTTTCTCAAAAATTTCTTGTAACATTTTTTCTGAAAATTTAAAACATTTTATGATATTTTATATTACAGTTTATCAAAACGATAGGTTCCTGGACTGTCACTGATACAGGGTTTGATGAAAGTAAATGGAAACTGGAAGATGTTTTGGCAAAAATCAACATCAACAATTTTGCTCCTTTATTTGATGTCGGCATTACTATTGATGATAAAAATAGCTCACAGTATGTTCTAAGTGTAAGTTTTTTTCCCTTGAGCACAACTTCTCTGCATATTGACATATATCAACAGTTTAAGAAATGTAGGTACTGTACACATAGGCAGTCTAGAATAGGGGGTAAAATAGAGGCGGAGGATATTAAAGGGACAGGCAAAACTCATAATGTGAAAAGACCAACAACTGTCTACGAAACACTACTGTGGATTCATTTATTTTCGTGGGTACCAAATTTCGTGAATTAAGGAAAACTTGCATGTTCGTGGATATTTAATTTCGTGGTTTTCGACAATGTCTGCATACAAGCCTATAGTAAATTTGCCATTCGTTGAACTTTTAATTTCGTGGTTAACACATAACCACGAAATCCACGAAAATTGGTATCCAACGAATAATAATGAATCCACAGTATATGAAAAACTAAAGTCTAATCATCATGAACCACACAAAAAAAAAAACAAGACTGAGAATTAGATTTTGCTCCGTGTTAAAAGCCCCACTTTCATTTTGAAATGGAGAAAGGCAAAAAAAGTCTGTTACATTGTTTTTGGTTATTTTGTCTAGTACTTGTAGTCTTTACATTACTTATTTAGAAATAAGCTCTCATTCATTAACAAGCCCAGCTGTCCAATTATTTTTTGGATTTGGCTGAACTAGCATTCAAAATGAAAAACTTTTCTATATTTTAACTCCTTGTTAAACATCATAGAAATATATAAGATAATATTGTTTTACATATTATGGTATACCGTTGTCCGTCCGTTTGTCTGTCTGTCATCAGCATGTCAGACAGTAACTCAAAAAGGCTTTAACCTATTTGGATGAAACTTTGATGAATTGTTTATATCTATTGAAGTGAGCTCCCTTTCGATTTTTATAAATTTTAGATTTTACGTTTCCAGGTTATGGGATTTTATTCATAAAAAGGGGGATTTTCCAGTGTTTGGACAAACTAAAAAGTGCTTTGAGCTGTTTTCATGAAACTTTGGTGACTGGTTTATATCTATTTTAGTTTTTTAATAAATTTCTGATATGACATTGAGTAGTTATGCAACTTTATTCTTTGAAAAAGCGACAGGTGTATCATGTGCTCATGGCACAGCTCTTTATTTTTGTTTAACCTTCTGAACACTTTTTATCAACTTTCAAAGGATTTCTATGAAATTTATTCAGAGGTTTTTGCCTGATCAATTTATTTATAACATTTTTTAAATCAATTTCAGTTTACTCAGCCTGATCTCACATTAAAAAATGAGGAAGAATATAACACAACTTACTCCAGTTATGAAGATCTACGTAATGCCATGCTAGACTTCGGTGCAACACTCGGCCAATATCTCGGTGGTGATTACAATAAAACACGACAAAAGATGGAGGAAATTTATAACTTTGAGAAACAGTTATCAGAAGTATGTTGAATCCTGTTGACATGTCTTGAGAATGATTTTATTGTAGTATTTTCCTACAGCTTCAGCCATTCTCCTTCACTGTGGAGTTGCAATTATTTGTGGGAATCGATATTAGTGGGATAAATGGAAACTGCTTTTTTTCATCAATCCACTAATAATCATAATTGGTTACCAAGAAAAAGGTTTTATGGTACCTACCCCAGCCAATTTTCTTCAATAACCACTAGGGTAAAAAAGATTTCAAGAAACCTTCCCTGAAAAATAGTCCAAATTGGAAGCAGTGTTTCATTAAATCATACCAGGAAGGAAAATTTATTTCTGAATTGGTATCATAATGTTTTAGTTACAAAGTTACTAATGATTGCTGATATGAAACAGTTGTAGCCAGTAAAAGAGGATAAAGTCCTTATTATTTTCATGATATTTGTTGGTAGCCAGATATACAAATTTGCAGGAAATCATATGCTTTACAAAATGGCAGCCTCCATCATCAGGGTAAAGTGCAAGTGCAAATGTAAAAAAAAATTAACAATTTTGGATTCACAAGTATATTAATTTTTCTCTTTTGTGATTTTCTTACTCTTATTGGAGACTTTTTACTCATACAAATTTTATATAAGGTTTTGACATCATTTTTCGCTAAAAGGACAGAAAGTGACAAATTTGATTGGAGAAAAAGTCACAAGTAGTTTGTTTGTAGTTGTTTAGATATATAAGAGAAGTTTTTGAAATAATTTCTTTATATCACATATATTTATTTTACAGTTAAGAAAATTGTTCATAAAACTTGATAAAAGAAGATTTATCAAATTTTACTCATGCAAAGGATATATTTCTTGGCACTATGAGGCCATTAAAGTATCAAGCCACTTTGACACATTGTTTTTTGTCGAGCCTGCGACTTTTGTTGCAGAAAGCTCGACATAGGGATAGTGATCCGGCGGCGTTAGCTAACTTCTTAAAAGCTTTATATTTTAGAAGGTGGAAGACCTGGATGCTTCATACTTTGTATATAGATGCCTTATGTTACGAAGTTTCTGTCTGTCACATGACCATTGTCCTTGACCTCATTTTCATGGTTCAGTGACTACTTGAAAAAAAAGTTAAGATTTTTTGTAATGTTAATTTCTCTCTTATTATGAGTAATAGGATAACTATATTTGGTATATGCCTACCTTGCAAGGTCCTCATGCTCGTCAGACAGTTTTCACTTGACTTTGACCTCGTTTCATGGATCAGTGAACAAGGTTAAATTTTGGTGGTCAAGTCCATATCTCAGATACTATAAGCAATAGGTCCACTATATTTGGTGTATGGAATGATTGTAAGGTGTACATGTCCAACTGGTAGGTGTCATCTGACCTTGACCTCATTTCAGAGGTTCAAAGGTTAATTTGATTTTGATTCCACCTTTATTTTTATACTTTATTTAAATTTTTTTTTTTTAAAGCAATGTTAATGATTTCAGATATTTGTACCAAAAGAAATTTTACGACAGCCAGACCTGTCATACCACAAAATGACACTAAAAGAATTACAGGGAATTATGGGTAATTGGGTAAGTAAATTGTCTGTTTTAAAACTTGAGTCACAGTTACTATTAAGGCATATCCAATATAAAAATAAGATGTGGTATGATTGCCAATGAGACAACTACCCACCAAAGTTCAAATGAAGTTGATGTAAGTAATTATAGGCAACCATAAAGCTTTCAATGAAAAAAACCGATACCATATAGTCAGCTATAAAAGGCCCCAACATGATAAATATAAAACAATTCAATTGAGATAACTAATGGTCAAATTTCTAACAAAACAATTTACGAAAAAAAAAAAAATATGACAGGCATGAACCAACGACAACCACTGAAATACAGGCTTCTGACATTGGGACAGGCACATAAAGAATTTGGCACTCACCCGGGTTAAACATGTTAGATGGCGCCAAACCCTCCCCTAACATGGGACAAAATTCATGTAAAGCTCCTTGGATTTTTCTGCATCAGTAATTAGAAAATAAAGTTTTTAATAAAAAATGATTTCTTCACATTATGTAAGCAAAATTGTGGAATACAAGAATTTCAGATTGATTATGGTCAGTACATACAGATGTTAATTCTGATTGGTCTATTTCAGATTGACATGAGTGAGTATTTACAGAACTTTCTGGGATATAAATTACCAGAAGATACTGATGTGTTAGTGTACACTCCAGACTACCTCACCAAACTAGCACCAATAATGCAGAAAACATTGTCCAATAAACCGTAAGTATTATTTCATTATTGAACTAGCTAGGCTCATCAGTGATTCATTGTAGCACACCTCATGAGATATTTTTTGTGATTTTCACCTGCCTATTGTAGGCAACACACTCAAATCTATGAAAAAATTTCCTTGGATGCATAACTTTCCAAGGTATTGTATGTGTCCTGTAAATTACCAACATAAAGCTTACTGTTGTGGGTAAAGTAAACCAGCACCCTGAGGTTGTCGATGTGTGGTAAGGTAAAGTGAACCAGCACCCTGAGGTTGTCTTTGTGTGGTAGGGTAAAGTGAACCAGCACCCTGAGGTTGTCTTTGTGTGGTAGGGTAAAGTGAACCAGCACCCTGAGGTTGTCTTTGTGTGGTGGGGTAAAGTGAACCAGCACCCTGAGGTTGTCTACGTGTGGTAGGGTAAATTGAACCAGCACCCCGAGGTTGTCGACGTGTGTTAGGGTAAAAGTGAACCAGCACCCTGAGGTTGTCGACCTGTGGTAGGGTAAAGTGAACCAGCACCCTGAGGTTGTCAACGTGTGATAGGATAAAGGGAACCAGCACCCTGAGGTTGTCAACGTGTGGTAGGGTAAATTGAACCAGCACCCTGAGGTTGTCGACGTGTGGTAGGGTAAAGTGAACCAGCACTCTGAGGTTGTCGACGCCTGGTAGGGTAAAGTGAACCAGCACCCTGAGGTTGTCAACATGTGGTAGGGTTAAGTTGGGATGGGTAACTAGTTGTCTTTCTACATGTATATACAATTATAGAAATAAAAGACAACACCACCCATGTTATGCCGCATGAATAAAGATTTATTTGTCTACATGTTTCACTACATGAGTGGCTTCATCATGCGGTATAATATTGGTGTTATTGTCTCTGATTTCTATTAAACTTTCATATTTATAACATTTCACCAGATCATTTTGGTTCAAATTAAAAAAAATAGGCTTCCTATGGTTGAAAAGAATAATTTGAAAATGAATAGTTTTCCCACATCTTTTTCTGTTATTATACCCCCGCTTTAAAAAAGGGGGGGTATACTGTGTTTTTTATACCCCAGCTTTAAAAAAGGGGGGTATACTGTTTTATTATACCCTAGCTTTAACAAAGGGGGGGTATAATGTTTTACCTCTGTCTGTCCTTCTGTCAGTCCATCCGTCAATCCGTCCGTCCCATGAATATTTTTCGTCGCATTTTTCTCAGGAACTACTTGACAAGGATTTCTGAAATTTGGTTTCAGGGTTTATATAAGTAAGTTACACCGTGTGATGCGTTTTCAGATTCATCACTCAACAACTTCCTGTTTACCGAAATATTTCAGCGGGGATATCATCAGTGAGCAGTAGCTCACAGTTTTACTTGTGAAAGAGCTGCAATTGATAACAAGAAAGCTTAGGTGTTTGAGGAGATGTTTCTGTGAAGGGAAAGTTTTATTCCTATAGTTCTTTGCTATGCTCTATGATATGAAAGATTTATTGTACCCATCAAATAATAACTTTGAACGGAGTAAAATTTGCCACCTTTTTGTTAATAGGCTGTTGGCAAATTACATGGTATGGACTGCTGTCCAGTATTTTATGGGATTTCTTCCACTGAAGTACTCCAAAGCAGCATTGATTCTAGAAAAGGTTGAGAGTGGTGTAAAGGAATTAGATCCTGTGACACAGAGATGTGTAGATAAAACTAATGCTGTGTTTGGATTTGCTACTGGAGCTATGTATGTGGAACAACATTTTTCAGAGTCCAGTAAGAGTGAGGTGAGTATGATTGATTGAATTCATGCTGTTAATATTTTATACATGTTCAGGACAAGCTTTGATGTTTTGTTTGTTTATTTTGCTCTTCAACTATATATAAATTTCCAATTATTTGCGTTTAGCATCGAAAGATATATTTGGTTATTTTGCTCTTCATCTATATATAAATTTCCAAATATTTTGGTTTAGCATCAAAAGAAATATTTATAAAATGTCAAAAAAAATCAGGTGCAGAAAAATTGGTACCTTTTAAGTTATTTTGTTTTTTCTTGAATATTTGATTTTATGATGTCAATGTGTGCATACAAGCCATTAGAAATTTTGCACTTTGTTAAACTTTTCAATTTGATGTTTACCTATACCAATGAAATCCACCAACAGTGGTATCCAATAAATAATCCACCAACATTGTTATCCAATAAATAATCCACCCACATTGTTATCCAATAAATAATCAACCAACAGTGGTATCCAATAAATAATCCACCAACATTGTTATCCAATAAATAATCAACCAACAGTGGTATCCAATAAATAATCCACCAACATTGTTATCCAATAAATAATCCACCCACATTGTTATCCAATAAATAATCAACCAACAGTGGTATCCAATAAATAATCCACCAACATTGTTATCCAATAAATAATCAACCAACAGTGGTATCCAATAAATAATCCATCAACATTGGTATCCAATAAATAATCAACCAACATTGTTATCCAATAAATAATCAACCAACATTGTTATCCAATAAATAATCAACCAACATTGTTATCCAATAAATAATCCACCAACATTGTTATCCAATAAATAATCAACCAACAGTGGTATCCAATAAATAATCCATCAACATTGTTATCCAATAAATAATCAACCAACAGTGGTATCCAATAAATAATCCACCGACATTGGTATCTAATAAACAATCCACCAACAGTGGTATCCAATAAATAATCCACTGACATTTGTATCCAATAAATAATCAACCAACATTGGTATCCAATAAATAATCCACCAACATTGGTATCCAATAAATAATCCACCAACATTGGTATCCAATAAATAATCCACCGACATTGGTATCCAATAAATAATAATGAATCCACAGTATACAAGTTAGAATTTGTCAGAACCACAAATTCAAGTATCCGCAAAAATTATTTCTTTTGGTCAATTTATTATACCCACAAAAATAGATGAGTCTACATAATAAAATATAATTTTGACTTGAGCTATAAAACCAGGTTTAACCTACTATTTTCCCCTGTACAGACGATTCCGGTTATTTGCATAGCTTATTTGTCGGACAAAATTATGCAATTATGCAGAGTATGCTTATATGCCAAAGTACGGAGTCAATAACATCGATAGCAAAGATCAGTAAAGGAAATCCCTGAAGAAAGATGAACGGCAGTAATCCACTTGCAATGTATTGAATGATGATTTATTCTAATAAAAGTTATATGTCTGATGTCATTCATGCTATAATTGTCTTTTAATTCTTTCAGTAAATTTTATAATAGATATAAGAAGATGTGGTATGAGTGCCAATGAGACAACTCTCCATCCAAGTCAAAATTTATAATAGTAAACCATTATAGGTCAAAGTACGGTCTTCAACACATTTTGTTTAATTTGTTTGCGTACCAATGTTTCCTTTACCTGGGATATAAAAATAGAATCAATTGTTCTAAAAATAGATTTGTTTCTATGACCTGTATGGACAATGTACATTATTACGCTTTGGTTAAAATTAACTGTTTAATAATGCTACACAGTTTATGATCTTTTTTAACAATAAATTTGTAATGAAATGCCTTTGATATGCAGTATTTACCGCTTGCACAGTGATGTAACTCTGTTTCTTTAACCTTGTTAGTTACGTATATGCAAGCAGTAAGGGGCCCTTTACGGGTTATTTGCTTGAAACGAGTGTTGAACGTGAGAAAATATAATAATTAGAAGTAAATGATCTTTTCAAAAATTACAAAAAACAAATGTTTGATGTATAAAATTCTTCAACCATATATAAATGCCCTGTAAAGTTTATCATGAATGCAAATCACCCCAAGCCGAATTACGAGCGTACACATCAGATGGTCTTTCCAGAGACATATATATATGTCTCTGGTCTTTCAAAGTGAATTAGTCGTCATTGTTTTTAAAATTCACCCCAAATGTGATCCATGGACAATGTTTGAAATCCAATCAATAATTAACACCTTTTGGGAGAGAATGGTCGTGTTTTTACAACAATTACCTGTTTGACATTTCTTTACCTTAGGCTTAAAATAGAACAAGGGAGACTTTACCTGTATACACATCGAGTGTTATTTATCAATATCCCATCATATAAACACGGAAGAAACAGTTTTAAAACTTTATATAAACAACACAGAAGTGAATATGAAATAATAACGAAAATAATAATGTGTTCAAAAATCTCGTCAGTTTAAACTAAGCATATCTAACTGGCGATTATTTTTCTATGCAATTAACGGATAGGCCACTTGTTAGACTATGCTAATAACCGGATAATTTAACATTAGATGAATGGGAAATGGTTTTGTGTAGGAGAAAATTATGCAATTAAGTGGTATGCAATTAAGTGGAGTCGACTACCATAAAGTCAGGAATATGACAGTTGATTTTCACTCATCCTGTTGGTTAATAACGTTTGATTTTTTCGGTTTAAATGGACTTCCCCTTTTTGAATTTACCTTGGAGCTCGGTATTTTTGTTATACTTTTTTGTCTAAAATAATCACATATTGATGGCTATTATTGGTGTATTTAGGTCAAGGATATACTACATAGAGTTCTTACAGCGTTTTATGACAGTATGCCTGAAGTTGATTGGATGGACAAAGTGACGCGAGAAAAAGCTCAAGCCAAGTTAAAATATATCACACCAATGATTGGATACCCAGACTGGATCCTTAACGTCACAGCGCTGGATAAGTATTACGAAAACGTAAGATAAATATGCAGATTTAATTTGAAATATGAAATATGTGTAAATATGTATGAACAGTATACCTCAATGAAATAGCAACCCATCAATAAAACCAAAAGATCTTCCTGAGATCAACGTCATGGGTGTGGTTCTTGTACAGTGAAAGTATAAGAGGAATTTGAAAATTGTTGATGGTTTCCCCATTTTCAAAGTACCTTCCCTGGGCGCCATGTATGTTTTAATCAAACAGCCTATAGTAATACTAACAAAGCTAAGTATCTGTAGTCAATATCCCTAATTGTTTTCACAGTTTATTATTCTATGTTTTCTATATTGGTAAAACTTATTTTTATTAAAATGCAAAACCCAAGTACTTTGAGAGTTAAGTATTTTACTGTATGCGATTTGATCTGAAATAAAATTAAAAGATTTTTAGGGAAAAGACTATTAATTGTATAGTTTGGTCTCAAAATAACATAGCTGGTTTTATTTCCTCTACTCTTTTTTTTAAGCCAATCATAGTTATATTATATTTCACAAAACCATTCAAGGGACTGAACTCTAAAAAAATCATAAGACAATATTGTATCCAACGTAACATCATTTTAATTTACAGATAACAATTGTTGAAGACAGATTCTTTGACACATATGTGTCACGTAGAAAAGTTGAGGTAGATAGGGTGCTGAGAAAACTGAACAAGGTCCCAGATAGATCTGAGTAAGTCTGTAGTAGTCTATTTAAAGGATATTTTAGGAGATTCCTAGCAAGTAAGGGAAATCACTTTCTTCAGATTCAGTAGAACGTTTTAACAGCATTTAAAAAAAGCATCTTATTAACAATGATTAAAATTTTAAAGAAGGACGACAGACTAACACGTTTAAAAGAAGATGACACCAATCTTGAGTTGTCTAATACTTTTCCAATAATAATGAAAGTGTCTCAACAGAAAATAATTTAGTCACAGACTAAAAATAATTGTTTGCAAACATCATTAGCATGATAAGGTCATTGGCACAAAAAGGAGGTCAGTCGGATAAAAAAAACTAAACACAAAATTATTGTATTCGTGTGGAAAGTAATGGCTTAATGTAAATAAAAGATGCAATAAAAATTATTTCATTGAAAGCTGTATGAAACAAATTTGTATGAAGAATAATTTTTTGATATGTTTTTATACGGCCGCAAAAAAATTTTGCGGTTGTATATTGGTATGACGTCGTCGTTGTCCAAAGACACATTGGTTTTCACACTCTAACTTTAGTTTAAGTGAACGGATCTCTATGAAATTTTACCATAAGGTTCAATACCACAAAAGGAAGGTTGGGATTGATTTTGGGGGTTATGGTACCAACAGTTAAGGAATTAGGGGCCAAAAATAATCATTTTTGTAACTTCCAGACATAACTTGTGTGTTAGTGTATGGATCTCTCTGACATTGTACCACAAGGTTCCATATCACAAAGGGAATGCTGGGATTGATTTTTGGGGTAATTGCCTCAAAATTTTAGGAATTAGGGGCCAAAAAAGGGGCAAAAAACAAGCATTTTTCTAGATTCATGATAATAACTTGTGTGTAAGTGTATGGATCTTTCTGAAATTGTACTACAAGGTTCCATATCACAAAGGGAAAGCTGGAATTGGGTTTGGGTGTAACTGCCCAAAACGTTTGGGAATAAGGGGCCAAAAATAAGCATTCTTCTAGTTTCCAGACAATAACTTGTGTTCAAGTGTATGGATCTCTCTGAAATTGTACTGCAACCTACCATTCCACAAAGGAAAGGCTGGGATTGAAAAGGGACAAAAAACAAGCATTTTTATATGGACAAATACTTAAGTACAAAACATAATTTAAAGCAGTGTAAGGGAGATAAATCAAATACATCATTTGTATTACCTCCCTTACACTGCTTTTAAATCATGTATTAAGTAATGGTTAATGAACAATTAAGACAATTTAAAACAGTGTAAGGGAGGTAATCCACATACAATGTTTTGATTACTTCCCTTACACTGCTTTTAAATTATGTTTAAAGAAATGCATATTTATAAAGGAAGACCAGTAAAACTATCTGCAAATGTTGCATCTTTTTTTTTTTACAAAAAAATCCATATGAAAGATTTGACACCATATTTTAAATTCTATTATAAAATAGATTAAGTTAGCACTATAGTAAATTTAAATGGGTAATTTTGGTTGCAAATTCCATTGGAAATTTGAATTGAGATTATGACCATATCTTGAGGGAAAGAATGTTTTGGGGGAAAAAGGGGAGGGGGGGGGTAAAAGAAATTGTGGGGGGTCAATTTTTTCTCATTTAATATTTCAGAAATTAGAAAGAATTATTCTTCAAATATTTTTTTTTTTTCATTACATTAGATTTGTACAATCTTTGACCACATTTATTTATTTGTTATGCCAAATCTGACTGGTATTTAGATTTTTTAATTTTGGGTCCAGTTTTCAAATTGGTCTACATTAAGGTCCAAAGGGTCCAAAATTAAACTTAGTTTGATTTTAACAAAAATTGAATATATGGGGTTCCTTGATATGCTGAATCTAAACATGTATTTAGATTTTTGATTTCGGGCCCAGTTTTCAAATTGGTCCAAATTGGGGTCCAAAATTAAAGTTTGTTTGATTTCAACAAAAATTGAATATATGGGATTCTTTGATATGCTGAATCTAACCATGTATTTAGATTTTTTATTTGTGGGCCCGGCTATCAAATTGGTTCATATTAAGGTCCAAAGGGTCCAAAATTAAACTTAGTTTGATTTTAACAAAAATTAAAATTGAGAATGGAAATGGGGAATGTGTCAAAGAGACAACAACCCGACCATAGAACAGACAACAGCAGAAGGTCACCAACAGGTCTTCAATGTAGTGAGAAATTCCCGCACCCGGAGGCGTCCTTCAGCTGGCCCCTAAACAAATATATATACTGGTTCAGTGATAATGAACGCCATACTAAACTTCAAATTGTACACAAGAAACTAAAATTAAAAATAATACAAGACTAACAAAGGCTAGAGGCTCCTGACTTGGGACAGGCGCAAAAATGCGGCGGGGTTAAACATGTTTATGAGATCTCAACCCTCCCCCTATACCTCTAGCCAATGTAGAAAAGAATGGGGTTCTTTGATATGCTGAATCTAAACATGTATTTAGATTTTTGATTTTGGGCCCAGTTTTCAAGTTGGTCCAAATTGGAGTCCAAAATTAAACTTTGTTTGATTTCAACAAAAATTGAATATATGGGGTTCTTTGATATGCTGAATCTAACCATGTATTTAGATTTTTTATTTTTGGGCCCCGCTATCAAATTGGTTCATATTGAGGTCAAAAGGGTCCAAATTTAAATTTTGTTTTATTTCATCAAAAATTGAATATTGGGGTACTTTGATATACCAAATCTAACCGTGTATTTAGATTTTTAATTTTGAGTCCTGTTTTTTAAATTGGTCTACATTAAGGTCCAAAGGGTCCAAAATTAAACTTAGTTTGATTTTAACAAAAATTGAATTCTTGGGGTTCTTTGATATGCTGAATCTAAACATGTGTTTAGATTTTTGATTATGGGCCCAGTTTTCAAGTTGGTCCAAGTTGGGGTCCAAAATTAAACTTTGTTTGATTTCAACAAAAATTGAATATATGGGGTTCTTTGATATGCTGAATATAACCATGTATTATGATTTTTGGGCCTCGTTATCAAATTGGGCCACATTGAGGTCAAAAGGGTCCAAAATTAAACTTTGTTTGAATTCATCAAAAATTGAATTCTTTGGATTCTTTGATATGCTGAATCTAACCATGTATTTAGATTTTGGATATTGGACCATAATAGGTAAACTAAAAAATTTTAAGTTCTTAGACCACATTCATTCTGTGTCAGAATCCTATGCTGTGTCAAATATTTAATCACAATCCAAATTCAGAGCTGTATCAAGCTTGAATGTTGTGTCCATACTTGCCCCAACTGTTCAGGGTTCGACCTCTGCGGTCGTATCAAGCTGCGCCCAGCAGAGCATTTTATTGTAACTTCCAGACATAACTTGTGTGTTAGTGTATGGATCTCTCTGACATTATACCACATTGAGTTTCCATATCACAAAGGGAATGCTGGGATTGATTTTGGGGGTAATTGCCTCAAAATTTTAGGAATTAGGGGCCAAAAAAGGGGCAAAAAACAAGCATTTTTCTAGATTCATGATAATAACTTGTGTGTAAGTGTATGGATCTTTCTGAAATTGTACTACAAGGTTCCATATCACAAAGGGAAAGCTGGAATTGGGTTTGGGTGTAACTGCCCAAAACGTTTAGGAATAAGGGGCCAAAAATAAGCATTCTTCTAGTTTCCAGACAATAACTTGTGTTCAAGTGTATGGATCTCTCTGAAATTGTACTGCAAGGTACAATACCACAAAGGGAAGGTTGGGATTGAGTTTGGGGGTGATGAATCATAAGGGGGTTCAAAAAATTTGGGGGAGGGAATATTTTTTCCTTTTTTTCCTTTTTTTTCTTTAAAATTTTCCATTTTAAATTGGTTATTTCTGATTTATATATAAAAGCAAATAATAATGATATGGTTTGAAAAGGTAAATTAAATTTTTTTAAGTTCTTAGACCACATTCATTCTGTGTCAGAAACCTATGCTGTGTCAAATATTTAATCACAATCCAAATTCAGTGCTGTATCAAGCTTGAATGTTGTGTCCATACTTGCCCCAACTGTTCAGGGTTCGACCTCTGCGGTTGTATCAAGCTGCGCCCAGCGGAGCATTTTATTAAAAAGATAATATCAGAAACTGGTTTTCGTTATATACTTAAAGGGGACATAACTCTAATGTGAAATACTGATTTTTGACATATTTTTTTTTTCAGATGGGATATGATGCCATACACTGTCAATGCCTACTACACACCACAACTGAACAAAATTGTTTTTCCTGCTGGTATTCTACAGAGACCATTTTATGATCCAGACTTTCCTTTGTAAGTTTTTTATAGATTATTGATGGTTTGTTTAACAACCGGGCAAGCATCGAAGACGATGCCCTTAGATGAGATGAAGCCGAGAAATATACCAGAGTATGAAAGATCATTGATAATCTGTTTATTGCTGTTTTCCTAGTCCACGTCAATGATGTAGGATTATGACGTCATCATGTTCTCTCTCTACTCGGCTGAAGAAAAAAAAACATTCTCACGTCTGCTAGTATGATATGAAAAACTATCACAAAAGATCAAATAAAATTTAAGAAAATAGGAATAATACAAAATACATAAAGTTAGAGGCAACAATAGTTATTCATCAAGAAGTTACAAATCGAGGCAAAAAACAGAAACTGAATGGCATGAACCCCAAAACTGGAGAGATTGGGTGTGTCAACAGGTAAAGACTCTCTTGCTATGCAAGCATCAACAGTCATGCAAATCCATACTCAGTCACAATGGGTAAAATTATGGATCAGACAACTATTGTGGTATCTAATTTAACCTGATTAAAGATAGTAGAAATTGACAAAACTTTACTGGAAGAGGTACTACATATTACTGGTTTCCTCCTTTAAAAGGGAAAAACTATGAAACAGATGTACAGTTACACTTGACTAAAAATCATTAAAATGTTTTAAATATTATTTGCAGATCTTATTCCTTTGGGTCTATTGGAGCTGTAATGGGACATGAAATGACACATGGATTTGATGATCAAGGTAATTCTATTGGTTGATTGTTGATTGGGGGAGGGGCCATATATTGATGATCAAGGTAATTCTATTGGTTGATTGTTGATTGGGGGAGGGGCCATATATTGATGATCAAGGTAATTCTATTGGTTGATTGTTGATTGGGGGAGGGGCCATATATTGATGATCAAGGTAATTCTATTGGTTGATTGTTGATTGGGGGAGGGGCCATATATTGATGATCAAGGTAATTCTATTGGTTGATTGTTGATTGGGGGAAGGGCCATTTATTGATGATCAAGGTAATTCTATTGGTTGATTGTTGATTTGGGGAGGGCCACATATGGATGATCAAGATAATTATACCTGATACTATGATGTGATAGGATCTTTATGAGTTGCCCATGTATGTCATTCTGTCATTCCGTACTTCTGAAATGAAACAGTTGTCAAGACATTTTATTCGTAATGCCTGAGATTTTTTAATTATTCTAAAAGGGAGCATAAAATGGAGCCTAAAGGTCTTTATAAGATTTAGCAATTCTGAAAAGTTAATGTTTTGTGCATATTAGCTTTAATATGAAATATTGTATTTCTGTACAGAACAAAACATGTATTTAATTGTTAGAAATATATTCCATAAGTTTAAGAGAAAAATTATATAAAACTGAAATGGAAGTTACCAACTACCAGCTTATAGAAGTTACCATCATCCTTAGTTAGAAATGGTAGGTCTTTCATTTCATCGTGTCTGGTAATTCTAGAAATCTCTAGATAACTTTTGGTTAGAATGATAGCAAATTATGGAGTAAGCTCCCCTTAATTGTGAATTTCTTGTGCATTTCAACCAAATTATATCTTGAATTATCAAAACAGGAAAAGGAAACAAATGTTAAATTCGTGCACCATTGTACATTTTGAACATAAATTAATATCAACTTGTGTGGGTTTTTGTTATGTTTTCACCACTGTCTGATTCTTAGGCAGACTGGCACTTAAAGACCAAACAGCCTATTCAGTTCTACCAGTGATTTTTCCTTAAAATTTTGTGTGAAGGTATTTCATGATGTGAGGAACAAAATGTGATAAAAAAAATTGGGGGTCACCGACTTAGTTTTGTCACTGTAGCAACCTCAGTTTCGTGTTTTCCCGAATATTAGCATGATATTTGCTTGTTATTTAAACTCTCAAAAAATCCCATTATATCAAACCTACAAGCATAATTCTTGTTTCATGTTAAACAGTAGATTTGTGACTATCAAATACAGGTTCAAGAGTTTAAGACTCTTATTGTTTTGATCTTAAAAAATATGATTTATTTCATTCCCGCCAAAAATAAAACGCAAGAATGAAAAACGTTTCAAGTATTAAAAAATATCTACCAGTGATTTTTTCATAAAAATTTCAAGAAAGAAAGTGCCATATGTACTCTTCAAAATAAAGCAAAAAAATGTATATGTCACCGACCTTTCAAAAAAGTTGTGATTAATTTTCATGTTTTTTTCTCGTTCGTTTTGAAGAAAAGAGTTGTCTTTCTTCAGAACATTGAATCTGACGTCATAGTACAAGTTTTCCTTGCTGGCGCACTGTTTGAAAAAAAATGCAAATTGGACTTTTGAAACCCACATTCAAATTTTCAAGAATCAAGAATAACAACTATATTTACCTACTTTATTATCCGGTAATACAAGAGATCACATGTATGTATCAGTATCAGATCTCATGATGTTGTTGCCGCACAAATTTAACCTTCTGAAACACCATCCGTCGGAATGAAAAATTGTTCGAAATAACCTTTTACAACGCTTTAGAAAGGAAAGTCTGTTTTTGTCCTCTCCCTCTCATTAGCAAAATCATTGAAAATAAAAAGAGAAATGAAAGATGACACTGGCTAACTTACAGACTATTTGACTATATTAGACTAGATGTGTGGGTTTTTTTGTCGCGTCAATTTCAGAACTTCGCCCTAGCGCACTCTTTCGCTACTGTTGACAGACGGACGGACATTAGCACGGACGGACTTCTTCATACCATTATGTGTCCTGACTAAGACGAGCGTATACAAATTATTCCATCAAGTTTGTGGATTCATTATTTCTGAATATTTAAAATATAAGAAAATTAAAATTATAGCTATAATATATGAATTAATTTTTTTGATTCTAAAACGTTTTACATCCATTTAACCTATCATAAAATACGATCCCCGTTATTACTTCCTCACGTGTTTTAAATAAACGAGACAGTAAATATAAAATACAAATAAGTTTTTAATTCAAAAATTGATTTAAAATCTAAAAAATAATTTTCCGTTGAAAACTATAAAGTATATTTCTTAAAACAGGATGAAATATTATGAATCTAAATAGCTCATTTTGGAAATTAAAACAAAGACAAGGTTGTATGTATAGATTGCAGGCATTGAAAATCGAAATTTGTTTTCAATCTTTCCGGTCATTGTAGCTTTTTGAAAGTGAGAAATTTTATGTTGGATCTTATTCTTGAAGCAATTGTTTTTGTCATAAGTTAAATTTACAACAATTAGATATAAGAAGATGTGGTATGAGTGCCAATGAGACAACTCTCCATCCAAGTTTAGTTTTAAAAACCGTAAATTTTTATTTTAATTTACATCCACTGAGTATATTAATTTCTTATATTTTTTGCCTTAAGCTTCTGTGAGATCAGGCGAAATCTTTATCATTTCTCCTTGAGACAATTTGAAATGAAACAAATGACAAAAAACAATGAAACTTTATCATTTTTATTTTTAAATAAGATTTTGTCAATTGAGCAGTATAGATAAAATTTAACTTCATTGCAAGATCACCATTATTTTACGAGAATCTTAAAGAAATAAGTTAATCGCAACATGCAGACGTTGCCAGTATATCCAAACTTCTAGAAAGTATTGTTTATCGGCCTATCCTTCTGAAAACTCAGTTTTGAAAATCACATATTAAGTTAAAATTCTAAGCGTAAGTCATATAAATTTACCAGTGTAAAGTTACACGGGCGTACGAGATTTGCGCCGATTTAAAAAAAAAATCGATCTTTAATTTGCGCCGATTTGATTCTTTCATTAGCGCCTATTTTATTTTTTTAATCACTAGCCCGATACTTTATTTGCTATACGAGTAAGTACATGTACATGTAGTAAACCTAGAATGTATATTGCATGGTAATATATGGATATAAATAGTGTTCCCTTATGTTTAAGATTATTTTGGTCATATTGTTCGAGAACTTCTTTTTGACACGAGAAAGAAAAGATAAAATGACAAGAAAGGAATATATCAGATGTGTGGCATATAAATTCTCGGCAAGATAATAATTCATTGTACTAGTGTTACATTTTTATGGATTTTATTGTGGTGCTTAGAAATGCTGTAAATAGAATTTTACTCCGTGATTTTAGTGGATGTAAACAGAGTGCACAAATATCTTTTAAATTGACTTATCCTGCTCGAAATTTTACTCCCACCTCCCCTTGTGAGCACGGGAACAACAGTTATATACATGTTATAATTGACAATTCATAACATATGTACAACTGGCTAACGGAAGAGGTTTATATGATAAATAAAAAAATAACTTTCACCTATAATTTACCTGTACACAATCGGCGCAAATGAAAGACAAAATCGGCGCAAGTGAAAGAAAAAAGTGAAATGCAGATCGGCGCAAATGCAAAAAGCCGAGTTCAAAATTTATATTTTTATTATCATTTTTATTAGAACGGAGGTTACAGATAGTGTAGTATCTTTTGTGTCCATTTGTGTTTAATTTCCACTAGGTATCAGTGCGCCGCTTAATTCCACTTTTCTTGGAAGACGTAGTTTTAAGCGTACACCATGCTGGAATCCGTGAAAAACGTGAAATAGGACGTTATAATTTGACGTTTTTTTCATGGCTAGAAACAACGTCATAGAGCGCTTATGTCACTACCAAGTTGCGTTAGTTGATGCGCATCAACAATAGGCTGTTTGGTCTTTAATATACAACTCTTAACCTGAGGTTAACCTGTGATTTTTCTAAAATGTCTGATGTAATGTAATGGCAGATAAAGTATAATCTATTACAATTCTTTTTTACAAAAGTTTACAGGGGTTTCTCTAAGAGCAGAGGTTAATTATAAGATTAGTAATGGTATTAAGAATGATATAATTTTATCATTTCAGGAAGACATTTTGACAAATATGGAAATTTAGAAAATTGGTGGACAAACCGATCTAGTCAAGGATTTATTCAAAAGTCTCAATGTATGATTGATCAATACTCACAGTTCAAATACCAAGGGCATAATGTAAGTTGTGGATTTATAAAGAAAAGTTCTTGTATGTTATTCACCATTTCATGCCATAAAATATTAAGATTGTAAATATTTATAGAAAAAATCAAAATGTAAATATTAAAAGAAAAAATCAAGATTGTAAATATTTATAGAAAAAATCTAGATGTAAATATTTATAGAAAAAATCTAGATGTAAATATTTATAGAAAAAATCAAGATTGTAAATATTTATAGAAAAAAATCAAGATGTAAATATTTATAGAAAAAATCAAGATCTACAATTAACATTTTAGAGACCAAGTGATTTTAAAAAAACAACAAAAAATATTTTTCTATTATTTTCAGATAAAGGGAGAAAGAACAATTGGAGAAAATATAGCAGACAATGGTGGGATAAAGTCAGGGTACACAGCTCTCAGTAGATGGAAGCCTGAGGACACGGAGAAATTTGCTGGATTGAACTTAACACCAGAACAACTTTACTTCATAGGATTTGGACAGGTTTGTATTTTATATGGAAATTGTCTTCGTTTGGTATAGAAATAAAGAGATGTGGTATGAATGCAAATGAGACACCTATACACCAGAGTTCAAATAGGTGAGGTTAACTGGAGTTGAAATAACTGGTTAACTTCACTTAATAACATTTAAATTAAAAATGATAGAGGTTTTTAATACTTTGCCAGAATTTAGATTATATTATGGAATATATGATATAAAAATCATGGGCTAGAAGCTTTTATTCTGGCCATAGGTTTTGCAAAATTTTTATATTTTGAAAAGATCATACATGTAAAATTCACCAAAAACTAAATGATAGAATTTTAAGATAAAGTACTAGAATTTTAAGATAAAGTACGCAAAAATTAAAGAAAATTGTGGTCATCTTACTCATTTTCTTGCTACAAAAAAAAAGAGTAAAATTTTACACCTGATTGTTTTTTCTTTTGTTTTCAGATCTGGTGTGCATACTACACCCCAGCACATGCTAAGACATCAATCTTAACAGATGTACACTCGCCAGCTCCTATCAGGTAAATATTACAGGAAATCCTATTTTAATGTGAGTATCAATTATTTTGTGAGGCCACCCGTAAAATACTCTTTGTTTGATGTTGCTTACCTGTGCCTTGTAAGGTTGGGTAGGTAGGGATTTATTTTTTTTTTTTTTTTGCCAACAACAAAAGTTACATGTTTTAAACAAGAAAACAATGTAAGAACAGGAAAAAGTCTTTTTAAAAAAAAAATTGAAACAATTTTTGTTATAAAATTTTTCTGATAGGCTGCTTTTTAGGTGGGTAGGTAGTCAATATCAAACAAATTAAATTTAGATATAAGTGAGTAGTTCAAATAAAAACTTTACTAAGTATCTGTAATCCACCCTTCCTAATATATATTGGCAGGTGACTAACTTCTAAGAGTGCTTTATAAGTATTATATATGGTTAGTATTGCTACACTATGAGTTCATGCATAGCTGAGGCCATTTGAATATAAATATCATTTAAATATCAATATAATATCACATTCACTCCGGTCTGATATTGATTTTGTGTTTATGAATAACTTAATGGAGTCGTCTGTGCACTTGACGAAAATGTAAAAGTTAAGTTTCTATTGAGGTTGTTAATTAACATTGACTAGACATCGTAGAGTGGAGCGAGATGACTTTGATTTCTTGCCAAATCTCACATACGAGCAAAGTTTTGATGCCATGGTGCCTCATATTCAACTTTTCCTCAGAATGTAAGCAGATCATGATTGATAAGATATATCTAGACAGCTGAAGCAGTAGATTTGATGAAATTTCTCAAAGGAAAAGAAAGAACTTTCTTCTTCTGAAAAAAAGGGAAAAAAAAGGCCTCCCTCATCCATATTTTAAAAAAGTGGCCTGAGAACCTAGGCATTTTTTTTGTATGGCCTTATAGCCAAAAATAGCATACAAATCTATAGTCTGTTTCTAATTATGTAGAGCAATATGAAATATGAGTATGATATGAATGTGAAACTTGTAACTTTGAGAATACAAATAACATAAAATGTTGAATAAATGGAACAAAATATATAGAATGCATATATCCGGTGACAAAAGTGTCAGTTCAAAATCTTCAAAAATTTAAGGGGGCCTTGGTGGCCGAGTGGTCTAAGTAGTTACTACTGTAATCACTAGCCAGTCAACACTGAGGTTGTGAGTTCTAACCCTGCTCGTGCGGGTGCACTCGACTCCAATCTTAATTGACTAGGATTGTCAGTTTTCCTATCGAAGGTTGGTGGTTTTCTCCAGGCACTCCGGCTTCCTCCACCAATAAAAACTGGCAGTCACGAAATAGCCCAAAAGCGGTGCTTAAAAGTGGCGTTAAAACACCAAAAAATCAAATCAAATCTAAAATTTTAAGAGTTGAACAAAATTTGACTAGTTACTTTATACATTTGATATTTTATTTTCAGGCCAAATGGTATAGCCATAAACTCTCCAGCATTTTCTAAAGCCTTCAATTGTCCAAAGGGGTCTCCAATGAACCCTGATCATAGATGTGAAGTGTGGTAACCATAGCAACAGAACCCAGGAGACCTTGATCTGAATTGGTGCTACCATTATGTCTTCCTAACTTTTCAAACTAAAAATGTGAAACTGTTACTTCATACAATATGTGTATTGATTTTCATGTTTCCTTGACTGTAACATGTATATGAATGCTTTTTGAAATTTTTTAGGTGTCTTTTTGAAAAAAAGATGATGCAAAAATTAAATATTTTTTAAATGCCAAATGGTATAAAAATCCAAATATCAAATATATCATAAAGTAAAATGCCAAAATTATTTAAAATGCCAAATGGTATTCAAAATACCTGTCTGCTCGTACTTGCCAGCTGGGCTTTGCATTAGCTGGAAATTATTGCATTCAAAGATTGTTGTGAGATTATAAATAGATTATTTGTGGTAGTTTAAGTATCCATGTCATTTGGACTCAGGTGGCTAGTTTTTTTCATTGTCAATCAAACCACAGCTCCCTATTTTTATATTTCCATTGAAAGATGGAGGGATTTTATTGAAATATTGGGGAGAAAAAATAAATTAATTGATCTGTCCTTACAACATGCATCAAATATTTGCTATTGGACATTAAACTACCAATAATCAATATTTGTGCAGTTTTCATGGTCTGGTAGAAGTAACACACATTTGATTGCTCACTTTTTGTTAAGGTGGTACCCAACACCTTGACTAATATTAATTTGGCTCGTTTAATTTTCATAAAATTTTGACAAAATGTTTACTTTGACCCTTTGACAAAAATATAAAAATTTCAAAAAATTTGAACCAACCACTTTATCAGAAAAATTTCTTTGGTTATATAGCAGTTTGACAAAAACTAATTTTGATCATTGAGAAGCTTAATATTTCCTTAACAATACAACGTAATTAAAACGTTTAGCTGATTTTTACAGAGTTATCTCCCTGTAGTGTTAGGTACCACCTTAAACAATTTATCATCATGCAATAGTTTTCCTTTTTTTTTCCCTTTTTTTTTTTATCTATATAGAAAAGTAAAATGATTTGATGAAAAGGGAGATAAAATTGGTAAAAGATTTTTCTCAATGTCTTTTGTATTTTTATAATGAAAATTTGTAGATTAGGGATGATTGTTTTCCTTCTGAAATTCCCAAAGAAAGATTCAGTGTTTTGAAGTGATTTTGTAAAAGTTTGTTTCATTGAGGCTTAAAATTACTATTTATGGAACATTCCTTATTTATTGTGCATAATACTGTAGTTATTTTGTAACAATTTTCTTTATAAATTATCCTTGTAAATTGATATTTAAATTCTGCAGGGTAACCATGGTGACTTCAATGATTTACCTTTTACCAACGGGTTATATTTGTGCATCAAAAAATCATCTTCACATTAATATTGTTCATTTGTACACATTATTCTTGCAGGGTATATTTTGTACATTTTACAAGATAGCAAAATAAGTCAAATTATCGAACCTCAGATAAATTATGACTTTATGATTGGTTTAACTCCGTCACGTGATGACCCCTATGGATCCGTATGGGGTCATTAGATTTCATATTTGGTTCATGACGTCACATTTACTATTAATGGTGACGTCATCAATTAATGTTATTGTATTTCATTGCTTATTTTTATACATAACATTCTGAAATGCATAATAATAATTGGTTCATTTGTGTTTGTTTCCATAGGAACAAAGATTTAAATTGTGGGAAATATGTATCTTCTTGTAGTTTGCATCTGAGATTAATAAAGTCTAGTGTTATTTTCAAACAATGTTAAAGCCAATGTAGCACTTTTTATGAAAGATAGTTTTAAACACAGTCATCTGTCAATTAAGTATTGTTTAAAAGGTAGATTTAAATTTGGGATTATTTATTTCATTTGTTTTTTTGCCATGAGAAAAAAAAATTTGCATTGTCAGTCAATTTGAGATTGTTTAAAAGGTACATGTAGATGTCAATTTGAGATTATTTTTCCATTTAAGTTTGTTGCCATGGGAACAAAGATTTGCATTGTGGGGAATGTGTATTATTTAAGGTTGTGACTGAGATTAATGTTGAGCACATTTTATTGTGTGTCTTTTTTAATTGTTAAATTATAATGATGACAATGTGTTATTGTTCATATTAATTATGTTCTGTTTTTATTTTTGGTTTATGGAGAGAAATCCTATATCGTGCCTTTCTTTTTTTAATAAAAGAAATACTCTTTATTTGGTTTATGTTTTTGTATCACACGATAAGATGCTTTGCTAATTTGCAATCAACTTCGATTAATTAGAATCAAATTTTAAAATCCTTGTACAGTTTCTATGATAGACAAATTTGAATAATTCATGATTAGAATATTATGATTTGACACCAAAACGTTGTGATTGATTTTTGGTTTCTTAACTAAATGTGTGGATATCCAACCAAATGTCATAGCACTTCTCATTTCAATGTAGCAACAATAAATAACAGCAACCCTTTAGAGTCTGAAATGAGGAATTATCTTGACAATGATAGGAGAGTTCCGGTATAGTTGTTTCTTCTATGTGGAGGTGAAAAAGTCGTATCATTTGACATTTTCTATGCATATGCCTACTTTTTCACAAATGCAAACCAAGTAACTAGAATGATTGAAATAGATGACCAATTAGAAAATTTGATCACACTTTTGTATTTTGACACCCTGACTCTGGTGAAAACTTCAGTAAATTGACATCACACATAGATTGATATTTTCACGCAAACAACGTTGTATTGATTCCAACATTGCATAGATTTCTAACATTATCATTTGACTTTTGTGTATGTAATGAAAAAGGACAAAGAAAAACAGAGAATCTTGTAACTAAAGATGTTTTGATTTGAAATGTTCATTTTGTCCATGTCCTCAAATAACTTGAAAAGTTTCAATGTTTTTGTAATACCCAGCAAATTTATGATAAAATGATTCATGACAATGGTAAAGCCGGGTTATAGGAGGTAAATATGTTGACCCCGCTAAAATATGTATGGAAATATTTTACGATGTACATGTCAGTCTGGCAGGTTTTATTTGACCTTGACCTCATTTTCATGGTTCATTGCTTATGTTAAGTTTTTGTGTTTTGGTCTCTTTTAAGGTGTACATGTCTTTCTGGCATGGTTTATCTGACCATGCCTGGTCAAGTTTGTTTCTTAGAAACTATAAGCAATAGGATAAATTTATTTTTGGTGTATGGAATGATTGTAAGGTGTACACTTATTTCCGGTTTGGTTAACTGACCTTGACCTCTTTTTGTTTGATCATGTTAAGTTTATGTGATACTTGTAGTAAAGCTTTATATCTAGGACTATCAAAATAAAATCAATGGTCAGTAAAGCAGTCGAGACATTTCAGTGTGTGCACTCTTGTGATATTGAGTTTCAGTGAATTATGTAATACTTATACAGGAAAATTTTGCTCACATAAATTTCACTCGAATCGCACATAAAATTCACTTCAAACAAGCTTATATGTGAAGAGCATGTGGAAAGTTCACATGAATTTAGATTCACATTAATCTAAAATTAATTTTTCATGTGAATTTCACATGAACTTTCCAAAAATAAAAATTTGTATTTTCATTCAGATAAAGAAATAAAATACAAGGTGCAAAAGTACATCATAGGAGTTAATATTCTGTGAAACTTTCTAAAAATCTGTTGGTTCAGGATCAGATGCTGATATAAAAGTGGGACAGATGTTCTTCGTTTTACCTGCATTGCCAACGGTGAAAAAAGCTCCAGTAACCGCTCCACTCCTTCCATCTGTCAGAAAGAAACCTTTCGTCAAGCTTTTCTTGGCTTTTTGGAAAGGAACAATTTGGTCAGGAGCTTTATCATGTTGTGTTGTACTGTGTAAGCAATTTTTTCATAAGTCGTACAGCCATTCCCTGTTTGCTGATAGTTTGAAATTTTACAACACTCATTGTACAAGGAAAATTTTTGTTAAGCTTTTCTTGGCTTCTGTGGAATGGATTGATACATGTTACCACAATCAAAATTTGTAAACCAATGTAATATATATAAGTATATAATGTAATATAAAGATAAGGAGATGTGGTATGATTGCCAATGAGACAACTGTCCACCAAATTTCAAATTAAATTGATGTAAGCAATTATAGGCAACTGTACAGCTTTCAACGAGACCAGAGTGCACACTCTGAAATGTCTCACCTGCTTTACTGACCATTGATTTTATGTTGAAAAAGCATGACAGAAAAAAATTTAAAAAATCTTTGACAATGAGGTCAAGGTCGTATAAACCTTACAATTTTTTTATACACCAAAAATATAGTTGACCTATTGTGTATGCTAATTGAAAAACACAAAAACTTAACATTGACTAATGAACCATGAAAATGAGGTCAAGGTCAGATTATACCTGCCAGACAGACATGTGCACCTTACAATCATTCCATACACCAAATATAGTTGACCTATTGCTTAAAGTACTTGAAAACCAGAAACAAACACAAACAAGAATGTGTCCATAGTGCATGGATGCCCCACTCGCACTATCATTTTCTATGTTCAGTGGACCGTGAAATTGGGGTCAAAACTTTAATTTTGCATTAAAATTAGAAAGATCAGAACATGTGTACTAAGTTTCAAGTTGATTGGATTTCAACGTCATCAAAAACTACCTTGACCAAAACTTTAACCTGAATCGGGACAGACGGATGGACGGACGGACGAATGGACAGACGAATGAACGGAAGCACTGACCAGAATACATTATGCCCCTTCTTCTATCGTAGGTGGGGCATAAAAACTCAACATTGACCAATGAACCATGAAAATAAGGTCATGGTCGGATGAAACCTGCCAGACTGACATGTACCCATTGCAATCATTCCATACACAAAATATAGTTGACCTACTGCTTATAGTATTTGAAAAAGGACCTAATCACACAAATTTAACCTTGATCAGTGATCCATGAAATGAGGTTGAGGACAGGTGAAATCTGTCTGACTGACATGTAGACGTTGCAAGGAACCTATGTACAACAATATACTTATCCTTTTACTCTGACATAATACTAGTAACTTAGAAATTCACATGAAAAAAAAACCAAATTTTTTTTCAAGCAGTCACTGACCATGAAAATGAGGTCAAGGACAATGGACATTTGATTGACGGAAACTTTGTAACATAAGGTATCTATATACAAGATATGAAGCATCCAGGTCTTCTACCTTCTGAAATATAGTTTTATATAAATAGTTTACTAAGCCGCCGGATAGTAACACCAATGTTTCGGATACTGCGACTGCAACTTTTGTCGCAGGCGAGACAAAAAACCCATACCATATAAGTCCTGACATGAAAAATATGAAACAATGTTTTCGTTGCAAAAAATATTTCGGATTAAGACACATCTGTACCATTATATGAGGAGTATATTGTCTCCTGTGGTATGTTTTCTATTTTTGCTAAACCAGTACAGTTATATGAATGATGCAAAACATTCAAGTTAAATCAATTAACCTGGCCTCATAGAGTACTCACCTTGAGAGTGGAAGGTCATACATGGGTCTATCTTAGGACCAGTCAACCGAACGACTGGCCTGCTTTCCGCCAAGTACAAGGCATTTAGGCAGGAGCAATGACTGGTACGCTGGGAGTCAAAATAATGTGTACCAGTATTGTACCATGTCTTCCTTCGGACTGTTACCATGTGAACTAGCATGTTAAAAATCCAGCTCAATGTGTTAGTCTAGTACAAAGTATGGTTTATATTCCTATCACATTAGCAATAATTTTTTTCTTCCTAAATATGCATTTAATTTGCCACTAGACGTTTCAGTCACCATCATCATCAATGTACAAAACTGCATTAAAACACTTTATATTTAGGAGATAACTGTATTGTATGTTAAGCTCCGACAGCATCAATTGGTGAGTTGATGGTCGCAAATTAAGTTTATTGGCGACTCGTTAGTAGAGCCAGTAAACAGGTATTTGCGACCATCAAATCACCAATTGATGCCGTCGGAACTTAAAATACAATATTGTTATCTCCATTCTAATGAAACTGACAGAAAACAACGTCAAATCATACATTTAAAATCTGTCATACGTCGTCTACGTTTGCGCGTACCTTTTCATATCATCAATTGTGAATTGATGCCATGAAAATTGGTGACGTTATCCAATCAAAATGAATGTTACAAACGCTGTTGCATTAGAATAGGCAATACAAGTGGCTAAGAAACAACTTTAAAGAAATACAGACAACACATTTTATTATAATCCAGGTAAAGTAACAAAAAATAGTACAACTTCTGAAAGGTTAAAATAACATTGTAAAACATGCTTGTATCATATTAAATAATCTCTTCTGGTCAACTTAACTTAATGTAATGATAAAAATATCTATTCTTGTCTTTTAAAGAAGTGGTCTTAGTCCAAAATCTGAACATATTTTCTGGGCAATTTCAATATGAAAGAATATTTAAAAAAAGACATTAAATCAGATAGCAGCCAAACAAATAATTTGTCAATTATCTTCACCAACCTATCTAATATAAAAAACTTTGAAGAGTTGCTTCCCTAAGATAAGTATTGCGGTATTGTCTTCCCTTGGTAATTTTTTTCAAAGGAAAAATAATATTTCTAACTTTCAGAGCATAATATGACCTGCATCAGATAGAAATTGACTTTATGCAAGTGCATGTTTACATGTACCCGGTACATGTGTAAGACTTTGATTGATTTTGGAACATTCAAATAGGAAATAAAAGATGAATGTTGATCTGTTTTGTTGGGTTCTGTATCAACTAAAATTTCAAACAGTTACAGACTTTGCATAGAGATTTTTTCAACCCAAGAATGGTTAACAAATGTGTTGATATTCATTTGGATATGGTCCATTTCTATCCGATGCAGCTAAAACATGCCCAGTTTGTCTCACATTTACAGAAGGATGTTTTCTTATCAAATCTCTTTATTCATAAAAAAAAAACACTGGTAATAGAACTAAAAAAACAAAAAATAAACCTGGTCTGATTAAAATTCTGAATGCATGTGCAGATATTTGAATACTAAAATTTTCATATTCGAAATTAAGTGTCGATTTTTGTCATCAAAAACTCAGCAAAACATTATTATAGACAAAGTTATTAAAAAATTCACAAATTTGCTACATGTAGGAAAATATCGTTCCTCACTGAATCACATATTAATGCTGATTGTTCTAGTTTTATGATCTATACTACACACATCGTTCTTTACAAAAACATAATATTATTTGTGACATAGAACACCTGTACAGGGTAAAATAAATTTTTGTGACATAGAACACCTGTACAGGGTAAAATAAATTTTTGTGACATAGAACACCTGTACAGGGTAAAATAAATTTTTGTGACATAGAACACCTGTACAGGGTAAAATAAATTTTTGTGACATAGAACACCTGAACAGGATAAAATAAATGTTTGTGCCATAAAACACCTGTACAGGGTAAAATAAATTTTGATTTATATTTTGTATAGTCAAAAGCAGGATTGACCAGGTATCATGGATTTCATAACTTTTTTTGAGACATTATATATATAATTATTCATAAACAATAATTAACAAGCCAAAAAATGTATTCCACACATATATTTAAAATACTAGGTGTCTCCAGGTCATAAAAAGAACTTGTGGGAATCTCCTGTTAATCATTGGACTTGAGACAAATATGCCTTGTGATTTAAAAAATGTTTATATTGCTTCAAATAAAAAAAAATATTTTCTGTGTTCAAATGGCATACCTAAAATCTTTTTTTAGGGTATAATTTTGAAGATATAGGGAAAGGAAAGACTATTCTATTGATTTTGTGGTTAACAGGTCAAATTTATGGTCAGTTATGTAAACTAGAATTGTACTAATGACTTCTTTAATCATAAACTGGCTGATGCTTAAAGATATAATTTGGAAGATGAAATCATATAGGATATCTTAAAGTTTTAGCTTACTTCTGAGTACCCTCTTTATGGTAATTTATATTTTATCAAGTTTGGAATTATTGCTTCTTATTAGCTAGAAGATACTTTAAACCATTTTAAAACTTCATTTTAAATTGTTAACTTGTATTATCTTCAGTATAATGAATGCAATTTGATTTTGGCACCAATTAGAGACAATGATTGTCCTTTTCACTTCATACAATAAAGTTTAAAAATTTCTACAACTAACAAATATGAAAATGTGTGTCAAATTTTATATGATTATTTACAATAATCAGATTGGAAAAACACTATAATAGTGCATATGATTAGAGCATATATGGTTGTGTGTTTTATGGTTCTTTTGGCATTTTTTTTCTTCCACATATAACGAGCTGTACTAAACTAACTTTAACCCTAAACCTAAGCCTATACCCTATTAAACACAAGCCCTAATCCTTAACCTAAAACAAACCTGCCCTAACCCACGGGGAGGGGGGGGTCTCTTCCTATAAGAAGGTATATACATATGTGCCGCTGGAATGGGTCCCTTTTTTGATACGTCAAATATATCAATGGGGTGCAATTTTACAGAGGAAATATATCAATAGGTAGTAATTGACCAATTGTGATATATCAATGGGTCATAATTTTTCAGTTTGTTGTGCAACGATCTTCACTGAATTTCCCAAACTCTTTGTCATTAAAATATATGAATGGGTTATGATCTCGCTGTGAAATATATGAATAGGTAGGGATTTTACAATTATTCAATATATGAATGGGGGGTGTTTTTTAAATCCAAGCTGCACAACTGTACCGAAAATCCCATGTTGAGACCCCCCGTGCCTTAACCCTATATTGGACCCTAATCTAAAGTACAAGGACAACTGACATCATAGAAGGCCATTTCAGCGATTGGATTAAGCAAGTATGTACAGGACATATTTGTTAAATGAAACACCTGTTTAACAGTTCATATTTTTCTATTAGTTTATATACATGCCACATGCTTTCAGCACTAGCTTTCATATACTTCTGACACAATTATCACCTTGGATATAACTTGTTCATTTTTCACAATAGTTATGAAATTGGAACAGTCAAGGACAATTTTTATTTTGTTTCATTTAAGGATATATCACAATAGTAAGTTTTACTGTACATATGTTGTAATTCTTCCACCAATAAATACATTTTAAAAAGCCAAACCTGCCACCAGTGTTATGTCTGAGGATTCAAAATAATAAAGGATTCACAATATAAAACCATGAAGATTATCTTTCTGAGTAAAAAATCTTACTTATGGAGGGGATCTGACTTAACCATTAATTAGACAGCTACCCAAACACATAAAATCTCGTTTTTACAAAAAAATTCAAAAGAGACAAATATAGTCATGCCTCTCTCAATCAAGTCCACTTTAACATATGTGAATCAAGTAGGACATTTTTTTTTTTTAAACAATACAGTATTCTTACATTTTTTTGTTCTTGCTCCTTATTGCATTCACTTGTATATGAACAAAATCTAAAATAAAACAAAATTTTGATAAGTAGCTTAGGTTACTTGACTAGGTGTTATTCTAAAACTGGATAAAAATAAAATTGGTCTAAAAGGAAATAAAAAAAATTCTTAAGTCTCTAATTTTGAAAATTGGTTTAGATGTTTCTTTTATTAATAATAAAATTACAAATTATATACTTCTACTCATTATTGCACAAGTTTTTTTCTGTTCACCTACATAATTATTCATTTTTTTATGGGAAATAACTGTAGATTGACACTATTGGGTAAAATGTCTTAACAGATTTATTTAAATAAAACATACAGGTTAACTGATGAGAAAAGTTTTGAAAATTCACTGAAAAGAATAGAGAATGAAGCACACACTAGTTTCAATAAGGCAGGATTTTGAGAAACAAACAAATTTTTTATACATGGTATTATAAAATAAGCACACTATAAAATAAAATTTAATAATAAAACAAATCACTCTGTAAAATATTTACACTAACTAAAACATTAATAATATCTAAGATACTAAATAAAAACAAATTTAATTCTTTGCATTGTCACCGTAAAAATAACTGTTAAAAAAACTTGTTTAAATCTTTCACTGAGACAAAATCACATGTGATCTATCAGACCTTTACACAACTATTAGTGTGTGTGATGATTTTTAGACAACCCTGAAAAATCTGTAAAAGTATCATTGTTAGAAAAACTTTATTCAACATTAATAAATATACTTAGATAATTTTGCACCAAATAACATCATTGTTATTAAATTATAACACTGATATGATACTGCATTGGTATGAATAGACCAACTTAGAGTTTGTCCGCCATTCAAGGAAACATGTAATTTTTCTGTAATTTTTTAGCATCATAATAGAAAATATTTGATGTTACAGACTTTTGGCAACGTCATTTGGTCAACAGGCACAAATTTGAGGTCTGTCTGATTCATTTCCAAGAACTCTACTTTAAACTGGAATAGACGCTTTATATATCAAATCTAATCACATGATTCTAACAACCAATTAAACATTCATTCTTATAAATAAATAATTGTTTGTTATATAATTCTATATGAATATGAACCTGTCTAAAATACCAGCAAAGATAAAAATATAGCCTTGCTTTATAAATAGAAAAATATCATCTCTTTCTTTTAATAAATAATTATACTAAAAATATTTTATTTATTCGATTATTTCACTTTTAAAAACATGTTTGCAATGAAATTGTCCCTATGAAGGTTTTAGGTTATCTGACCTAAAAGCTGTCATGGAACATTTTTCTAAAAAATCATAAAAAGAAGAAATAAAAAAAAACAATTAGTTGCAAAATTTTGAAAAGATATCTTACACCCATGTGGTGATTTTCATATTTCTCTAATTCTTCGTCAATTTATCCCTTTCTGCACCCATTGTATAAAAAAAAATTTAATCAACGTGTGGTTCATTTGATCTCAGTTCTTCATTGGTTAAAATCCGATTATGACGTCGAATTTTCTTGCTTTCCTCTGCATTTCCTAATGTGACGGCATGAAAAAAGGCGACCATGCCTGATGACGTCACATAGAAAGAACACATCTTTTTGCAGATCATTCGAAATCAGGGAATAAATTTGCCTGCGTATTGTTTGAAAATCATTAGAGAAACAGATTCCACCACCAAATCTCGTGTAATACGATATTTATCCACTCTCGACAGTTAAATTTTAAATATTTAAAACGCTCGGCAAGCCTCGCGTTTTAAATTTGAAAATTTAACTGTCTCGAGTGGATAAATATCTTATCACACTCGATGCAGTGGTAGAATCTATATGTATCTATTAAATCAAATAAGTATACAGTTGGTGTTTCATAAGGATTGCATGAAAAAGAATTTTAATGAAAGGGCAACTAAATGAACAAATTTCGCATTCTTCTAAAGGTGGGTACAAATTTTCAGAAAAACTTACTTTCACGGAACAAAACAGTAGAATCTTTTTATTAATATATTACATGTTATGTTAAAAATTATTAATTTGTTATGTTAGTACAAATAAAAAATAACTGTTTACCCTCTTTAAGGTGGTACCTAACACTACAGGGAGATAATTCTGTAAAAATCAGCTAAACGTTTTAATTACGTTGTATTGTTAAGGAAATATTAAGCTTCTCAATGATCAAAATTAGTGTTTGTCAAACTGCTATATAACCAATGAAATTTTTCTGATAAAGTGGTTGGTTCATTTTTTTTGAAATTTTTATATTTTTGTCAAAGGGTCAAAGTAAACATTTTGTCAAAATTTTATGAAAATTAAACGAGCCAAATTAATATTAGTCAAGGTGTTGGGTACCACCTTAAAAATGAATTTAATAAAATATCATTCAATAAACTTCAGAAATAATGGGGCACCCATGGGTAAGATAAATAAAAAAATAAAATTCCTTTCGTTTATTTTTTTTCTGATTCTAATGTGTGATTATCAACAATTCAGCAGAAAGAAAAATCTACTTTATACAAAAAATTGAGCCATGATATTCAATGATAAGATAAATTTCAAATAATTAAATAGGCCAAGGTCATTTGCTTTGAAAAACGTTGACTTCGGTTATATTCATGAAATATGAAGTAATTTTGGTTACATATTGAATACTAATTTTGTGACATTTTTAACACTTACATTATTTACATATAGGGAATATTCATGGATTTTATTGAAACTTCACACAAACATAATATCTAAATTTAGAATTATCATTGTTGTTAAAGTATCGGGACTTGAGATTCTATTTAATATTTGCTATTGATCTTGCTTCTGAAAACTGGAGTTTTGCCAAAATATTTTATAAGTATGAAATACTTTATTTGGAAATGTAAAATATATGACTGTTGTTCGCAAAACTATTACCATAAAATACAGTATGTAAAATTCAATGTCAACATATAAAATTTATAAGCTAAATCGCTTTCACTGGGTGTTTGTTCTGTAAAACACATGTTTAATCTAGGGGCTGTTCTATAAAAACATCAATAGGACCTAGGGAAGGCATTTTGAAATCTTAACAAGATGTGATCGTCAAATACGTTTTTGTAAATTCAAAATGTAAGTGATATTCTAAATTTGCCTCTATAGGGGGTTACCCTATTTTTTTAAGTGCCTTTCCTGGGTACCAGGTATGTTTTTATGGAATAACCCTAACTTTAAAAACAAAAATCAATAAAATCATTTTCATAACTATTTAAAAGTAGAATGATATATATATATATATATATATACAGATTTCTTAAATTATACAAGACTTTATACTTTTTTAATTAACAAATTAAATGTGTTTTTAACATTGCCTGAAAATATTCTGAAAAGTATTATTTTGAAAAAATCCAAAATTAAAAGTTGTTTTTATAAATCTGTAACTCATTAAAAATTGCAACAAAAACAATATAAAAGTTTATAGCATAATACACTATTTCAAATTTTTTTTTTTTAATTGGGGAAAGTCATGCCTTTAAATTTTTTTTGCATTAATGAACTAATATAATTAAATACATAATACTAGGAAACTATCACAAAAGGATTAACATTTATTTACAATACATTTTCATCTTATAGATTAAAAATTTCTCTTGACCACATAATGGGTTAACATAAAAACAAGGCTCTATCTAAAATCAACTATAAAATTGTCACTAAATGAAGGGCTTAAAGCCTTTCTCCAGCTTTCTTCTTATTGCATTACAATTCATAAACATGGGAAAAAATGACCCCTAATAATAGTAAAATTATAATAAAATCTTCAGGTTTCTTCTAACTGAAATACAATTCATAAAACACGGAAAAAACAAACGAACCCCAAATAAAATCATAATAAAATTGTCATAAAATCAGTGGTTCCAGACCTCTTTCAATTTTGACCTGATTATTTCTGAGATTCAAGTAATTCCTTCATATCTCTGAAAGTATCAAATAACTGGTCCATAAAAAGACTGGAATTAGTTGCCTTGGTTGATATCTTGGACGAGACATGGAAAAATAACTTCCTGTCTCCTGGAATCATGTACGACACTCCATAGCCGTCATCTGACACAGGACCAAAACCACCTCCAGGGCACAGCTGCAATAGGAAATGTATATAGTGTCAAAATAGAAATAAAATTGCAAATCTGTTAGCAGAGAACAAATTCATACTCACACTTCTCTACTTGTATAGATATAGTCTAGTTTTGCAATGAGACCCAATTAAGAGTAATTTGAGATGCATAAATTTCATTTGTATATTGAGAAAATTCTGGATTGTTAAGAGAGAATGTGACATCTAATATCTGCAAGTATTTGGAAAACATATTTCAATTCATGTCTTGAGGTCTTGATGGCCTAGTAGTCGAAGTAGTTCATCTATAGTATCACTAGCATGTTGACATTGTTGTAACTTCGTTCCCCCATTTGACAGGTGTGTTCAAAGGAGTAGGCCCGGTAAGACCCGTTTTTGGCCCCAAAATATAGCATCTTTACAAATTTGTTGAAATGTGAACTTTTAGTTATTTATTGGAAAGTAGGATACTTATGATCCATAAATATGGGCTGTTTTTGAGAATACATGCATCAGGTACTACCATCCTAAATTCATGCAAAAGTACTGAAATCTTCACATTTTTAGCATGTGTGCTAATTTTAAGACTGTTTTTATCTAAAATGGAAGTGGCCACATTTGTGTTCAGTCTTTATATTTAAATATATGTTGTATTTGATGATAATACATAACATATATAAAGGTTGAGACTGAACACGAATGCGACCACTTTCATTTTAGACAAAAACCATCCGAAAAGTGACGTTTTATGGCATATTTGATAGATTTTTCATATTAAAGCTTGAATTTGAGTGTCTTAAATGACCATATCAGTCCAAATATTCTACAGAAACTAATTGAATCGACTGAAGAAGACACTTAAGCGTTTAAAAAATGTCCAAAATCTTTCATCAGATGTACTTCAAATTTTAGGCCAAAACTAGCCCTTACCGGACCTTCTCCTTTAATCTTAATTAACTAGGATTACCAGTTGTTATGGTTCTATCAGGGCACTTTAGTTTCCCAACACTCATAAGAACTAGCTGCCATGATTGTTGAAAGTGGCATTGAACACCAATAATCAACTAATCAATCAAGTCATGTTAATTTGAATCATCATAAAAATACTTACCACATTTTGAAATTCAATATTATTGCAGTCTGGACTAGTGGCTATCTGTTGTTGTGGTTGTTGGCTGGTTGATAGAGTCCATGGTATGGTCAGGGCATGCTTCAGAAAATCACACTCCTGTGTGTAAAAGTTTATTTTATCATTTATTAAATAGAAACCAGAAAAATGATGAAGTACAGTAAGGAACTCCTTGTATTTTTGTGTGAAGCACAAATAATTAATTCTGATACAAACATGGTGTTAATATGTCTTTTGATTGAGTTAAGCCATTTCAATTGATATTTTATAGTGTGTCTTTCTATGTTGTGATGTTACACTTTTGTTTCAGATAAGGGTGAAGGTTTGGTACCATTAAAACGTTTAAACCCGCTGCATTGTTTGCACCTGTCCTAAGTCAGGAATCTGATGTTCAGTAGTTGTCGTTTGTTGATGTGGTTCATAAGTGTTTCTCGTTTCTCATTTTTTATATAGATTAGACCGTTGGTTGTCCTGTTTGAATGGTTTTATTCAGTAATTTTTGGGGCCCTTTATAGCTTGCTGTTCGGTGTGAGCCAAGGCTCCCTGTCGAAGACCGTACTTTGACTTATAATGGTTTACTTTTATAAATTTTGACTTGGATGGAGAGTTGTCTCACTGGCACTCATACCACATCTTCTTACATCTATGGTAATATATTCAATAGGGTTTTTAAGTATTATACATTTTGACACTAGAACAAAATTCAAGGTATGTCCTAATGGTTGTGACCTGTCATCTAATTCCCTCATAAAAAGATAGTTCTCATAGACACAAGTCTAGTCCCCCTTTTGTATACTATAAAGGTAATATAATACATAATGTAACATAATATATACTTTTCAGTTGTTTATTAAAGTGTAATGGCAACCTCAAAGCAGGCGTGGGGTAATTGTAATTGTAATCATTAATCAGCTGTAATTGATTACAATTTTTCAAGTAATCATTTCAATACAGTTGGTAATGACCGGAAATTTAATTACAGGTGTATTGTCAGATTAACTCGTCAATCTATTGACATAACAGGTGTATTAGTTTTATCAACCAGTTATATCAGTATATCAGTTTCTAAATCTGATTGTTGCTTGCTTAATGTCCAGTGGCAGATATCTTTAATATGCATTTTCATTAAAGGGGCACTAGCTACGAGATACATAAAAAATTTAAATTATGATTTTTTTTGTTCAATCATTAATGAAAGTGAAATAGTGAAATAATTATTCGCTATTAGCAGCCAGTATGGTTCAATTTTGTCAAAATAAGCTAAGAATCATTGATGATGAATTATTCACATGCAAGTGAATAATTCTACCTCTTGGAATCCGTATTCATGTGAACTTCAATTTAACCCCTTAGCTAGAGATGGATTATGCATGATTGATGGGTGTTAGGCTATTAAAAGAAAAGAATGTCAACACTGAAAGTGAAACAAAGGTAAATCATTTGATTGACTGATTCGATCCACAAAAAATCATTCTTATACAGGTAAAATCGAAAATTAACCTTTTTTTTTAACCTTAAAATTGAAATCAAACAGACATAGAAAAATCCATTTGCACGAGGTCCATATATCTATTGATATTTATGTTTATGTTTATATCGTGTCATGTGACTGTTGGTTGTTTTCGGGGTCATCTCGATAGTTAATAAGATGGCGTCTCGACTAAAATACACACGAAACGAAGCTACATATTATTGAGCCCATGCCCTGTAAATTGTTTATTTAAAACTTTTATAATTTGGATAAATGTTTTACATTTATGAGAATTTGAGTCAAATCGATGAACATAAATTTGACAGCTAGTGCCCCTTTAAGAATTTTAAATTGAAGCAGCTATAAACAAATGAGTGATGATCTACACTATAACTTACAAAGCCCATTCCTTTACTAACGAGATATAAGGCAAAGAGATGGCGATCTGTAGCTACACTATAACTTACATAGCCCATTCCTTTACTGACGACATATAAGGCAAAGAGATGGCGATCTATAGCTACACTATAACTGACATTACCCATTCCTTTACTGACAACATATAAGGCAAAGAGATGGAGATCTGTAGCTACACTATAACTTACATAGCCCATTCCTTTATTGACAACATATAAGGCAAAGAGATGGCGATCTATAGCTACACTATAACTTACATAGCCCATTCCTTTACTGACAACATATAAGGCAAAAAGATGGCGATCTATAGCTTTTCCATTCATCGCATCACGGTACTGAGTCTGATGTATATCACAGGCACGTTTTAACAGAGTTATCTTCTCCTGAGCGGATTTCTCTTTGTCAAAGTATGCTCTGAAAAAGGTGAAGGTAAAACTACTTCTCTGTAACACATAGTCTATAAAATAAGACTGAAAATGTGACAAGTAAGAAATTCATTAAAGAAATTCAAAATTATACTTTACTATAAATTTCAATATCAATATTAAATTATCCACATTAGACTTGTCAAATTCTTTTTTATTGTTCAGTTTTCTCACACCAAATACGTTGCTGTTATCTCATCGTGATAATGCAACAGTTTGTACTGTTCTTTTGATTGGATAACGCCACAATTTTCAGGGCATCAATTCCATGACTAATGGTTGGAAATTGTGTATGCATGCACCAACATCAGATGATTGAATTCAAATTGTATATTTAGCATTTTTTTCCTCAGATGTGTTAGAATGAATATAATTGCATTGTATTTGAAGATTTGTGGGCATCAAATTTTACTTTGATGGTCACAATATCTGTTTATAGGCTCAGCTAACATGTTTCCAGGATACTTAATTTTGGACCATCAAATCACCAATTGATGCCCAAAAATGTTCATCTCTTAATCCTACTCTATCTTTCAGATAATATTTTACACATTTCAATGTGAGTCTTGTTGCAAACAGTTGACTCTTGACTGATTTTCTTTGGACAAATAAAGTGGGCTCCATGGTTACACAATGTACCTGACAAATTTGGTGGATTCTGTTGTCACAGATCTGACTGTGTCAGTCCTCCCCAGTAAGTACAATCTAGTCATGGATGACTCATACGTTAGAGCAAATTTCCCAGCATTCCTATAATAGGTCAATTGAAGAGCCATCTGTATGTAGGCATCAGGACTTATCTGAAAAAGTGGTAATATCTCACAATATATAAGTAAGATGATATGGTATGATTGCCAATGAAACAACTTTCCACCAGAGACCAAATGACGTAGAAGTTAGCATTTATAAGTCACAATACTGGTTCAACAATGAGCAAAACCCACATAGCAAGCTGTATAAGACCCCTACAAGAGTAAGAGGTATTTGAGCAAGAGTTATTTCCCAGTCGTCGCCATATTTGAGGACAATTAGAAATTAGGAAAGGTTGTTTACTGAACAATTTGAATTTGTTTAAGCCTTGTATAATTCACCACTGCTATCTAGTAAGGATCTCTTATCAGGCTAGCTTGTACCAAATGTTTTAATTTTGTTAGTCAAATCAGAAATTCAATCACTTCGCCCTCCAAGATGTCAGCCAAGGGGAACTCAAATTACTTCCTATTAAAAACTATCTATAATTTAGTTACTACCACTGATCATGGAATGTTACTTGACAAGGTTGTTATTTGTGTTTAAAAGCTGATAAAGAAAATAAAAGTAGAATGTTGTATGACCTATTTCACAATCTCCATCAACTAAAATAAATAACTTGACCTTTAATGGCCTTATATAAAGGTCAATCTTGTGACCAGATAAAAAAAAACCTTAAAAGAGAGGTGACCTTTAAATTGCTGCAAACTATCACAAATGACTTGAAATTGCCATAGTTGGCCTAGACATTTTCAACAAGTGACAAAAAGCTTTTTTTCGAAATTCCTGTAGCGCAAAAACATATGCTGATTGTATACATATAGGGGTTATACACAACTGATTACAGTAATGACAATTAAGTTTTAAAACATACATAAGACTTACCTTACATGATTTCATAAATCCTTTACCATAAAGGTTGAATTCTTTCACAACGAGATCTATATCATTTATATTCTGTAAACAAGATATATAAACAAATTATCTATTGTCAGGATAAATTTTAAAACCATAGAAAAAATGTACTTGTTTGAACATTGATTTTTTTATTTTTATTTTTGGTGTTTTAACGCCACTTTTAAGCACCACTTTTGGGCTATTTCGTGGCGGCCAGTTTTTATTGGTGAAGGAAGCTGGAGTGCCCGGAGAAAACCACTGACCTTCAATAGGAAAACTGACAATCCTAGTCAATTAAGATTGGAGTCAAGTGCAACCGCACGAGCGGGGTTCGAACTCACAACCTCAGTGTTGACTGGCTAGTGATTACAGTAGTAACTACTTAGACCACTCGGCCACCAAGGCCCCTTTTGAACATCGAAATTTGTGTTAAGCCGTTATCCATAAAATCCACTGTCCAAAGTTAGGGGAGGGTTGAGTGCTCACAAACATTCTTTATGTGCATGATCCAAGTTAAGAGCCTGTAGTTCAGTGGTTATCGTTGGTTCAAGTCTGTCATATTTGTTTTTAGTAAATTGTTTTGTTATAAATTAAGCCATTCTTTTTCTCAATTGAACTGTATGTGCCCTTAATAGCTGAATATACAGTATGGGTTTTCTCATTGTTGAAGGCCGTAAGGTTCAAGGGTTGCCTATAATTGCTTATATCCACTTCATTTGATCTTTAGTGGATAGTTGCCTCATTGGCACTCATACCACATCTCCTTAGTTTTATAAGTGTGAGTTGCACATGACTGAAATGAAAAAATTCCATCTGAACTAAAGTGTATATACTTTAATGTTGTCATACCTGAGTTACAGTTAACTGAGCAGATTTTATGGCAGTTGACAAGTCATTGTTCATCTCCCAAACAAGTCTCTGTGGCTTTATAAACAATTGCTGGGAGTCACTGTCTTTAAAGTGCCCTTCCTCATCAAAACCACAAAGGTGTAGTGATCTAAAAAATACAGGATCAAGTTATTATTAGATTTTATTAATAGTTTTTACAATCAATAAGCAAAATTTAAATTCTACTTTTTGATATTTAAGAAGACACTATAATGCACACATTGTTTGCATGAAGTTATTATTTGCTTACGACATGATTAAGATATGATTACAAAAAGAATATAATGGGTTCATAGTTCAAAGAATAACACATCAAAATATGACATTTTTTAAATTGCTGCAATAAAGAAAATTATAGAAAATATTACCCTTGCTTTATTACATTCTAGCTGTTACATTCAATTATCTCCCTTTGAAGATGTCTGACTGGAACTATTATACTTCATGCACTTCTTTATGTGGTGCCATACGCTTGTGTAAAGTTTCATTGAAATCCATGCAATGGCAATGAAGATGCATTTACAAGTCAGATTCATAGACAAACATATGGATAGAATGGTTAGTTTGGGGAGGGGGATTAATTGATTGATTAATCAGTGTTTAAACACCAATTTCAGCACTATTGTGCTATTTTGTGGGGTCAGTTTTTATTGGTGGAGGAAACCAGAGTGCCAGAAGAGAACCACTAACCTTTGGTAGGAAAACTGACAATCCTAGTCAAGCGCACATACCACATACGAGATTCAAACTCTCATCCTCAGTGTTGACAGGCTAGTGATACAGTATTTTGACTACTTAGACCACTCGACCACCGAGGCCCCTCCAAAAACAAATTTTTAGTACTTACTCCTCTGTCATATTGTACTCGGCTAAATGTGCCAACACTGGAGCGTCAGCGTAGGAATGTTCACAATTGAGTCCCATTCTACCATTAGGGAAGGTGATCAGGTTCAGAGATTTGTCAAACCAGATCGACTTTCCGTCACCACACATCAGGAACTTAGCACGGCTAGAAAAATCATCCCTGATTTCATGGTGAAGAGTTATCTACAATGTCATACAAAAGTATTTGAAATACAGAATGCAAATTTCTGAGTGGTCAAGTCATTTTCTGAGAGAAACAAATGAAACAAATCATATAGTGACACAGAAATATGTCTTTTAATTATGGTAATATGAAGTAAATCTTTTCAAACATGTAAACTATGCAAAAGTCTCAAAGTCTATAGAGCATGACTGAAAAGGCAAATCATTCTCCTTATGGAAAAGACAGATGCCAATGCTAATATAAAGTATACCTACTAAGTTCAGCCCTGATTTTGACCCATGGTGGACTTTCAATTCCTGTTAATGATCAGAGTTACTATGTCTATACTTACACAGAATATTGCTGATTCCACAATATCTAGCGAGTCTTTATTGACCCCTGAAGAGAACTGTTCAGCTCTGACTTTGGCCCATGTTGGTCTCTCTATTCCTGTTAATGCTGATATAGATTTTGCAGTGTCTGATATACTATCTAATTAAAAGAAAAAGAAAGAAACGATTCATATAATATATAAATTCCTTCAAACAAAGTTGACCTTGGTAGGATTGGTGTTTCTTTATTTGGTCATATTAGCACTTCATTTGACCTTGGCAGGATTGATGTTTCTTTATTTGGTCATATTAGCACTTCATTTGACCTTGGCAGGATTGATGTTTCTTTAATTGGTCATATTAGCACTTCATTTGACCTTGGTATGATCGATGTTTCTTTAATTGGTCATATTAGCACTTCATTTGACCTTGGTAGGATTGGTGTTTCTTTATTTGGTCATATTAGCACTTCATTTGACCTTGGTAGGATTGGTGTTTCTTTATTTGGTCATATTAGCACTTCATTTGACCTTGGCAGGATTGGTGATTCTTTATTTGGTCATATTAGCACTTCATTTGACCTTGGTAGGATTGATGTTTCTTTATTTGGTCATATTATCATTTCATTTGACCTTGGTAGGATTGGTATTTCTTTATTTGGTCATATTAGCACTTCATTTGACCTTGGTAGGATTGATGTTTCTTTATTTGATCATATTAGCACTTCATTTGATGTTTCTTTATTTGGTCATATTAGCACTTCATTTGACCTTGGTAGGATTGGTGTATCTTTATTTGGTCATATTAGCACTTCATTTATTCAGATAATTATACATCCTTGGCTTTCAAAATTTTTGGATTTTGAGTGTTCCTAGTGAAGGACAATCTAGACAAGCACTTCAGATGCATCAAATTCATAAAGTGTTATGTTCATTTATTATATCATGGGTGAAAACTCATTAAAGACTTATAATTCAATACACTAGACCGGTATTTTGTTCTTATAAATTGATAAAACTCAGCGGTGGTGCTTGTATCAAAGCAGATGGAAGACAAAATCTGTTGCAATACGGAATATTATTGAAAATTAAAAATTCCAAAAGAGTTGTTCTTAATCTGGCAAATGTCATCCATGCATGGGGGTTGAAAAATCTTTTGTATTTCCAATGAATTTGCGATTTTATGAACAATTAATTTACCGGACCCTGAATAAACCGGTTTCCTTTCTATTTCGGTTGGAAATTGAAGTTTTTTCCCCTTCAAAGTCTTTGTATAAATACCCCCAGTAAACCGGACCCTGTGTATTCCAAATTCTGATGCTACTGAGGTCGATTTGACCTACAAAGGAATGTAAAAAAAAGGTAATATATTATTTCTTTTAATTAAGGGGACAACCGATTTCTGAAAGTTCTAAAGCCAATGAATACGAAGACTCAAAACAATGATCGTACGTAGTTAAAAGGTAAAAAGGCAAGGAACACTTGTAACGTTCATGTCACAATATAAATAATGACATAACTTTTAATAAATAGATTATTACGGTATTTGTATTTATAAGTTTACAATTTACAATGAAACAGAACTTTTATTTGCAAAATATCTGACGTAACAGTTCAATAACTTCCTGTCAAAACTGAAACCTGAAGAAACCAACCAATGTCCAAACCAGCCCTTTTTCATAGTCCCATAGCCAGCCAGATTATACAGGTTTTACTGTACTACTGTATATTCAGAAATTTTTGCATGCATTTTCTATTGAAAAGATGTACAAAAAAGGAAGATTAATTATTGGGATTTCAGAAAATGCTGCATACAAATATTGCTCTCAAAATATAAAATGCAAGTTTTTTTATTTTTGTTTCCTATCATAGGGCTATTCCATTAAAATGTATGTGGGAGGGTAGGAAGGGACTTTCAAAATATCCCTACAACCAAGAACCATTTTTTAGGTAATTTTGCATAATGGTAATAGAGGCATACTAAAAAAAAGACCCATGACCCACATTTATTAATTAAACTTCCGTTCCTACCCTCCCACATACATTTTAATGGAATAGCCCTTATCACAATTTCTCCAATAATAAGAACATAGCAAAATAGTCTGAAGTTACAGTAGTTGACATGTGTACAATCATGTAGATCATTAATCAGATAATTATCATGTGACATTCTTCTATAACTATAAAAATAAGAAGATGTGGTATGATTGCCAATGAGACAACTCTCTACCAGAGACAAATTGATGTATAACTAACCTAATTCTGAATCAGCGTCATCTATAATCCACTGTAGAAGTTTTTCTATACTCTGGGGTTGTAAAATTTTCCCCTGGTTGTCATATACATCTATTTTATACATATATCCTTTCCTATATACTACTAAATGCTGAAAAATAGGTAAATATAGCACATGTCTATAATGTACTTTATTGTAACAGACATACCAAAGATAAATATTATTCAATAATTTATTTTGTAATTTACTTTGTGTGTAAACTGAAAACCTCTAATCAAAACAAAAGTGATTGCTGATGTTAATCTGTCTTACCTGTCTTATAATTTTGTACGCCAGACATACTTTCCGCCTTAAAGACTCATAAGTGACACTCGAATCAAAAGAAATTAAAAATACCAATTAAGGATGTTTGCTACTCTGGGTTTTTGAATTTTTGTCAGATGTTCCGAATCCTCTGGTTTTATCCATGTAGTGCCATTAAAAAAATTTGCCCATCAACCCCTACTTTTCTTTCCATAATTTGATCACATATAGTTTAATATGTCATCTTTGAAAATCTTATAAAATCCTTGTTATTTTTTTATCATTTTTGAAAGAAAAAAAGTACCAATGTTAAAAAATCTAGAGAGAATTATTTCCCGCCAAATTTTCAATGGCTTATATCTCGAAAACAAGCATACAGACCCTTCATTTATTTCTGCTTTTTTAGTTTCTTTATTTATATACTAATAATTTATAACAGTCTTTTAAAAAGCTTGTTATTTTGAAACAGAGTAGTGAACATCCTTAATGTTTGAAGTTGAAGAGCAATGAGGTCCAAATATTCTGAAAGGTCTTGTAAGGTTTGATAGGTTAATCTTTAATATTGCAGGCAATTTTTATAAGTGGATGAAGCAAAAAAAAACTTCTTGCCTTTGGCAGAAAAACTGACAGTCCTATTCATGTGGGATCGGAGAAAAACAGACCTTGTCAAAAGTGGGTTTGAACTCACAACCTCAGTACTGACAGGTTTTTTATCACTACAAATAAAATTAAGAATGGAAACATGGAATGTGTTAGACAACAACCCGACCAAAGAGCAGAAACAGCCCAGACCACTTGTCCAACAAGGCTCTATATTCAAAACAAACCTGTAAATTTAAAAAATATTGTTCATGTTTGACATCTTTTATATATAGCAGCAAAAAAATGTTTCCAATGATAAGATTTTTACTTTAACTTACTTTCGATAAAGCTGAATCTACATGGTATAAAGTGTCGTTGTCTTCACCTGGTATTCTAAAAAAAAAATACACAAAAAGTCATTTTGAATTTGTAATTCACACTCAGGGAATGATCTATGACTTTAAAAGGGGGCGTAATTGCCAAAAACAGAAGATATCTAGCTGAGCTGAGCTAACCAAAAAATTTGTTACATCGATCTCATGCTAAAATAAATGGACAAGGTGTCAATGGGACACAGATGATGCCCCAGCTTGCATATAACGTTATAAAGGGACATAACTCAAGAATGGTTATAGTCACACAACCCTAATTTGAACTTGATCTGTGTTTTGTGGTAATAAGTATTGTGTATAAGTTTCATTACTTTTGGTTGAGGCAAACTAAAGTAAGAGAATGAAAACCAATTTTGGGATGTACGGACGCACAGATGGACAAGGGTAACATTTAATGCCCCCTCTGTTGTGGCAGGGGGAAAAAATTATATATTTTTTCCAATCAAAGGATTGAATCTCCAGCAATTCAGCATTGACACTACAACACAGGTAGACTGCCTATGCCTAAAGTAAGGAGTATGAAATTGATTGAGTTCCATTACAAAATGACAAGTGTATCATTTGTATTGTGAAACACAAACAGACTTACACTTGCTGCTATACTCTTTATAAATGCAACAACACTATTATAAGACACTTTGCTTTTATTTTTTAAAGCACACATTTTCTAATTCTGCAAAGTGACTTGACAGCAATAAAACTCTGGAACACCCCAAAAAAAAATTCCAGCTCCTAATTTGAATATACCCGGTATGTGCTGTAGAAAAAAGCTCTCACATGGACTAAGCCATACAAACAGAAATTTTACTACACATTGACTGTGCATGGTTCCAATTTTTCTGTTACTATTCACTTATAAACTTCAGATAATTTTCTATATAAACAGGGGAGATAACTGCTAACACCACAATATATTTTTGTAGAGAAAAGAATTCTTGCAAATAGTGTCAAATAGGAAATTTACCCTTTATCATGTTTATTTTTGTGATTAAGTTAAAATCTAAAAAATCCACTGTTGTAAATTTGATTTCAAAGAAAGAGATAAGAAGAAGGAGGTGTGGCTCCAGCCATTTTTAAAATTGCTGTCCAACCATATGTCCCCATACAAAAGCATAAGTTGTCAATGAAATCAGGGTGTTCCAACCCCCCACCCTTGAATCCATCACTGATGAGGGTCCAGAAAAGCACAAAATTGAAGGTTTGGCAAAATAAATCCTGAAATTTATACTCTGTGAAATAATCCAGTTTACAGTAGAATACCTTGTTGTAGAGAAAACTCTCTCGTACTGGGCCATACAGACAGGGATGGTCCTGCGTATCAACAAAGGTTCCAACTTCTCTCTGTCTATTAACTGTTTAAACCTCAGATACTGGTAGGCAGCATTGGCTGTTCTGTAATACAATCAAAACAATGTGTAAGAAAAACTAATACTTGGCAATATCGAAAATAAGCTTTAATATAAATTAAGTTTTTTTCCTACCGATGTCCCAAATAAAAAATTTTAAACGGTTTTAAAATAACCTCATTCATCTTTTTCAAATCATTTTTTTCTTGATTTGCTTTATTCTTCGAAAATAATCTCTTCTTGGGACATTGTAATAAATAAATAAAATAAAATAAACATAATCTATCACTATTTCCCAATTTGAGAGACCTGATAAGGCTCTAATACCACAGGCGCTTGTCTCTGAAAAAAATTACCTATATACTTTAATATAACACAATTACCTAACTCTTATATTTGAGAAATGTCAACCGGTCCCGAAATTCTGTTATATTACGATTTATCGGTTGTTCATCCCACTGAAACTTATCCTGTAAATCTACATTGAATTAAACAAAATGGTGTATAACATGTGTATTTCTATTATCGGAATCATTTGTAATAGGCCTTCCAAGTATGCAAATAGTAATTATTTCATCTTCTCACAGCCCTTTGGAAATATTAATTAATACTAATGATTAATTATAAAAAGTATTTCCCAAAAACCTGTTAGTTTTTCTCTGAATAGAACTTATCATCCAGATAGTAAATTTGTATGAGATTCCATGAAAAAAAAATAATAAGTGTTATTTGAGGTATGTCTATAAATGAGTTAAGAGTATCTATTTTTAGAGTCTAATACATGTTTTGAAATTGTTTTTTTTTTAGAGTTCCTTGAAAAACAGGTTCAAGTAAATGAAGGTAGAGCATATTATCCATCTTACCTTGCAGTTTGGAATGTAGTAGGCATAAAGTAGCTCTGGTCCATTATATAGTAATTACTGTTAATAGGTAGTGGACTTCTTCCCATTAAGTAAACATACTTTTCCCTGTAAAAAAATGGAGATATGTTTGACAATTTCCAATTCATATCAAAATCCTTATTGTCATTTTTCAATTGAAACAAGCATTTTGTCAGAAGTTGGAACACATTGCGTCTTCAGTGATTCTGGTACCAGTATTATACAGAAGTGTGATTCTGGTACCAGTATTATACAGAAGTTTGCAATCAGTCAATTAACACAAATAGCTCCATTAGTTTTCTCTTTTGAATTATTTCACATTCTGTCATACTAGTGCCTTTTACAGTTTACAATAGGTTTTGGGTTTTGCTCATTGTTGAAGATAACCTATAGTTGTTTACTTTCTTGTCCTTTTGTTTCCAGTTCGAAAATCTTACCACATCTTCCGATTTTTGTTTTAAATTGACAATGATTAATGTTGTTGTTGTCAATTCTGTCATATATTTTGATGTTTAAGTAAACTGATATGAAGATGAAAAATTTATGGTCAAGGAAAACATTAGAGTTGGGCTCATCTTAGGGTTCTTGGTAAGTCACCTAGATGAGTCCTGGACTTACCATTTTTTACTGGGACTCACAGAATTTCTAGAAAAAGGATTGATTCAATGGTGAGACTGAACAAAATTTTGAAATATTGACCAAAGTAAATTCCTACAGGGAACCCTGGACTTTTTGGGCTAAAAATAAGGATGGAAAACCCTATATATATATATATATATATACAATAGGTTTTCTTTGGTCTGTTGAAAATCACTATTTTCCAACTAAAGTCGTAACATTTCTAATATATATATATATATATATAGAAAATTAATTTATAATAGCAAAAATAAAAATATACTTTCGTACATATTTTTAAACATTGAAACCTTTAACATATGAGCAGTGTCGGATATAAATCAACCTAATGCAAATAAATATCAATAAATCTGTTAACCTTTTTCTTGTTGAGAAAAAAAAAATCCATGCAAAGTATGTAGCTGTTTGAAGTTGATATAAGAACCCTACAAAAAAGACCAAAATTTATCTTTTATTTCTTATTTGAATGTTCCAAAATCAATCAAAGTCTTATACATATAAAAGTATACATGCACTTGCATAAGGTTGATATCTATCTGACGCAGCTCACATCTTGTCAGTGCTTGCTTTTAGTTAAAAATCAATTTTTGTTTTTGGGGGATTTTGTGTTGATATAGGAATAGTTAGTGTTCTCCCTAATCTGATACTATATTGCTTGAATGTGATACTATCTGAAATTATTCTTTAAAAGCTTGTGTTACGATTGTGATGACATTATTTCTAGAAACAAGATGGTATTCCAAAATTCTCTGTAGACTAGCATGCTATATGAAGTTTGTGGGGAGAACACCGACTGTCTCATTTTTTTGCAGCTTTTCTGGAGAAGAGGTAATTCATGCTTGACATCTTGCATCTGTGACACTTTTCATTATCCACCTCTAAATGTTTTTTTTTTCGTGTCATGGGTTGTTATTTCCTTGACATATATGCTTAACATTGTTATTGTCTTTTATTATTACAATTCTTTTTATTTGTTTGGCCCTTATATCTTACCACCAGTCAGTGACATAGTTTTGTGACCACCATGACTTCAGTATCAAAACTCTCTGTAATTTGTGTGCCAAACTCTTCTCAAAATCTTCAGCATTCTTACATATACTCTTCCACTCTTTGGAATCTTCATCATACAATGGGCGGAGAGATTTGAGCAGTCTGCTGAGTGTTTCCTGAACTGTTGGGACTGGCATTCTAGGTAGACTTCGTTGGCAGCTGTATAAGCTGGGACTATAACCACTGACGACTTTAACCAGAACTCCCCAAAGTATAGTACTGTATGATTGGGTCTTAGGTTGTTCATCTGAAGAAAATAACAGTAAATCCATAAAATGAAGTTTATGTTTATAGAATTATCTCCCCTTGTATTATGATCTGTATAAACATTGATGACTATAAGTTCATCATTTTTAACTTAAAGTTCTTATGATTAAGTTCAGTATGATTGGGTCTAAGGGTTGTTAATCTAATGGAAGCTAATATGCATATGTCCAGTCTTCATGATAAACTTTTGAATCTACAGGCCCTAAGCTGAATTTTGCGAAAATTTTAGTTAGATTCTATTGGCCTGTAGAGATGATTTTTACAGGCCCAGCCGCAGTTTTACAAGCCTGGGCTGGTGGGCATGTGGTTAAGTGCGAAGACTGTATGTCAATAGAGATAGCCTGGGGTTTTTTCAATAGAATTATCTCCCCTTATAATTAAAGATTGATTGCGTTAAGTTTAGTGGCAAATATTTAATGCATACTCTGGATTGAACCTTATCATGAAAGAGTTGTATTTACATAGGTGGATTGCTTTATCAATATTTTCAATTAAATTCATATTGAGTCTAATAATAAATTTATAAATACAACTATATATTTAGTTTAATTTTGTTTATAGAGTTATCTCCCATTGGTCTTGAATTCTGTTTAATTTGTAAATATCTTTAAACTTTAAAAAGCATAATTGATTGCTATAGTAAGATTATCTGAAAAATAAATTATGTAATAAAAATCCATTCCATATTTCATAAGATTATCTGAGTCAGTTAAGGTGTCATACTAACAAATCATAGTATGTCACATCCTGTTTCATACAAAAAAGGGTCGAAAAATATTCCCTTGAATTTGAAAGTTGTAGAAAGTTAACCCTGCATTTCACTGTAGAAAAAAAATATGATTCATAAAAATACTTGTTTGGTGTTTCAAAGAACCTTTCTTTTTTATTTGGTGTTTCCATAAAATATTTTGGTACTTGACAAGATAAAACTTTACTCATGCCAAATATTTCTTTATTTGAAACAAATATAAATTCTGAACAATTTTTTTAAAACTTACAATTTCACAAAGACTAATAGGGGAAAAACAATGGTGGTATTACTCCTTAATACAAAATATATATTATATAGTTTTCATTGTATCTTATGTGCAACTTCAGATCAGAAAATATAAAACCCACACAAGTTATACGAAGCACAATTCCCCATAAAAAATAGTTTAAGAAAGTCAAAACTATGTAATTCATATTACAGTTCATTAAAAACATTCAAAGGACCCAGGGAAGGCATTTCAAAGTCTCTAGGTGTTGGTGTTAAATACTTTTTTGTAAAATGAAAATGTAAGTGATATTCTAAAATTGCCTCTATTAGTGGGTACTACTAAAAAAGGGTACCATAAAGTTTTTTTTTTACAGACTATATTTCTCAAAATTAAAGGCTCTAAAATGCCTGTGTCGCTCACCTCCATCTCCAACAATGACCACTTTTTTTTTATTAAAAATCAGCATGAAAGAGGAACAACTATATTAAGAGTTAACTGACAATTTCAGTAGTGTTGATATATTTGTAGATCTTATCCTGCTGATAATTTTCCTTTTTAAAGTTTCTATTTATCTATTACAGTCTTCAAGATAATAGACAAAAAAGGCAAAAAAACAACAAAATTATCATTAAAGGGCAATAACTCCAAAAAGAAGCGACTGAAATTTTGGCTATTATGGCTTATTTGTAGATCCTGTCTTGCTGATTTTTTTTGCTATTTAAAGTTTCTATCTATCTATTACAGTTTTCAAGATAATAGGCATGAATGAGAAAATCATCTTTAAAGGGCAATAACTTCAATAAGGAGCCGACTAACCATTTTGGTCATGTTGACTAATTTGTCGATCTTGTCTTGCTGATCATTTTTGTTTTGTATTGTTTCTTTAAATCTATTATATTTATAAGGCAGAAACGAAAAAAATTGGTAAAAACCTTCATTAAAGGGTAATTACTATTATAAGAAGTCGTCATAAGATTTTTTTGTCATGTTGACTTATTTGAATGTCTTGTCTTACTGATCATTTTTAGTTTTTAAAGTTTGTCTATCTATTATAATTTTCATATCATAATAGGAATTTTTTTTTCAAATGGTAAAAATCGTCATTTAAGGGCAATTACTCCTATCAGAAGTCGTCTGACAGTTTTGACTCAGACAAAAGGTAAAGCTTAACATTCTGAACATTTTTGCTAGTGTCAGAATTTCTCTATTTATAAGGTTTTTCAAAATAATAGGCAAAAATTGCATTTTACCCCTATGTTCTATTTTTAGCCATAATGGCCATCTTGGATAGCAGGTGGGGTTATCGGACATATTTTTTAAACTAGATTCCCTTATGATGATTGCGGCCAAGTATGGTTAAATTTTGCCCAGTAGTTTCAGAGAAGAAGATTTTTGTAAAAGTTAACAGACAACGAAGGATGACAGACGACAACTGAGGATGGACACAAAGTCATGAAAAAGCTAACTTGGTCTATCTGCAAAGTGAGCTAAAAATAAACATCTTGGATAGCAGGTGGGGTCATCGGACATATTTTTAAAACTAGATTCCCTTATGATGATTGCGGCCAAGTTCGGTTAAATTTTGCCCAGTAGTTTCAGAGAAGATTTTTGTAAAAGTTAACAGACAACAAAGGATGACAGACGACAATGGAGGATGGACACAAAGTCATGAAAAAGCTAACTTGGTCTATCTGCTAAGTGAGCTAAAAATAAACAGGTAACAGGATAGTCAAAAGCCACTTAGGAATTAAAGAAATAAATATAGTACTTACACATCCAGCCTCTGTAGGCAAGGAGTCCTCTTAACATGAAACGCCTCACATACAGGAGGACGAGGAAAAACACAAAACCAACAACTGTAGAAACTATGATGGATTTCAGGATTAATGGACAACCTGCAAAGATTGAAACAGAGCTTCTCATTGAAAATATAGCTAAATGTATCAACCCAGTGACTATATAGTTAAAATTGCATTTCATTATGTTCATGTAATCTTCATCCCAATAATATATTTTCAAACAGTTGAACATTCATTATTTCCAGACCTGGGGTAATTAAAAATGTAAGTGTAATTAGCTGTAATTTATTACAAATTTGAAAGTAATTCAATGTAATGTGTAATTCAGCATATTTTCAATTGCATGTAATTGAAAGTAATTAATTACATTGCCGTTTTGCCATGTAATTATGAATTATATTTCAATTACTTTCAATTACATTAGATATTTGCTGGGAAATTTTTAAACATTTATGGCTTTTCTGATTCACTCAAACATCATGCACTTGTAAATTGTTTTTTTTCCTACATTTTTATGCACCTGGTACTTTGATTTTTTTTTATACTTTATAAACATTTGAATGTGTTGAAAAAGTATATAATTCCTGAATACTTCATTTATAATCATTAAAGCATGTAATAATTTTTACTTAATTAATTCATTAATTGTTTTTTTTTCACATGTATACATAAAAAAATAACAATTAAAATAATTACAATTCATTCATATGATTGACATATAATTTGTAAATATGTTGTTCTAACAATTAACAATAATCTTAGCCTCAGGATATTTCCTTTCACTTAAGTAAAATGTCCCTTATTTAAAATGCCATGGGCAAATTTCATTTTAAACCATCATATTTTTATGTTAAAATCTGTTCAGATGGATATAATTTAAACACTTTCTACAAAATTTTGAATATAGCAGTTACAACATACAAGAATGGAGTCCAATACACTTGACAATTTTGACTTTCCAAATGACAAGTATGGAATTTTGGTAAAAGCAAAATGCTATCATTGCTCTTGAAAGTTTCTTTACATTTTATAAACTCACATGAGATAAATAAGAAAACCTTTTAAAAATATAAATTATCTTTTAAAGTAGAAACTTGAAATTATAAGAAAAAGGTTTGAATTAAAAATATTTCCTTTTTATCTATATATATATCTTTACAAATTATTTTCGCCATAAAAATAAGAAATGCAATTAAAAAATCAGCATTGAAAGTCTAATGGAGATTAAGTGTAACAATGTCTTTGAAATTTGAAAATTTAAGTAAAATAAAACTTGTACAAATGTTTCCACTGTTAAATAGTGCATGTATGAAAGTTTCATTCTAGCCTGTTGACATTTTTATAATTTTATCCTATATGATATAGCTCTTACAGTCTTTGGACAAATGTAATTGAAATGTAATTTATTACATTGGCGATGTAATTGTAATGTAATTAATTACATTTGAAAATCAATGTAATTGTGATGTAATTAATCACATTTACATATCAATGTAATTTAAATGTAATTAATTACATTGGCATGTAATTGACCCCAGGTCTGATTATTTCTGTATTAAAAATTTTACAATTTTCAATACTCATCTAATTTTTTATAAAAGAAAACACTATCTATAAAATGCTATTTTGCTTAGTCAAACCCTTTCAGACCTCCCTGTAAATGTAAATCTTAAAAACACATTAAATATATAAATTTTGTACATATACACACACTCTTTTTTTTCTACTTCTCTACTTCAATACTTTGTCTGACATGCACAAGTATTTCATAAGGAAAAGTGTGTTAATAAATTTCTACATAATTTGCACAATAATAAAAACAATAATAATCGAAAATTGAATTCAAGCACAGTCTGTTTATTCTGATAATTTGTCTATAACTTTCAAGCCTATTCCACACATTATTCTTTCCATAGGAAAAATCTAGAGACGTCTTCTACAGGCCAAATTTACATATAAACTGTTGACACAGAGATATGTCTGGCCTGTCTGCATGAAATTCAGAAAAAGACAATCTGATTGACAGCAACATTGCTTATTAATTCAAAGTCGCTGGACCATGATCTAGTGGGCAGGGCCTGAAAATGGTGGACAAACTGAGATGTAAAGACAGTAAAATAACTTTATAGAAAATATCTATGTCTATTGTTAGTAGTTCCTATCAATCTAAAATAAGCAGAAAACTTAACATTGAAAATTGCTTGTTAATTCAATGTCCTTAGACCATGTCCTAGGGGGCAGGGCCTCAAAATAGTTGTGAAACTGATATGTACTGATAGTAATGCAACTTTATACAAAATATCATTGATTTATCAAAAGTAGTTCTTATCAAACTGACTTAAGCAAAAAAACCTAACATTGAAAATTGCTTGTTAATTCAATGTCACTGGACCATGTCCTAGGGGGGCAGGGCCTCTAAATGGTTGTCAAACTGACATATACTGATAGTAATGCAACTTTATACAAAATATCATTGATTTATCAAAAGTAGTTCCTTTCAAACTGACTAAAGCAGAAAACTAAACAACTGTTGACGCTGTCAAAGCAATCCCTATGGCTCGCTTTCCACGACTTTCGTCGAGGCAAGACAAAAACACCAACCTATTCCACTTTTCAATAATTTAATAGTGTTATACACATGATACTTGATAAAAAGATGTTATTTATGAAAAATATATAAGGATGTTGGATTATTATAAAAAACAAAACTGTACACAATAAATAAATTAAATATATGCCTAAGAAGTGTACAATACAACACTAAAATAAAAATTAAAAAAAAGTAAAAAGTCAATAAATATTTCAGATAACAGATATCCTTCATCAGTATGATTTAAAATTATAAATCTTATCACTCTTTGCTGATTTTCCTCAAACAATCTTGAAAGTAATACAAACTATAAACCAAACGACACTTGTATACATGTAATTGTAAAATCTTATAAATATATACATGTAATTGTAAAATCTTATAAATATATACATGTATATATCTTTTATTAATCTTTTATGAAGATGGGTACAAGGTGGGCAAAACATCTAAGCATTCCTGTATGTCCACCTTTAGATTGGAAATGTTATTTCTTTTCTTCTTTCATAAAACTTGCGTAGTCAACTTCAACCTTGGATTTATTCTAAATATTCAATACAAAAGCTAAACTCACTTTTCCGAGGTAGTAAATGTACAAGTGACTGAAATAATATGACCTATAAGATATGTCAACAGTTTACTGCTAAAATGATTAATCTATGGGTTGTTTTTATTTACAGTGAACATATATATATATATATATATTTCTGAATGATACAATGATTCAGTGGTTTATTAAACTTCCACAAAACTTGGGAATTGGCTGAAAAATTATAATTGATTTATCAGAATAATCAGAAAACATGTCTCAGTTCTAATTTCAAGCATGAAAGGGAGACATTTAATTACATATGTACCTTTGGGGATATATATATATTAGTGTTACACATGTACCTTGGGGAATATATAAGTGTTACACTATACCTTATTAGGAGATACATAAGGATTACACATGTACCCTTGGGGGTATTTACAAAATTGAAGTATTACACATGTCATGCATGTACCTTATTAGGGGATACATAAGTTTTACACATGTACCTTGGGGAGTATTTACAAATTTTAAGTATTACACATGTACCTTGGGGGATATATAAGTAAGCAGGTAGTATAAGTAGTCTAGCATTGATAGGTCTGACTAAATCCCAGTCACCAAGCATGCACACAGACAGACAAAGTACCATGAAACCAAGGTTCCATATAGAGGCTGGCCACATTCCATTCTTGAGAAGATTTCTGAAATTAAACAAATTTTCATTATTTCACAGTAATAGATTTAATATTGAATATCACACATTGAAGTCCAAATTTGTAACACCATTTATGAATCCAGTGCTTCTTTTGTTTAGAATTTAAAAAATTATCCCTATTGCTGCATATTTCAATGCTCATGTTACTGGGAGACTACCAAGGGCAAATAACGGAAGAAGTCACTTTCCCTTTGATCGTTGCTGGGAGACTACCTAGGGCAAATAACGGAAGAAGTCACTTTCCCTTTGATCATGTTGCTGGGAGACTACCTAGGGCAAATAAAGGAAGAGGTCACTTTCCCTTTGATCATGTTGCTGGGAGACTACCTATGTCAAATAACGGAAGAAGTCACTTTCCCTTTGATCATGTTGCTGGGAAGAAGTCACTTTCCCTTTGATCACTTTGCTTTTCTTGACGGACAAAAGTGATATCTAGTAGCCCTGTGTTGAAAAAGTCATGTTTTTTATCAGTAATTTTTCATTTTTATCAAGTTGTTGTTAGAACAGTTTTTGGTTAATAGGTAAAGAAATTCTATGACATAGACAACTTTAATCTTAAGAAACGAAGTGAAAGCATATACTTTGTAGATTGGCCATATATTTTTCTGAAGGAACAAACTTTTCATGCAAACAAATCGGCGGATATACAAATCAATGTAAAAGGAGTTCACAAATTATTGAAGAACCTAAAACCACATAAGGCAACTGGACCAGATGCTATACCATCCTGTATACTAAAGACAGCAGCAGACCAACTTGCTCCAATTCTTACATAACTGTACCAAGTATCCATCAACACCGGAGAAGTCCCTCAAGATTGGAAAGATGCAAATGTAGTCCCACTCTTCAAAAAGGATGAAAGACATTTAGCATCAAACTTCAGACCTGTATCACTTACTTCCATTACATGCAAAGTCCTGGAACACATTGTACACAGCAGTGTAATGGACCACTTTGACAAAAACAAAATTCTTACAAACGCACAACATGGATTCCGTAAACAACGATCTTGCGAATCCCAACTAATCATCACCATTCATGACATTGCCAACATCAGTGACATAAGCCGACACAGTTGAAGGATTCAGAGCTGCCCTAAGGGCATGCTCTGCTAAAATCTAGACAGCAACATCCTGTACATAGTTTTAATTGTATATATATAGAGAACGTTTTAAATGTAAATAGCCAAGAGAAAACTTTCTGTGTTGTCTGACGCTGCGCATAGTTTAAGAAGAAGAAGAAGAAATCCAAGTATTTCCTTTCAATTTCGGCACTTGTTACACAAGCATATACCAAAGATTTTGCTTTTTTGGCAAAATAAATTTATTCTTTATAAAAATGTGATTCATTGCATCAAAAACATCATCATCATGATCATGGTCATATTCCTTTCCAAATCCCTTGTCAAAGATTTATTTTTTTCACAAATTTTACTCAACCGAAATAGGAATATCTGCTAGCCAGGGTTAGAAGGGACCAACAATGACCAGAATCTACAATTATAACTTAAGATGCATGCATGGCTCAGCTGACAAAATAATGAGCCAATAAGTGAAAAATAACAACAAGCATAAAGACATTTGATTAAATTCCCTTAGTTACAAGTATATCATGTATATAGTTTAATGCAAAGGCAATGTTTCAATTTATTGATTTAAGTTGCTTAACATTTTTAATTTCATATATTTTTTAACATGTTTAATACATGTAAGAAACAATAAATATCATAAACATGATAAACAGAATAGTTTTCTTCATTTAACAACTAAATTCCAGTTGATATGGCCCACTCATTTGCACATTTTAAATCACCTATTTGTTGATCAGATATCTATTGTTCCTCTATTGTCTGTGTCAATCAATACAATGCACTAGTATTATTGTCTGAGGGGAACATCTCAAACTTTTAGCAACTCAAGATTATTTTGGCACAGAAATTTATGATCAAAATCCTGGAAAGTTTTCAATTTTCAGAAACTCAAACTGTTTTCAAATTTTATTTATCTAGGCTATGCCCTAAAACTTGAGAGTTGCACAGGATTAATTTTGTCTGTAATCAGAATAAATTTGTAGGTGTAATCTGGTGATGGTGGCCGGTACTTGGCAAAAGGTTCAGACATGGATTAACCTTAAATAGAATATAGATTTTAAAATGTGCTCTCTGAGTACTTGAATTAAGCCCAAAAATGTGTGCACATTATGATCTGATATTTATTGTGCAATGCAGGTCATGACCTGCATTTTCACTTTTAGGGGTTGAAAAGTGTGACAGCCCTACATTTTGACCTAATACCAAAAAAGCATTCATTCCAGATCATATTTCATTAAATTCAACTGTAAATGTGGTACGTATTCTAAATGAAATTGAATTGTCTTTTTTCCATAAGTGAAACCTCTAAATTATAATTTCCACTCTTTGTTGCTAAATTATAGTAATAAATAGCATATTTTTTTCAAATATAATTGGATATCTTTACGTACATTCAAATATCTTTAGTTTGGGCTAATGTTAATAATATAAAAACTTTCCATTTAAAAATTTAAAAAATAATGACAACTCAGACGACTAGCTGACTTGGTCAAAGTCCAACACAATTTAACTGTAATTCTATCCTGTGGGTTTTATGTCGAAAATAAACCTTGTTCTATAAAATCTGCGAACAACTGATCTTCGCCATTCCCTAAATATATCTTGTTGGTATTCTTCCCCAGACCGAAGTTGATGGACCCTAGGTTCTTTCGCTGCAGAACACGCTTCTGCCATTTAGCTGTTTGTAGAACAGTGTTCAGACTGCAAGTAGTTATTGTTGTCTGCTAGCTAGGTGCTTGTTTAATAGATTATCATGTAAAACGAATTATTAAAAAGTAAAAATATTTTACCTCGTATTGACTATAAATACTTTTTATTATCGTTTCTGGTTTCAAGTTTTTATGACTAAAATATTGTTTTGTTTTAAATTAAGAGAAATGAATAAATCATTTATACAGTGGATAATAATTTCCTTTATTCGTTTTTACATGTCAGATAATCTAGAAAATATAAAACTTAACATAAATTGTTTTAACCCGATGAAATGAGCGTTTGAAAAATCAATCTTGATACTTTCAACTTCAAGCTTTTAAAAGAGAAATTTATTCATCGAAATATACTCTCGACACCAAATGAAATCGTTCTGAAATGCATTTTGAATTTTAGCATTCTTTATCGGATTGAAATCAAAACGTGTAATAAAATTGATAATCAAGATTAAAATCACAGTTTAAAGCAGTTTGTTGTCTGAAACTCAGATCGTAACAGACGGAGATTTCATCAGTCACGTGACCACATCAAAACAAGGAGCTGGTAATCGGCGAACATCCGATTACGCTGTGATTCCCTGTTCACAGCCGAAGCAAGGGAATGATCAGGGATCAGATTATCTAATCGAAGTCTTTAAATAACATTTACAACCCTCTCTGAATTGTTGTTTTATCATATGGCACATGGTAATTGATTTTTATTGTATTTAAATGTGGTTCACCTTATAAAGCCGCCATTATGGTGATTGATTACTTCATGTACACCATGTGTATTTATGAATGTTGCATGAATTTTCTGCAAAATGATTTTTTTATTTTGATTGTTGAAACAATAGCATTTAAAATAATTAAGAAAACATACTTTCTTTAGTAATAATTTTTTTTGACTTTTAAGAAGATGTGACACAATTTAAAATTTTGTTTACCTACAAATGTTCATATTTATACCTTACTACATGAACCCCTGTAACGAACTGATAGCAAAAAAGTGTAAAATATTGTGAAAATATGTATTTAAATATATCAAACTATCAACCTGATCAATATGCATATATTTCAATCCCAGAAGTCACTCAGAACAAGGCTGCTACATCATTGGTGCCAAACCGTCACATTGACAGGCATGTATAGCCATAATAGTGCAAATTAATTTTCCAAAATTCACTAACACAACAAATGACAGTGATAAACAATGGTTCAGTGTGCAGCTGCAAGATGCAACAATAGACATTCAAAGAGTAGTGAAATAAGTTTTTTCCGATTTCCAATTGACCAGCAGACCAAGAAGGCATGGACACATTATTGTAAGAGAATGGACTTCCAACCAAACCCAAACCACAGACTTTGTTCTGCCCACTTTTCTATTGCATGTTACGAGCGTGACCCAAATATGATTAGAAATCTTGGTTGCCCTCCAATGAAGTCAAAACTCAAGCCAGATGCTGTGCCAGATATTCCATTGATCCAACCAACAACAGCTGAGCAAAAACCATCACTTCCAAATTCGGGGGCTAATGAGAAGCAGAGAAAGGCTGAGGTAAAAAAAAAATCATCTTGGCGAATATTTAGTTTAATCCTACATGTATAAGCTTATTATAATTCTTAATAGTTGTTCATTTGGTATTGCCAAACATGTCTTAAGTTCGGGAGTTATCTGGAAAACTGATGTCAACACTTTCCATTGTTTAAATGTGCAGAAAAGTAATCAACATTGTCCAGTTTGAGACATTTTCTCGGCTAATGACGTCATCACAATCGCTAACGGTTATCTATATAAAAATTATTGATTATGACAAGCACTGGATTCTTTGACCTAAAAAATGCAGATTGATCAGGTAAGACTTATAAGCATCATGTTTATTGATTTTTTTTTTTTTTTTAAATTGTGTCACGTCTCCTTTAAGTGTTCATGATCATCCTATTGATTGCATTTTCCCCTAGAAAAATGTCATAAGGCAAATATCTTCACAACACAATGTCCTGTAAAAGGTTTTCCCCAGAGTGACCTCAGTTCATTTATAAAAAGGAAATTGTAAACTTGTATATTGCCATACCTGTCAACCTCTGAAAATGGAAATGCAGGTCATAACGAGTTCAAATTTTTTTCAGTTGAATTTTTGTATTTAGAGCATTTTTTATAATCCATAACATATATACCAGTTTCCTACAAATATTCACAGTTGTAAATTATTTGCTGAAAATTATTTAAATTTCAAGTTTTATATTTTCTTGTTTATAACTTCATTGTCAATGATTGTGTTTGTGAAATATTTATTATTAATCAAATATCAATATAAAGCAATGCCTTCTTATAATTCATTTAATTGTTTCCTTCACACTATTTTTTATTAATTAATTTTCTAAACACCAACTATAATCATGATAATACATAGTAATCTTTTATATATATATATATAAAAACCTGAAAAATTAAGCTGCTTCTGTCCTCAGTTCTAATGACTGTTTTGAAAAATAGCCAATTAGTTTCACATGTTCTGTTGATATATATATATTATAGAAGTCGGCTATAGCTAATGTGCTATACATAGGAGGAAGATAAAAAGAAAGAAGAATTTACTGTTGTTAACATTCTGTGCAGCCCAAGAGTGATTTTTCGACAGTTTTGAAAGAGCCTAAGATGTCAAATTCGTGATCACTGATTTGACTTAAATTCTCATGTTTGATTCAAAACATACTTAGACATAGTTCACAAAAAGTCCATTTTAGTGGACATTTTAGACTAGACGCCATCTAATTAACAATTGAGATTACCTTTGAAGACTGCAGACCCGATATAAATATAAGTAGACTGAGAAGCATGTGGAGTTGTACTATAACGATTTTCCCAGTTCTGTTTGATTTCCTGTCATAGATTTTAAAATGTAAATCATTGCAGTCCTCACGCCACACTTAACTTTAAAACCTACAAGCCAGTTGGACTTGTGGTTGATAAGATTTTACAAGTCCCTTGAAAAATCCACAAGTCCAAACAAATCACTATCACCAGTGTTTTGCGTTGCGAACTGCTAGGAGGGTCTAGGGGCATTCCCCCCCCCCCCCCTGAATTTTTTTGAAAAAATTAGAAGCAAAATCCTGCATTCTGAGAGCTTTGAGTGTCATATTTTGAAGATACCTAATATATAAATTTAAAAGGAATAACATTGACCAGTGGAGAAAAAAGTTAAAATTAGCTGTTATATTAATTTTATCACTTCCTGGTGTCACAAACTGAGAATCTATTTTATTTTCTATGCACCAGGAACAGAACAGACCTCGTCATAAAACAACCGTGGCCTTCCATCTTGCCAAGTGTTAAGAAACTGTTGCAACCATGTTTTTTCTTGCAGTTTCGTAGGCAGTGGGCTCCATCAGTATAAGGCCTTAAGAACATTTTTGCCTGTCATTAAAATCAATGTCTCGATCCAATAATAAATGTAATGCGTTTAAAAAAAGAGAGGAGAAAGATACCAAAGGGACATTCAAACTCATGATTCATGTGAAAAAGCGCTCAATAGAATCCGAATATTTGGTGTCACTAATTACCAAAGTCAAAAAGAGTGCACCAACTCCTGAAAAATCTACAAGCCCGTCTGGCTTCTGAAGAACAAAATTTAAGAAGTCCGCAGCCAATTTTACTGGCCAGGACCGTTGATCTTGTGGCTAAATTTGAAGACTGCATTGCATTGATTTACCTGGATATGAATATTTTTTGATGGTGGCTCTCTTGTTTCACTTTTCAATGTTGACATTCATTTTTTTTAATAACTGAACACGCTTAGGGCATACATGTATGTAACCAGTCAGGGGACTTACTTAAATGAGTGATTTTCTAAATCACTGATTCAAGTAACATTATGTCCACAAAGGTTGGAAGTAAGACATGTAAGAGTTGTCTTTCTTTAATAATCACCTATTTAAGTAGTACAAATAATCACTAGACTAAGTGATTTAAATTTAATGAAGCTTTAAATATACAATACTAATGATCCAGGGACTAATTATGTTGCTAAAATTATCAGAACCAACATCTGTATTGGTAGGATGACCGGTCATGTCAGGTGATGACCTTGTACTAAATCTAGGATAATGACATAAAAGTCACTTGTTTAAGTATCATACCTCAATTTCCTTCCAAAAAATCACTTCTTTATATTAAGTATCATTATTTTAATAACCCCCACTAATTTCAGCACCCCCGAACAGTGAAATTTTGATCGCGAACAGTAGAATTTTATTACATTATCTTTAAGACATTGTAAGATGAAGCCTTGAATTTTACAGGAAAAATACTCCCACTGCTGGGAAAAATCTGTTAAGAAAGTAGTTCATTATGTAAAACCATTTTTGTCGAGCCTTCGACTTTTGTCGAAAAAGCGAGACATAGCGATCCTACATTCCGTCGGCGTCGTCGTCGGCGGCGGCGTCCACAAATATTCACTCTGTGGTTAAAGTTTTTGAAATTTTAATAACTTTCTTAAACTATCCTGGATTTCTACCAAACTTGGACAGAAGCTTGTTTATGATCATAAGATAATATTCAAAAGTAAATTTTGTAAAAAAAAAAATTCCATTTTTTCCGTATTTTACTTATAAATGGACTTAGTTTTTCTGCCAAGAAACATTACATTCACTCTGTGGTTAAAGTTTTTGAAATTTTAATAACTTTCTTAAACTATCCTTGATTTCTACCAAACTTGGAAAGAAGCTTGTTTATGATCAAAAGATAGTATCCAGAAGTAAATTTTGTAAAAAAAAAATTCCATTTTTTCTGTATTTTACTTATAAATGGACTTAGTTTTTCTGCCATGAAACATTACATTCACTCTGTGGTTAAAGTTTTTGAAATTTTAATAACTTTCTTAAACTATCCTGGATTTCTACCAAACTTGGAAAGAACTTTGTTTATGATCAAAAGATAGTATCCAGAAGTAAATTTTGTAAAAAAGTAAAAAATAAATTCCATTTTTTCCGTATTTTACTTGTAAATGGACTTAGTTTTTCTTCCAGTTAACATTACATACAGTCTGCACTTTAAGTTTTTAAAACATTTATTAGATTGATAAACTATCCTGGATTTTTACCAAACTTGGACAGAAGCTACTTACAATCAAAAGATAGTATAGAGAGGAATATTTTTATTAATTTTTTTCCTCATTTTTGTTGAGCCTGCGATTAACAGCAAAAGTAGGCGAGACACTGGGTTCCGCGGAACCCTTACGAATTTTTATAGCATTTTTTCAAGTAAAACAGAATTTGCAGCTAAATGATTGCATCAAAGGCATAAACCTTGCTGCTTAAAAGAAGCAAAAAGTTCATTTTTTTCAATTTTACTAATGAAAAGATATTATCTAAACCTATGTGTTAAAATTTGTGACAAAACTTTGAATTTTCTACTTAAATAAGTGATTTAAAATTCACAATAAGTCCCCTGACTGTCATGACTGTTTAAGAAAACTGTTTTCAGAGAAATTTAATCGCTAATTCTTTTGGAATAAGATGTAAAGGAAAATTAACACTGAAACCTTGATCAGTCCCATCTATAGTAAAACCTTCTCCAGTTGTACAGCATAAAGTAAGTGAAGACAGACAATCTACTCAACTTAACATGATTAAGAAGAAAAACAGGGCACAGGTACATGTGTAAATGCTCTCCCAACAATCTGAGGTACAAGTCATTCTTAATGTCTCAGGTCTGCTCTTGCCTTGTTTTGATTTTAACTTTTCCTCTTATGGGAGGAATAATTTGGGATCATATTTAAATATTCTGGGAGACAGCATATGATGCATGACTAGTTTACTGAAGGTTCAGTTTTACCAAGTTCCCTGAACACGATTTTCCATCACCAGGGATGAGAGAAATTATGAAAATAATGGTTTGGCATAAGAAACCATGGAAACCGTGAATTTTAAGCGCTGTGAAAATTAACCACGATACTGTTGTTTTTATTACCGGTATTCCTAATTAAGGAATAATTCTTATTATATAACTGTTAATTATATCCCTTTTATCAATGACTCTTTGCATTTTCTTTATCTCTGATTTCAGACTAAAGCTTCCACAACAACAATGCCAGTGAAGAGAAATCCCACCAGGAGTCGTCGGACAATGGGCATTGAGCTCTTTATGGAATGCACTGAAGAGGCTTTGTCCCCAAGTCAGATCACTGCCCAGCAGGTGGCAAGATATCAGTATGACCAAGCCATTGCCCAAATTAGAGATGCTCATGCCAAGGCAAGGATAGGCAAAGCTAAAATTATAAACAAAGTTGACAATGTTGGCAAAGTATCGCCTCAAGTTACTCAGAAGGCAGCTCCTGCATTGAAAACTCCATCACCGAGTGGAAAAGAACCAGGTATGATTTTACTCGTTGATAATTAGAAACTGAATATCAAGTTTTGTTGAAAGGTTTACATAAACAGTGTTCCCACAGCGACTTCATATAATTATCATAGTGACTGCAGCGCTTACATTTGCCTGCTGTGCCGCAGTGTTTTTCATATTTGATCATGTTTAATCATGGAATGTTGATAACTTTTGTCAAGTTAGATGTGTTAGAGATATCTGCTGATCAGTTGACCAATATTAGGAAATTACTGATCCACTCCATCAGAATTTGAATTTGCATAGAAATTTACTCATTGTTTATATGCTTAAATAACTTACAAATTTTCTAAAAATTGGGACCCAATGAAAGACAATTACATACAGAAATGTCGATCTCAGAATATTGGTCCCCCACCCATATCCATCTGGATTTATTTTTAGCCTAACTAAGCATTGTATCTTTTGGTCTGTCAAACTTCCAATATTCATTTGAGTTGAACTACAGTTATCTCGAAATATTTCTGTGGACCGGGTGACTTCTAGATAACCAGAGTCGACTGTTCAGGAAAAATGAATGAAGATTGAAGTCAATATCTTTAAATAAATTGATGGTTTCATCTGTTTAATTTGAGTTGTAAGAAGTAAGCTACTTACAGTGTATAAGTGGGCACAACAAAATCAGCATGAGCTGAGGTGTAGTTTGCGACGACTCAACTCTTAATCTTTTTATTATTTACCTTTATTCACAAATTTTCAGAACGTTCATCTAGTCCTGATATTATATTTGTTGGAGAAACACCGGCTTCCAAGCCCCGACAACCAGTACAACAGCCACAGCCACTGACCCAACCACCACAACAACAACAGGTGTACAAGCTTGTCAGTGTCAGCCAGGCAAACCAAGGACAACTTGGACAATGGATGATGAAACCTGTTGCTAATGTCATGGTGAGTAGAAATTAAGTAATAGTAAACCAAACCAACCAAGGAAAATGGGTGATGAAACCTGTTGTAAATGTTATTGTGAGTAAAAATCGGTTACAGAAAACCAAACCATCATGTTGCCTTCATGTGATGGAAACAACGATAAGAATTAAGTTATGGACAAAAGTTTAATGTAAGACCAAAGATTTAACACATGCATGACGTGCTGACAGTAAAAGAGGGTACACTGAACTCATGCAAATTTAGCTGGACGGATAAAGCTTTGAATGGTATACAGGAAGCATGATAATGAGCAAAATTTTGTATCTACTTTCGCAAATATTCCAGAATCGGTAAATTGATAAGATGACAACAAAAATATTATGAAAATGTCAGAACTGATAGACTATCTTCATATTACCGACTTTTGACTCCGGATTATATAATTTGTCGACTGGTTTCCTTGGACATCATGGTACTCGGTCAAGTAATAGCAACCAAAATAAGTAAAATCAAACATATAATCGGTGTAATTTGAGGGGAAAGTTTACTGTTTTCCGATGATTTTGTAGTGAAAAAAATATTAACCAGGTAATTTTCCCCCAAAATTGTACTGATTGAAAGCTTGGTTTTACTTCTTTAGCTTGCTCTTACCTGACTTGGTACCATGATGTCCAAGGTAACCAGTCGACAAATCATATAATCCGGAGTCAAAAGTCGGTAATATGAAAATAGTCTATTCCCATCTGATCAAACATGTTCTGTCAAAATTTAAGAGAGAGGTGATATTCAAACTCATAAGTCTTAAACAAATTGACAATGCCTTGGCAAAAAACAAAAATGACTAAAAGACAAACAACAGTCTTCAAAACACAACATAGAAAACTAAAGACTGAGCACCACAAACCCTACCGAAAACTGGGGTGATCTCAGGTGCTCTGGAAGGGTAGGCAGAACCTGTTCACATGTGGCACCCGTCCTGTTGCTCATGTAAGTACAAACCTGGTAATAAGTCTCTCTTTGCTCATCCAATCAATAAGTCAAAATATATATTTATAATTTGATGCGAAGCAACAAAAAAACATCAAAATTTGAAATTCTGATTCATATACATGTATTTAAGTTATTTATGTTTTAATATTATGATCAATTAACTAAATACATATATCATGTTTGAAAAGTTTTGAATATCAAATGAATAAATATGAAAAATGTTTGCTTATTGTTTTCATTTTCAGATTTATTTGTTTGATTATTTTGTAATTTCTTTGTTTGTTATAATTCAATGTATTTCATGAGGGCCTTTGGGAAGATTAGATTTGTTGTAGTGATGTAAGAAAAATAGATTGAAGCAACAATTAAAATGGGAACCATTTGAAATAAATCAAGGGGGACAATTCTAACAGAACTGATTAGTTTAAGTATTGCAGTAACGGAATGTGGTATGATTGCCATTGTAATAACTATCCACAAAAAACAAAAGGAAAGAGATGTGAACAGGTCACTCATTCACTTGAAGCTGTGAAAAATCTTTCGTGTTAGTGCTTTAAAGTACTTTGATTTATTTCAGTCATTAAGGTTCATCATAACAAATGGACAAATATGGCTGTATTTACACCTCAAAAACTACTCTGTGTACAGACTTACCTGTGAAGTTTGAAAAGTTTTAAGGCCTGGCATCCACTAGATATATAAAAGTTAAATGCATTTTGTGTTTCAGAAAGATAAAATCTTTTTTGGATTTTGATGGGCATTTTTTTTCGTTTCTGCTGTTGCAATTGGTGTAAAAATAAACAAACACCTAAATTACATTTGATACTGTCCACTCAGTTACACCCTTTAACTCACCTATTGTTGTGTAGATATCTATTGTCCAGGCCAATCAATACAATGCAATACAGTTGTTCACTGAGAGGGAGCATCTCAAAGATTTACCCACATTAGTTTAATTTTTACACCTTCTGCAGGAACAGAAAAAAATGCCTATCAAAATCCATAAAAGATTTTATCTTATTGAAACACAAAATGCATTTAACTTTTATATATCTAGTGGATGCCAGGCCTTAAAACTTTCCAAACTTCACAGGTAAGTCTGTACACAGAGTAGTTTTTGAGGTGTAAATTACAGCCATATTTGTCCATTTGTTATGATGAACCGTAAGGTAATGATGGTTTCATATAAACACCATGTTTTGTTCTATTTTTAGCCTCAACAGCAACAGACATTAAATAGACCAGTACAACAAGGTAATATATGTCTTATAACAGCAGTCTGTAAAAAGCTTAACTGGCCTTGGTAAAATTATAAAAAAATTACAAGGGTCAAAATAAGCATGTTTTGAATTTGGTTAATATTCAATATAAAAAGATGTGTTATGGCTGCCAATGAGACAACTTTCCACCAGAGACCAAAGTAAGTAGATGTAAGCAACTATAGGTGACCCTACAGCCTTCAACAACGAGCAAAATCTGTATTGCATAATCGGCTAAAATAGGCCCAGACATGACAAAATGTAAAATAATGCAAACGAAAAAACTAACAATCTGATATAAGTACAAAACAAGAAAAGAAAAAAAAAAATTGATAGCAACTAACAACAGCCACTGAAGTACAGGCACCTGACTTTGGACCCTGTTAAAATGGTTAAGAATGAATTAAAAAAAATTGTTGCTAAATTCTTAAGATACACATTGATATGGTTTAACAAAGTTTCTGGAGGCAAAAAAAGAATTTAAATCACATATTTTCAATTATACATTACAGTGCAACAGGTTGGTCAGCAGGTCAGTGGCACCATGGGGATGGGTTACAAACGTCCAGCAAACTTCCAACAAGATCAACTTGCCAAGAAAAAACCAAGACGACCAGGCGAGGTTGACGAATATGGTAAAAAGAGACCTTTTGAAAGTGATGAAAGTGGTAGGTGCATTATGGGTACTTTGTTACCATGTCAACACATCATTGAATCATAGCAAAAACATTTAGGAAATGAATGCTTAGGTGTCTCATTCGTTGTGTGCTTTGCTTGTAGTATAATGTCATGAATATGTAGATTTTTGATTTGTTATTGCAAGCTTAGAATTATTTTTAAGGCTAGTTAAACTTGAAAAATTATAGTAAATGCAATGCTATCAAATAAATTGATATGGTTTTTAAATTCAACATGATTTGGCACAGCTCCAGTAAAACATTTTTAATGTCTTTTTGAATTACAAATTAGGTTTGATATGACAGCTTTCAAATTATTATTTTAATGGTTGTTTTTGAATTTGCATTTTTACGTGAGAAAAAAACTACATGCAGATTTGACTTGTTTTATACAGCATATTGAAATTAATGAATTTTATTTCACTTGTTTCTGTTAAACATGTCATAGCAGAAGTAAGATATGCTATCCAACTAAAATTGACTTAGTCAACATTTAGGTCTTTGGTTAAAGTACTTAAAAAATCAATAACTCTCTCAAACTTTCATGGAAATTTCATGAAAGTTGGATAGAAGCTTATTAATAATCAAAAGACAGAATCTAGAGCAAATTATATTCAACAATTATTTTTTTGTCATTTTTTCTGGTAAATGGACTGACTTTCTTTTGCAATAAACATTTCAGATATAGTCGTATAGACATCAATTACTCTGTAAAACCTTCATTGAATTAAATGAATCAGGGACAGAAGATTTTTTATGGTCATGATGATTAAGATGAACACCAGAAGAAAAATTTTGAAAATAGTTTACTTTCAGTTTCTGGATTTTGATGATAGATGACCTTAAAATTTTGCAGTTAACATTTACAAAAAGTCTGGTATAAAAAAAGAATTCAAACCTTAGTGGGCTGTTACAAAACTTGGGACAGAAACTTCATCATGATCAAGAAATAGCATCTTATGAAAAAATTATTTTTCTGTATTTTTTTAAATGATAAAAAGTGTTTAGCAGTCACCCTTACATCAGTCAGGGGTACTTCTTGTACAAGTTATCTTTTTTTACTTGGAAGAAGTAAAAAAAATATACTTATATAAGTTAATTATAATGTTTGAATAATCTCCCCTTAACTTTCTCAAAAATTCACTTGTATAAGTAAAATTTTTTTTTTACAATCCCACAAAAATTCTCAAGTTTTGAGATGTAAAAATATGCCATTAATGATTTTTCCCAGGTTAGCTCATAATTTTTTATTAGAGTTCAATGTTTCATCTCATTGATTCAACAAAGAAACTGATTGCGCAAAGATCTTAAGTATTTGCGCAAGGCCTTCAAAAATTGCTCCTTTGGGGCTTGTAAATGAGCAGTGTTCTGAAGATAACAGACAAATGAGATTTTCATTGTCCATGAAATTACACTTAAATGATTAGTTAAGACATCTGCAAAGGACAGACAATTTAAAATTCTATTAGAGCAAAGAAGTCCTAAGAATTCAAGAATAGAAGACACTTATATAAGTAAGAAAATCTGAATGTCTAAGGGACATAACTAAGCCAATTTTTTTTACCTATAAAGGTAAATAAAATACACTTGTATAAGTATCCTACAAATTTACTTATATAAGTATATTAATATTACTTCTTCAAGTAAATAAAAATTACTTGTACAAGTAGTACCCCTGACTGTACATTGACAGCATCAATCACAGGCAAAACATAATGTTCCATAGAAGACTTTACCACTTTTAAAATTTTGAGATATTAAAAATTCTGTAACTGTGTTTGACTGCATGTGCTTGCATGCATTTTCTCATCATCATTTATCACATCATTTGCCAACATTGAATTTTCAGGTAAGAGTCCAGATATTTGTGTCAATGGTAAGTTCCTGCAACCTAATGCCTTTCACTGTGGGACAGTCCTCTAACATTTTACAGCTGATAAACTTGAGTGTGTACAAAAAACAATGAAGTGAAGTTTGCTATGTAAACTATTAAATCATATTACCTTTAATTTTACTACCTATTTAAAAAGTAACATTAGTGATTATTAGCCAACAATATCATAGGGCAGGTAACATTCACCTGTTTGATCACCTGGTTTTTATGTTAACAATAGCTAATAAAGAATTCATGGTCCTTCTGTCAAACAAGCAAATCTAGCTTTTATGATCTAAGAACATACTCAAATAGTTCAGCTGTAAGGGAAAACCCCTTTCTGATTTAAACATTATTATTTTCTGATTATTGTGGACTCGTCCTTATTCACTGGTTACTGTTTTTTTTGTGGGAATAGGTGAACCACTTGTTTAAGTGTTTGATTCAAGTGTAAATTTCCTATTTTCTAGTTGTATGGAGGAATTAAAAACCACAAATGCTGGTAATTTGTACCAACAAAAAATGCATCTGTATCAAACTTTTCATATTCAACTGCCAAAATTCCTGAATTGAGTTAATTATGTGTTTTGGGGGCTATCTGACTGAACTTCCAACCCTAACATTTTTTATGAAAATTTCATTGTTCTCATAACAAGCAAGCCTAAATTTATTTTACTTTCTACACACTCAATAGATTTTGTTGTAATCATAAGTAATTAACTCATTATTAAATGTTTGTCAACCTTAAAATTCAAAGTTTGATACAAACAACGTACACTAAAGTTGATGTGGATTCTGTCATATCCGCCTGCCCACTGTGGACATCCCTATCCTGTCCACTTGAAGATACCACAAATTTTGGAAAATTATTGAAATCAAAATCTTCACCAAATTTCTCAAGTCTATTCATGAGAGAAAAATAATGGCATATCCACTGCATGATATGGGCATATTTCAAAAATCATTGAGGGTTCTACTTGATGCCCATTTAAACCATCCATGGTTGGAAATGACAAAAAACCACATGGGCTGAAGTGTATCTGCATGAACAGTTGTTATACAATATTGTTATTCAGTTTGCATGACTACTGGAATCTTTATTATGATGGAATATTTGATATCTAGAAAGACCAGAATGTACTCCATGTCATACCCACTCCATTGTTAGTCTGTCAACAAATATCTTCATCACTCAAATGAATAGAATAACTGCTTATCTGGTTTGCAGCTTGACAGTAATGAGTTGTTTAATACTTGTGAAGAATACATTTTGGATCTGTGGGACAACTAAGTTAAAACTGTTTTCCAATACTTTGAATTATGTGTCTGGGAATGCTTAAGAAAAACATTGTTTGCAATCTTTGTGATTTAAATGCCATTGAAATCAGCTGATTTAAACTATAGATAAAGGAGATGTGGTATGATTGCCAATGAAGCAGCTATCCATTAGAGACTAAATGATGCAAGTAACTACTGGTCACAGTACCACCTTAAACAATGAGTGAAACCCATACTGTATAGTCAGCTTTAAAAGGCCACAGCATGCCGACATTTTAAACAATATAAAAGAGCCTGATATATGCTAAGGGAGCTACCATTTGATTTTTATGGTGTGGGGGGCTAGGATGAAAAATTTTGTCCTGCATTTTTATACGACCGCAAAAAAATTTTTGTGGTCGTATATTGGTATGACGTTGGCGTCGTCTTCGTCGTCCGAAGACACATTGGTTTTCGCACTCTAACTTAAGTTTAAGTGAATGGATCTCTATGAAATTTTACCACAAGGTTCAATACCACAAAAGGAAGGTTGGGATTGATTTTGGGGGTTATGGTACCAACAGTAAAGGAATTAGGGGTCAAAAAGGGGCCAAAAATAAGCATTTTTGTAACTTCCAGACATAATTTGTGTATAAGTGTATGGATCTCTCTGACATTGTACCACAAGGTTCCATATCACAAAAGGAATGCTGGGATTGATTTTGGGGGTAATTGCCTCAAAATTTTAGGAATTAGGGGCCAAAAAAGGGGCAAAAAACAAGCATTTTTCTAGTTTCATAACAATAACTTGTGTGTTAGTGTATGGATCTTTCTGAAATTGTACTACAAGGTTCCATATCACAAAGGGAAAGCTGGAATTGAGTTTGGGGGTAATTGCCGAAACGTTTAGGAATTGGGGGCCAAAAAGGGGCCAAAAAACACATTTTTCTAGTTTCCAGACAATAACTTGTGTTCAAGTGTATGGATCTCTCTGAAATTGTACTGCAAGGTACCATACCACAAAGGGAAGGCTGGGATTGATGATGGGGGTAATTGCCTAAATATTTTAGGAATTAGGGGCCAAAAAGGGGAAAAAAAAAGCATTTTTCTAGTTTCAGGACAATAACTTGTGTGTAAGTGTATGGATCTTTCTGAAATTGTACTACAAGGTTCCATACCACAAAGGGAAAGCTGGGTTTGAGTTTGGGGGTAATTGCCCTAAATGTTTAGGAATTTGGGGCCAAAAAGGGGCCAAAAACACATTTTTCTAGTTTCCAGACAATAACTTGTGTTCAAGTGTATGGATCTCTCTGAAATTGTACTGCAAGGTACCATACCACAAAGGAAAGGCTGGGATTGAGTTTGGGGGTGATGAATCATAAGGGGGTTCAAAAAATTTGGGGAGGGATTTTTTTTTTTTCCTTTTTTTTCTTTTAAAATTTTCCATTTTAAGTTGGTTATTTCTGATTTATATTTAAAAGCAAATAATAATGATATGGTAGGAGATACACACCAAACAGGATGTGTAAATTATTATATAAGTATTGTGGAATAGCAAGAAATTTTCAATTGCACAGTATTGCACAATAGCAAGAAATCTTCAATTGCACAGTATTGCGCAATAGCAAGAAATCTTCAATTGCACAGTATTGCGCAATAGCAAGAAACATCCAATAGCACAATATTGCGCAATAGCAAGAAATTGTCAATTGTACAGTATTGCGCAATAGCAAGAAATATTTAATTGCACAGTATTGTGCAAAAGAAGATACTTCGTATAAATTGCTTATTTCTTGATCAATTTCAATGGGGTTTTATTCTTGAATTCTTGGGGTTCTTTAATATGCTGAATCTAACCGTGTATTTAGTTTTTGGATTTTGGGCCCCGTTTTTAAATTGGTCCACATTGAGGTCCAAAGGGTCCAACATTAAACTTTGTTTGATTTCATCAAAAATTGAATTATTGGGGTTCTTTGATATGCCGAATCTAACCGTGTATTTAGATTCTTAATTTTTGGTTCCGTTTTCGAATTGGTCTACATTAAGGTCCAAAGGGTCCAAAATTAAACTTAGTTTGATTTTAACAAAAATTGAATTCTTAATGTTCTTTGATATGCTGAATCTAAACATGTATTTAGATTTTTGATTATGGGCCCAGTTTTCAAGTTGGTCCAAATCGGGGTCCAAAATTAAACTTTGTTTGATTTCAACAAAAATTGAATTATTGGGGTTCTTTGATAAGCTGAGTTTAACCATGTATTTAGATTTTTGATTTTTGGGCCCCGTTATCAACTTTGTCCACATTGAGGTCAAAAGGGTCCAAAATTAAACTTTGTTTGATTTCATCAAAAATTGAATTCTTGGGGTTCTTTGATATGCTGAATCTAACCATGTATTTAGATTTTGGATATTGGACCATAATAGGTGAATGTCCAATTTAAAATTTTTAAGTTCTTAGATCACATTCATTCTGTGTCAGAAACCTATGCTGTGTCAAATATTTAATCACAATCCAAATGCAAAGCTGTATCAAGCTTGAATGTTGTGTCCATACTTGCCCCAACTGTTCAGGGTTCGACCTCTGCGGTCGTATCAAGCTGCGCCCTGCGGAGCATTTTATTTTTAGTTGTAATCTCTGTCCTGCCTTTTTATTTTTCACTCTATTCGGTCCTGCCTTTTTTTTTTATTAGTTTATCCTGACTTTTTTTACATAAATTGTCATCCTGCCTTCTTTTTTTGCCAAGTTGCTCATCCTGCCTTTTTTTTTTTGCTCAAAGCTCCTGTCCCTTTTTTTTCAAATTTCATCCTAGCCCCCCCCCCCCCCCCCCCCATAAAAATCAAATGGTAGCTCCCTAAAAACAATTTACAAAAAACAAAATAGACAGCCCAATGATAACCACTGATTTACAGGCATATTAAGAATGTTGCAGGGTATAACATGTTTGTGAAAACTCATGTATGTTTCATGCTAAGTTTTACCTGGATAATTGGAAATATAAAAAAACATGTAATATTGTTTGTTGAGAGGGGGAACTTTTAGATGCATTGCACACTAACGATTTTTCATTCAAATAGAGTCTTCAGGCTAAAATATATATGTCTGTTTCCTGCTGCTCAACCTTTGTCCTACTCCAAAATATTTTCTTGTCATACATATCCTATTTCTACTGAATTGCTTAGACTAACCTGAAACAGAATTTACCGAAAGTTTTACAAATAACAAGCTTTTTAAGAGACTGTTATGAATTGTAAGCATATTTGACTGAACTATAAAAGCACAAAGAAAGGAAAGGTCTGTGTCCTTGTTTTAGGGATATTAGCAATTGAATATTTGACGGTAAATGATTCTCTCTAGATTTTTCATACATTTAACATAGCACCTTTTTCTGTAAAAAAATATGGGGAAATAGTGAACTAATTAATAACAAAGAAATCCAGAAAAATCTGATCTGACGTACACAATGCATCCAGAACTTGTTCATGCAATATTGAATCATTTACAATTTCCCATGTAAAGGATGTTCCTCAACCTTTGTCCTACTCCAAAATATTTTCTTGTCATTTGACGGAACTATAAAAGCACAAAGAAAGGAAAGGTCTTACTCCAAAATATTTTCTTGTCATACATATCCTATTTCTACTGAATTGCTTAGACTAACCTGAAACAGAATTTACCGAAAGTTTTACAAATAACAAGCTTTTTAAGAGACTGTTATGAATTGTAAGCATATTTGACTGAACTATAAAAGCACAAAGAAAGGAAAGGTCTGTGTCCTTGTTTTAGGGATATTAGCAATTGAATATTTGACGGTAAATGATTCTCTCTAGATTTTTCATACATTTAACATAGCACCTTTTTCTGTAAAAAAATATGGGGAAATAGTGAACTAATTAATAACAAAGAAATCCACAAAAATCTGATCTGACGTACACAATGCATCCAGAACTTGTTCATGCAATATTGAATCATTTACAATTTCCCATGTAAAGGATGTTCCTCAACCTTTGTCCTACTCCAAAATATTTTCTTGTCATTTGACGGAACTATAAAAGCACAAAGAAAGGAAAGGTCTGTGTCCTTGTTTTAGGGATATTAGCAATTGAATATTTGACGGTAAATGATTCTCTCTAGATTTTTCATACATTTAACATAGCACCTTTTTCTGTAAAAAAATATGGGGAAATAGTGAACTAATTAATAACAAAGAAATCCAGAAAAATCTGATCTGACGTACACAATGCATCCAGAACTTGTTCATGCAATATTGAATCATTTACAATTTCCCATGTAAAGGATGTTCCTCATCCTTTGTCCTACTCCAAAATATTTTCTTGTCATTTGACGGAACTATAAAAGCACAAAGAAAGGAAAGGTCTGTGTCCTTGTTTTAGGGATATTAGCAATTGAATATTTGACGGTAAATGATTCTCTCTAGATTTTTCATACATTTAACATAGCACCTTTTTCTGTAAAAAAATATGGGGAAATAGTGAACTAATTAATAACAAAGAAATCCAGAAAAATCTGATCTGAAATACTCCAAAATATTTTCTTGTCATACATATCCTATTTCTACTGAATTGCTCAGACTAACCTGAAACAGAATTTACCGAAAGTTTTACAAATTTTAAGAGACTGTTATGAATTGTAAGCAAATTTGACGGAACTATAAAAGCACAAAGAAAGGAAAGGTCTGTGTCCTTGTTTTAGGGATATTAGCAATTGAAAATTTGACGGTAAATGATACCTCTAGATTTTTCATACATTTAACATAGCACTTTTTTTCTTTAAAAAAATATGGGGAAAAAAACAAGGATTTAATAAGATTATCAAAAATATCTTTTTAAACTTTATGTAATTAAATTTTAAAAAGAAAAGAAGGGGTTAGGGGGAAAAAAATTTAATGGCACTACATGGATAAAACCAAACGATTCTGAATATTGGACAAAAAGTCAAAAATAAGAACAGCAAACATCTTTTACATGGGAAATTGCAAACGATTTAATATTGCATGAACAAGTTCTGGATGTATTGTGTACATCAGATCAGATTTTTGTGGATTTCTTTGTTATTAATTAGTTCACTTTCCAAGGTATGTCCACTCCATAGAATAGTTTTTATTACCTATTAATTTACTGATTATTAATTTACAGGTAATTGGGTTCCATTAGATGAATATTACTATGGAAAGATGGAAGGAGATCCAACGTATGAAGAGGAGAAAGGAGAATTCAGGTTTAAGGTTTGTATCCATGGTTTCAGTGGCAGATTTAATGCTGGTTTTAGAAATCACCATTTAAAGATTGAAATAAGGGATTTTATAGCTGAACATGAATCCAGAGAGATAAAATCTTTTGAAAATTTTATTATTGCAAAAATTACGAAGAGAGAGGTTTTGCAAAAAAAAAATTTGCATTTTCAATTTTAAAACCATTATTTGTTTGTAGCATTTCTTTAAATAGTAATGTTTAATCTCAAATTTCCAAATTCATAATATTTAAATTTTTGCCAGACAATTAGTCTGGTTTTAGTCATTTATTGCTGTTACTCATGGTTATTATTTATAAACTTTAACAGTTTATTGATTTTGAGCACTAGATAAATTTGCTAGAAAAAAAATCAGCCCTGAAGTTTCAAATGTTTGTGTTACTTTAAATGTGAATGTCTTAAGTATTGATAATAAGTGTCCGCTCTGAAACTAAAATCTAGAGTTATTCTGCAATCTAAGTAGTAAAAATTTGACAGATTTTGTTTTCAAGAATCTAAGCCTTGATCTCTATAGTCTAGTCAAAAAAGGCTTTCTTTGTAACCATGGTAAAATGCTACCACGATGTCTGAGTGGGAACATGGATTTTTTGGGTTAGGACATCTTTTACATACAGTTCTCAATTATATTGTATACTGTTTTGAATATATTTCTTTACTGAGGAGTTATTTTATGAAAAAAAATGTCACCAGATCTCTTGGAATTTTTTTTTTTTAATTAACCTTGTCAATAAAAAAAATATTGGAGTAGATATATATCAAGTACAAAGCAATCCTATAAGATTTTGAAAGCATATATTTCATATATTAACAGTGCTGGTATTGTAACAAGATGCTGTACAACAATGTCAAGGCCATGATGCATATCCAAGGTCACATTGACAGCAGTAAACAACAAAATATTGACCTCAGTGACCTTACACAATGTAAACACTGCTACAAACAGTTTGATACACCATTTGAAATGCAGACCCATGTGGACAAGGTTTGTAAATATCTTAACTTGTACTTAATTCCACAAATAACCTCTTGACCTTTTACCAAGTACACTATTTGAAATGCAGATTTGTATACCGTAGAAAGGCTTGTATAGTCCGCGGTTTTATTCTCCAAAATTGGACCTTCCAGACGGGGTGCGGACTATAGAGTACAATAAGCAAGAAATAAGAGAAAAATTTCAATTTCGCGGTCGAGGTGGTTTGTTTACGTTCCGCCATCTTTGTTATTTCTATTGTAGAGGGCGCTCTTATCATTTTTCAAACTAATAATTTTAACTCATCCATATTAATAAGTTATTTCTATTCAATATCAAATTAATACTGATAAATATAAAAACTAAACCTTTCATTACAAATTTCTCGTTTCTTTTCAATGCATTGGTTGAAATAAACTGGTATCTGCTCGATTGAAACGATGCAAACATAGTGAAAAAGACAACCGTAAACCAGCTTAGAATTTGTAAACTACAAAACGAAATCGGTTATTGTTCGTTCCGTTTTGGTGTTTCATACTGACTAATATGGTTTGTATTAGCTTAAGACCCTTCAAACATTAATGTGATAGATATATTAAAGACTGTTTTACAAAAGGATGGAACTGTTTTGCTTTCAAAGTCGTATTATAGTGATATCTGTTATGTACGGATTTCGACTCTCACCGGTTAATTTCTTCTTTTACACGTGCTTTTTAAACTTCCTGTTTAAACATACACAAGTTTCTAAATTGTTTTTTAAGTGAATTAAACTTATTTTAACAATCATGAAGCGTTCTAGAATCATTAACAAGCAGTTTCAGCTTCTGTTTGATGATGGAAAACAGGTTTTTCCAAGAAAATACCGCAAACGACCGCACAGGATTTGAAATTACCGGAGTTTCATTAGACCTTTTCTAACAGTTACAAAAAGTTTTTTTTCCTAAAATTTCGTGGGGAGAAGGGGGTGCGGACTATGTACCACTGCGAACTATACAAGCCTTTCTACGGTAAACAATTTAAAAATAAGAAGATGTGGCATGATTGCAAATGAGATTACTATCCATGAGCGACCAAATGACATCAATTTAACCCATGTAGGTTTGACGACATGGATACGGACATGTAATCTAGAGAATACAAGTATCAGCAAACACACAATGAACTATATATACAACCTCAGACAGGATTTTACCCATTTGATCTTTTAAAAAACCTAAACGACTTTTGAACTTTTAGTTCTCTTGAAAAATTAGTTTTGATCAATGGAAGTCAGTCTTTGGGTGATGATATACGAAGATGAAGATGAAGTGTTCATTTTTTCTCCTCATAAGAAAAGAAAAAAAATAATTTTATATTGGGCTTGCTTTTGTATTATTATGCCCCCGCCGTATTGGAGGGGCATTAAGTTTTACCCTTGTCTGTACATCTGTCTTTCCATACGTCCAAAAGTTGATTTCCGTTCTCTAACTTTAGTTTGCCTCAACCAAATGTTATGAAACTTATACACAATGCTTATTACCACAAAACACAGATCAAGTTTGAATTTTGGTGGTGTCACTTTTACTGTTCTAGAGTTATGCCCCTTTACAAAAGGAAAAATTGCTGAATTTTTGTTTCCGTTTTCTAACTTATGTTTGCCTCAACCAAATGTTATGAAACTTATACACAATACTTATTACTACAAAACTCAGACCAATAACAAATGTGGGTAGCGTCACTTTTACCGTTCCTCAGTTATGTCCCTTTATAACTTTATATGGTATGCAAGCAGGGGCATCATGTGTCCCATGGACACATTCCCCATATATTTACTAAGAATTAATTCTACAATTCAAATTAAATTTGTACCATTTTCTTAAAGTAACATGTTTGTGGCCTAATTAACACCTTTGGTGATCATTAATCTGTTGATCATTCGATCTGGTTAATCAGTGTTATCACTTCTGATTACATGTGTGCAACAATTAAAATGTTTACTTTGTAATTTCCTTCAATCGGGACAATTTGTAAGCATAGATGAATTAAAAAAAAAACTTATGATTAGTCTCAGGAATCTTTATTTCTGATGGCTTCAAATTCATCACTATGATTTTTTCAGAATACTAAAATCCACGAATTTATTAAAGAACCCATGAACATGTAGCTTTTGCTCAAACCACGAAAGTTGATACCCACAAATAAAAGTATTTTCACAGTATGTTGCAATCACCTTGTCTGGTTGTCCCTTGGTTGATCCTACAAGTATTTTTGTCACACTTTTTTTTTAGAAACTACTATTTCAAACAGCTCAACATTTAAGAGTTGTAATGGGTGTGCACTTTTCAGATTTGGCAAGACACTTATTCTTGTTTTCTGAAACTTTGATTTACGAGTGGGGGTATGCTTAGCATGACAATGATTGTATTCTTGTTTCTGTTTAATTGATGAGAAACAAATTATTAATTGATAAAATTTAAGATTCAGGAAGTAGTATACAAGAGTGAATGTTTATATATATATATATATATATATATATATATATATATAGACTTTGACCTTTTTTTTTTTTTTTTTTTTTGGTCATCATGTAATTTCACAAATACCTTTATCAAAATTATACAAAATAGCAAAAACAAATGCAGTTAATTAACATTTATTATTTTTAAATATTCAGGTACATATGAGCAACACAAATGTATTGTTGTGTAGGATATGTGATCGTGACCATGAATCTCGCCAGGCACTGACACAACACATGAGACAGAACCACAATGCTTGTGAGATGCCCTATACATGCCAGCTTTGTAAATTTAGATCATCTATGTACAGTGATGTTGTGGACCATTTTAAAAAGGTAGAAAATGAAGGTTTTGTAAACATCTGGCATCAGTACATGACACTGAATGTCTGATATTTAAGATTCTAGTTATTTCTGAGGAGGGTTTGTCCAAGTCAAAGATAATTTCAATTTTATACCCTAACTCCAAAGGAAGGGATCTGACTTTATGTGCGCTTGCTATTCCTTGTGAATTGCATAAGTGATTCTGCTTCTTTATGGGGGCTGTAAAGAAATCAAGCAACATTGATTTTCTTTTTGCTTGTTTACTTGTCATCTTAGATCAACATGTGTTGTCTCTCTGTGACCAAAGGGTGCTTTACTAATATGTAGAATGATCCTTTTTCAAAATGCACAAATGATCACATTAAAAACATTTCAGATATCTCGTTCCTTATCCATCTTCGTAACATTGTCAAGAATCTAAAAATATATTATAATGCGGACCTCGATGAGAACACAGTGCAAGCGAAGACAAAAGTTAATTCAATCAATAACAACTTGTTTTACAAAACGATAGCAGTTTTATCTATTTAATTTTTATTTGGAAACACAATTTTAACCGGCGATTTTCTTAATTTGAACCATTTGTACCATTATAAAATAAAAGGAGATGTGATGTTATACATCATAAAGGCAGGATACAAACACCACAATATTATTTTAGAGGTAAACGCGTCTCTATTTTTTTTAATGTAAAATTTCTTAAAGGGGAGATAACTGGTAAATAATTATGATTGACAACATAGAAACATTCTGATGAGGTTTCAAAATTTTAATGATTTACGGAAAAAACGAAATTGAAATAAACATTTTATTTAAAGTTTAGTCTTTATGAAATAATTCCTTCATACAGAATAACAATTATTATGCTCAATCTTGGAAATAATTAATATACATTGTTATGTCACATGGACAAGTTTTTCTAAATCTCTTTGCAGAACAAAGAACACACAATGTTAAATTAATACCATTCTCTGGAATCACAATTATTTATGGGTTATTAATTTTGGTATTTTTTGTGTTCAACAGCCTACAAATTTCATTACAGGTAGTATGCAGATTTCATGTGTGAATTTCTCATATTAATACACTGTCAAAATTTTATGTTTGGTTATATTTCTTCAAAATATTGGTCTGATCATCTGTTTTGTATATTGCCCTTTCATACTATTTTAAACTGCTAGGTTTTCTTACATATATTTCGATGTGCCCCGTGCTGTCTTCTATGTATTGTGTGCGATTTTGTCCCATGTACATTTACTCCATATCCTTTCATTTTCTATCTATTCAACACTACCATGTATCCACAAAAAAAACAATTTAATCAATTTACAATAATTGATTTCCGTGAAAATAAGGAAATCCTCTGTATTTGTTTTGCTGTTTAATATATTGAATTATTTTCTATTTCAGAAACATGATAGCTCCCAGCATTTGTTGTGTTTATACTGCCTTCGTGCTTTTCTTGTCAAATTTGTCTCCCAAGGTTGGGGCACCACTCAGACTTATTATGGACATTTGTTAAAACATCAGTCTAAGGCACAGACTAAAAAATGTGGTCTTTGTCGACTGGCATTCTTCAACTCTGCTGAGGTCAAGGCCCATAAACTGAAACATCATGGACCCAATCAGAAGGCAGTGTTAGGTATGTTAGAGAAAATATATGGGTCAAACTGAAAGACAATGTTAAACTATATATATGGGTATGTTAAAAAGAAGAAATCAATAAAATTTACCCTTACAGCGAAAGTACACAAAAAATGAAACATATATTGTAAAAAGGAACCATATATAATAGTGTATCATTGAACAAAATATAGAAATATACTGAATACAGTATACAGTAAATGATTAAATATTTACCATAATTATCAGAAATTGAATGTGCCATGTACACTTGATAGAATATAAATCATACTTTTTTGTTCATTATGGAAAACAAGATATTGTGTATTAATTTATGATAGAAAATCACTATGTGCACATAAAAAAAAAAGCAGCACCTTTCATGCATTTGAAATTAAGTTTGAAAAAGAGAAAGATAGAAGATGTTTGGGAAAGGTTTTCAATAAAGAGACAAAGAAAAGGTCAAGTTGGTAATAGAAAATTATTTAAGGAATGGTAATATTTTTTCTGTCTATCATGTCTATGAAGAAATAACATCAAAAATGTGGTACACACTGAATAACCTTTGTAGCAGGTTATTAAAAGTGTGCACCACATTTTGTAAGTTATTTCGAAAAGACAGAAAAGTTTTAACAGTCATTCCTTATAATTTAATTCTAAACTCCATTTTTACAGAGTAAATCATGAAAAAAATATTGATGACAAAATCATGTCTATGAGCTGATAGACAAAAAACGTTCAGCCAATCAGAAGACGTGTTACATCCCAAATTAAATTATTAAGGAATTAAGTTAATAATGGGCAATTAGTAGAGCAGTATTTGTTAGATTTCTTAAATAGATATAGTTGATAATTTGTTGATATTACCCTGCAGCTGTGTTCTTCTACAGTTGATAATTTGTTGATATTACCCTGCAGCTGTGTTCTTCTACAGTTGATAATTTGTTGATATTACCCTGCAGCTGTGTTCTTCAATACACAGTTTAGTAGGATCAACATTTAACAAAGAATTCTTCTCAATACTGTGTTAGAGGCTTAATGAACTTACTGTGAGGTCAGAGTTTTTATACGACCGCAAAAAAAATTTTGTGGTGGTATATTGGTATGACGTTGGCGTCGTCGTCGTCGTCCGGCGTCGTCGTCCAAAGACGCATTAGTTTTCGCACTCTAACTTTAGTTTAAGTGAATGGATCTCTGTGAAATTTTACCATAAGGTTCAATACCACAAAAGGAAGGTGGGGATTGATTTTGGGGGTTATGGTACCAACAGTTAAGGAATTAGGGACCAAAAAGGGGCCAAAAATAAGCATTTTCTAGTTTCCAGACAATAACTGTGGAACGGTGTATGGATCTCTCTGAAATTATACTACAAGTTTCCATACCACAAAGGGATGGTTAGGATTTGCTTTGGGGGGTTATGGCTCAAACCGTTTAAGAATTAGGGGCAAAAAAGGAGGAAAAACAAGGTTGTCCTGGTTAATGGACAAATACTTTAGTACAAAACATAATTTAAAGCAGTGTAAGGGAGATAAATCAAATACATCATTGAAATTATCTCCCTTACACTGCTTTTAAATTATGTATAAAGTAATGGTTAATGAACAATTAAGATAATTTAAAACAGTGTAAGGGAGGTAATCCAAATACAACGTTTTGGTTACTTCCCTTACACTGCTTTTAAATTATGTTTAAAGAAATGCATATTTATAAAGGCAGACCAGTAAAAATATCTGCAAATGTTGCATCTTTTTTTTTACAAAAAAATCCATATGAAAGATTTGACACTATATTTTAAATTCTATTATAAAATAGATTAAGTTAGCACTATGGTAAATTTAAATGGGTAATTATGGTTGCAAATTCCATTGGAAATTTGAATTGAGATTATGACCATATCTTGAGGGGAAAAAGGGGGGGGATAAAAAGAAATTGTGGGGGGTCAATTTTTTCTCATTTCAGATTTCAGAAATTAAAAAGAATTATTCTTCAAATATTATTTTTTTTTCAAATTTCAAATATTGAAAAATTTCTAGAAGTAATCTTTAATTGCACAGTATGGCGCATTAGATTTGTAAAATCTTTGACCACATATATTTATTTGTTATGCCGAATCTAACCGTGTATTTAGATTTTTAATTTTGGGTCCAGTTTTCAAATTGGTCTACATTAAGGTCCAAAGGGTCCAAAATTAAACTTTGTTTGATTTTAACAAAAATTGAATATATGGGGTTCTTTGATATGCTGAATCTAAACATGTATTTAGATTTTTGATTTTGGGCCCAGTTTTCAAGTTGGTCCAAATTGGGGTCCAAAATTAAACTTTGTTTGATTTCAACAAAAATTGAATATATGGGGTTCTTTGATATGCTGAATCTAACCATGTATTTAGATTTTTTATTTGTGGACCCCGCTATCAAATTGGTTCATATTGAGGTCAAAAGGGTCCAAAATTAAACTTTGTTTGATTTCATCAAAAATTGAATTATTGGGGTTCTTTGATATGCCAAATCTAACCGTGTATTTAGATTTTTAATTTTGGGTCCAGTTTTTTAAATTGGTCTACATTAAGGTCCAAAGGGTCCAAAATTAAACTTAGTTTGATTTTAACAAAAATTGAACTTTTTGGGTTCTTTGATATGCTGAATCTAAACATGTGTTTAGATTTTTGATTATGGGCCCAGTTTTTAAGTTGGTCAAAGTTGGGGTCCAAAATTAAACTTTGTTTGATTTCAACAAAAATTGAATATATGGGGTTCTTTGATATGCTGAATCTAAACATGTATTTAGATTTTAGATTTTTGGCCCAGTTTTCAAGTTGGTCCAAATTGGGGTCCAAAATTAAACTTTGTTTGATTTCAACAAAAATTGAATATATGGGGTTCTTTGATATGCTGAATCTTACCATGTATTTAGATTTTTTATTTGTGGGCCCGCTATCAAATTGGTTCATATTGAGGTCAAAAGGGTCCAAAATTAAACTTTGTTTGATTTCATCATAAATTGAATTATTGGGGTTCTTTGATATGCCAAATCTAACCGTGTTTTTAGATTTTTAATTTTGGGTCCCGTTTTTTAAATTGGTCTACATTAAGGTCCAAAGGGTCCAAAATTAAACTTAGTTTGATTTTAACAAAAATTGAATTCTTGGGGTACTTTGATATGCTGAATCTAAACATGTGTTTAGATTTTTGATTATGGGACCAGTTCTCAAGTTGGTCCAAGTGAGGGTCCATTATTAAACTTTGTTTGATTTCAACAAAAATTTAATATATGGGGTTCTTTGATATGCTGAATCTTACCATGTATTTTGATTTTGGACATTGTACCATGATAGGTAAATTAAAAAAATTGAAGTTCTTAGACCACATTCTTTCTGTGTCAGAAACCTATGCTGTGTCAAATATTTAATCACAATCCAAATTCAGAGCTGTATCAAGCTTGAATGTTGTGTCCATACTTGCCCCAACTGTTCAGGGTTCGACCTCTGCGGTCGTATCAAGCTGCGCCCAGCGAAGCATTTTATTTTTTTAGATGAAGAAAAGCATATTGTCAAAATCTATTTTGATTTCTGTAAATTCAGAATTTTGTGCATGTATTTATTACCGCAATTGTTGAACAATGTGCAAAAGTGTGAAATAATTTTTTGCAATTTCGGGTAATGCTGATTACAAGTAATGGTATCAACATTTTAAGCAATTTTATTGTTTCTAGGAACTTCAGCACACAGCATCTAACAAGACAAAGTTTTAATAAAACAAGTCTGTTTATTTCTAGGAACCTCAGCATGCAACAGCGAACAAGACCAAGTATTAATAAAACAAGTCTGTTTATTTCTAGGAACCTCAGCATGCAACAGCAAACAAGACCAAGTATTAATAAATCAAGTCTGTTTATTTCTAGGAACCTCAGCACACAGCATCAAACAAGACCAAGTATTAATAAAACAAGTCTCTTTCTTTCTAGGAACCTCAGCACATAGCAGCAAACAAGACCAAGTATTAATAAAACAAGTCTCTTTCTTTCTAGGAACCTCAGCACATAGCAGCAAACAAGACCAAGTATTAATAAAACAAGTCTCTTTCTTTCTAGGAACCTCAGCACATAGCAGCAAACAAGACCAAGTATTAATAAAAGTACCTTCATCATCACACAATCAACATGGAGTCAAATCTTTGAATGCACCGTCTGTCAGTAAAGTTTTGGACTTTGGAGGGACAACTTTTCCAGGAGAGGTCCATTATTTTAACTGCTTTGAGTGTAAAATGTCCATGGGAACACATGACCATTATAGGTAAGTCTTGGCCTTTGGAAGGATGACATTTCCCCATAGGAAGGCACTTTTTATTTTAACCTGACATGCATATATTTTTAATTCTTTACTTCCTATAATTGTTCAGGCTAACTTTCTAAAATAGTCACAAACCATCAAATTATAATAGACATGCCCTTGGACACCCCTGTACAATTAATTCTAGATCAGCTCTGACATTGTCTGGTATTTTAATGATAATTTTACATTTTCAATTATTCATTTGTAAAAAGCTTAATGTAATACCTCCCAAACATTTGGCTTAAGGATGTTCGCTAGTCTTATTTTTGACTTTTTGTCAGATATTTGAAATCCTCTAGTTTTATCCATGTTGTGCCATTTTAAAAATAAACTGACTTCTTACCCCACCTTTTCATTTCATAATTTTGTCATATAGTTTAAAAAAGGTATTTTTGTTAATCTTATAAAATCTTTGTTATTTTTTCTTAGTTTTAAAAGAAAAAAGGTGCTAATGTTAATTGTATCAAAAATCTATGTGAGACCCATTTCCCGCCAACTTTTCAATGGCTTTTATCTTAAAAACAAGAACACAGACCTTGCATTTGTTCTGCTTTTTTAGTTCCATTATATATATACTGTCAATTTGTAAGTCTTTTTAAAAGCTTGTTATTTTTGAAACAGAGTAGCGAACATCCTTTATAATAAGTTAGTGTGGAATCAATAATAATGGTTGGATACCAAATTTTATAGCAGATTTCGAGGGTGCAGCTATTAAAATCATGAATTTAAACATTTAAACAATTACACATTTTCTGTTGGCTTTTATGCAGACTATAACAAAACCATGAATTGAAATATGCATGAAAAATATAAATTTTCCTTAATCAATAAAAAAAATGTGTACCCACAAAAATACTGTGGATTCATTAATTTTCGTGGGTACCAATTTTCGTGGATTGAGGAAAACTAGCATTTTCGTGGATATTTGATTTCGTTGTTTTAACAAAGTCTGCATACATTTCTTCAGAAAAGTTGTAATTCGTTGAACATTTAAATTCGTGGTTCTCCTGTACCCACGAAATCAACGAAAATTGGCATCCAACGAATAATAATGAATCCACAATAGATGAATCGACAGAAATATGTTTGTGATTACATTACAGGAAGTATGTGGAGTGTTCAATGTGTCGGTTTGCTACCATCTGTAGTATAGCTTATGCTAATCACATGATGGGATTCCACTCAGGTCAAATGTCAAGTCTTAACCTCAACATTCCATGGGAACGAAGGATGCCCAAACCTATGTACTGTTTGTGTGGCTTCAGTAGTCGCTATGGCAACAAGATTGGTAAGATCAATATTTAAGGCAAAGGTTAAGTCTCAATCTGACATTTGATCAGAAAGAAATAGGCAAGTCCTATTTATCAATAGATTGTATGTGAAATCATTATTTTATCATTGCCATTACAGCTAATCAACAAACTTCTGTTCTAATCTAAGTTATTTTATTCTTTCTGTTCCAGCAAATCAACAAACTTCTGTTCTTATAATAGTTATTTTTATTTTGTCCTTGCTGTTACAGCTAATCAACCACTGTATGTCTTAATCCAAGTTATTTTATCCTTATGTCCTAATCTAATTGTCGCCTATTTCTGTTACAGCTAACCACCTTGTGTTCTGTATGAAGACTTCATGTTATGAGAATAGGCCAGAGCCTGGAACAGAGTGCTACAGAGAAGATGGTAATTCTGATATGTACTGAGAAAAACTGTAATCAATTAAAAGAAGATCAAATATTTCGATATATTATTATCAATTTATTTAAAAATTTACTGAATAAAAGCAGCACATTAAAAAATAAAGGTCTAACAGAAATGTTTATTATGGCTAAGGATTCCTCAGGGTGGACAACATATCTGGTCTGGTGTAAGCCCAGGGCCTGTATGCATAAAGCTACTCAAGTTAAGATTTGTTCCGAATGGACGGATTTTTCTACATGTCCAACGATAAATTCCTACTACGATTGGATTTCTTAACTTAAGTGGTTTTATGCATACGGGCCCAGGACTCTTACCAAACAACTCAAAAGTCAAACCCTATATTTTTTTAAAAAGCTTTGAACACTGGATCAAAAATATCTTTTCTTTTATACGACCGCAAAAAAAATTTGTGGTCGTATGATGTTGGCGTCGTTGTCGACCGAAGACACATTGGTTTTCGCACTCTAACTTTAGTTTAAGTGAATGGATCTCTATGAAATTTTACCATAAGGTTCAATATCACAAAAGGAAGGTGGGGATTGATTTTGGGGGTTATGGTACCAACAGTTAAGGAATTAGGGGCCAAAAAGGGGCCAAAAATAAGCATTTTTGTAACTTCCAGACATAACTTGTGTGTTAGTGTATGGATCTCTCTGACATTGTACCACAAGGTTCCATATCACAAAGGGAATGCTGGGATTGATTTTGGGGGTAATTGCCTCAAAATATTAGGAATTAGGGGCCAAAAGGGGCAAAAAACAAGCATTTTTCTAATTTCATGACAATAACTTGTGTGTAAGTGTATGAATCTTTATGAAATTGTACTACAAGGTTCCATATCACAAAGGGAAAGCTGGAATTGAGTTTGGGGGTAATTGCCCAGAATGTTTAGGAATAAGGGGCCAAAAATAAGCATTTTTCTCGTTTCCAGACAATAACTTGTTTTCAAGTGTATGGATCTCTCTGAAATTGTACTGCAAGGTACCATACCAGAAAGGGAAGGCTGGGATTAATTTTGGGGGTAATTCCCTCAAAATTTGAGGATTTAGGGGCCATAAAGGGGGCAAAAAAACAAGCATTTTTCTAGTTTCAGGACAATAACTTGTGTGTAAGTGTATGGATCTTTATGAAATTGTACTGCAAGGTTCCATATCACAAAGGGAAAGCTGGGTTTGAGATTGGGGGTAATTGCCCTAAACGTTTAGGAATAAGGGGCCAAAAAACAAGAATTTTTCTAGTTTCCAGACAATAACTTGTGTGTAAGTGTATGGATCTCTCTGAAATTGTACTGCAAGGTACCATACCACAAAGGGAAGGCTGGGATTGAGTTTGGTGGTGATGAATCATAAGGGGGTTCAAAAAATTTGGGGGGGGGGGGGGGGGATTTTTTTTTCCTTTTTATACGATCGCAAAAATTAAAACATTTTTGGTCGTATATTGGTATGACGTTGGCGTCGTCGTCGTCCGAAGACACATTGGTTTTCGCACTCTAACTTTAGTTTAAGTGAATGGATCTCCATGAAATTTAATCATAAGGTTCAATACCACGAAAGGAAGGTTGGGATTGATTTTGGGGGTTATGGTACCAACAGTTAAGGAATTAGGGGCCAAAAATAAGCATTTTTGTAACTTCCAGACAATAACTTGTGTGTAAGTGTATGGATCTCTCTGACATTGTACCACAAGGTTCCATATCACAAAGGGAAGGCTGTAATTGATTTTGGGGGTAAATGCCTCAAAATTGTAGGAATTAGGGGCCAAAAAAGGGGCAAAAAAACAAGCAGTTTTCTAGTTTCATGACAATTACTTGTGTGTAAGTGTTTGGATATTTCTGAAATTGTACTACAAGGTTCCATATCTCAAAGGGAAAGCTGGAATTGAGTTTGGGGGTAATTGCCCGAAACGTTTAGGAATTGGGGGCCAAAAAGGGGCCAAAAATAAGCATTTTTCTAGTTTCCAGACAATAACTTGTGTTCAAGTGTATGGATCTCTCTGAAATTGTACTGCAAGGTACCATACCACAAAGGGAAGGCTGGGATTGAGTTTGGGGGTGATGAATCATAAGGGGGTTCAAAAAATTTGGGGGGGGGATTTTTTTTTTTTCTTTTTTTTTCTTTTTTTCCCTTTTTTTTTTTCTTTTAAAATTTTCCATTTTAAGTTGGTTATTTCTGATTTATATTTAAAAGCAAATAATAATGATATGGTAGGAGATACACACCAAACAGGATGTGTAAATTATTATATTATAAGTATTGTGCAATAGCAAGAAATTTTCAATTGCACAGTATTGCACAATAGCAAGAAATCTTCAATTGCACAGTATTGCGCAATAGCAAGAAATCTTCAATTGCACAGTATTGCGCAATAGCAAGAAATATCCAATAGCACAATATTGCGCAATAGAAAGAAATTGTCAATTGTACAGTATTGCGCAATAGCAAGAAATATTCAATTGCACAGTATTGTGCAACAGAAGATACTTCGTATAAATTGCTTATTTCTTGATCAATTTCAATGGGGTTTTATTCTTGAATTCTTGGGGTTCTTTAATATGCTGAATCTAACTGTGTATTAAGTTTTTGGATTTTGGGCCCCGTTTTTAAATTGGTCCACATTGAGGTCCAAAGGGTCCAAAATTTAACTTTGTTTAATTTCATCAAAAATTGAATTATTGGGGTTCTTTGATATGCCGAATCTAACCATGTATTTAGATTCTTAATTTTTGGTTCCGTTTTCAAATTGGTCTACATTAAGGTCCAAAGGGTCCAAAATTAAACTTAGTTTGATTTTAACAAAAATTGAATTTTTAGGGTTCTTTGATATGCTGAATCTAAACATGTATTTAGATTTTTGATTATGGGCCCAGTTTTCAAGTTGGTCCAAATCGGGGTCCAAAATTAAACTTTGTTTGATTTCAACAAAAATTGAATATATGGGGTTCTTTGATATGCTGAATCTAACCATGTATTTAGATTTTTGATTTTTGGGCCCCGTTATCAAATTTGTCCACATTGAGGTCAAAAGGGTCCAAAATTAAACTTTGTTTGATTTCATCAAAAATTGAATTCTTGGGGTTCTTTGATATGCTGAATCTAACCATGTATTTAGATTTTGGATATTGGACCATAATAGGTGAATTTCCAATTTAAAATTTTTAAGTTCTTAGACCACATTCATTCTGTGTCAGAAAACTATGCTGTGTCAAATATTTAATCACAATCCAAATTCAGAGCTGTATCAAGCTTGAATGTTGTGTCCATACTTGCCCCAACTGTTCAGGGTTTGACCTCTGCGGTCGTATCAAGCTGCGCCCTGCGGAGCATTTTATTTCCATTTGAAATTGGTTATTTCTGATTTATATATAAAAGCAAATAATAATGATATGGTTTGAATAGGTAAATTAAAAAAAAAAAATTTAAGTTCTTAGACCACATTTATTCTGTGTCAGAAACCTATGCTGTGTCAAATATTTAATTACAATCCAAATTTAGTGCTGTATAAAGCTTGAATGTTGTGTCCATACTTGCCCCAACTGTTCAGGGTTCGACCTCTGCGCTCGTATCAAGCTGTGCCCCCGGAGCATTTTATTATTTAGGGCAAAGTATTTATTTGAAAAAGGTAACTTGTTGACACATTCCCTTTAAAAAAGCCAACAATAAGTAAATCTTGAAAAAATAAATGTTTATTAGTCCCCAAATGACGAAGTCGAAAGGGGACTTTAGGTTTGCAATCCGTCCGTCGGTCTGTCTGTCCATCCGTGAGTGCGGCAAATCAGTTTTCCACACTTTTTACTTCGTGCTTGAAGATATTGATTTGATATTTGGTGAATTGTTTTATCATGACAAGTTACAGATCAAGTTCGAGTTTTGTTCCGGTCTGATGATTTTGTGCAGAGTTATGGTCCTTGAACTTAGAAAATTCACTCAAATAATCAGTTTTCCACACGTTTTTTTGTCTTGCTTGAAGATATTGATTTGATAATTGGTATATAGTTTTATCATGACAAGTTACAGATCAAGTTCGAATTTTGTTCCGGTCTGATGATTTTGTGCAGAGTTATGGTCCTTGGACTTAGAAAATTCACTCAAATAATCAGTTTTTCTAAAAAAAAAATTGTCATGCTTGAAGATATTTCCTCTAGTTGTTATATAGTTTACTACGTGACAAGTTTTAGATCAAGATAGAATTTTTTCCAATACAATGAATTTTTAACCAGTAGGGAACTATGTATTGCCAAGCAATACTCACAGAATGCTTGTTATTTCTTGTAGAAGATAGACATGTATATATAATTGTGTTTAATTTATCTTTATAGAAGACGAAGACCCTCGCCATAAACCAGGAGCATCATTGCTGGATGCATTAGGTCTGGTGAAGAGAAGGACTATTACTCCTAGTAAGTTTTAAAGAAATAATGGAAAATAAGAAGATGTGGTATGATTGCCAATGACCAAATGATGTAGATAGAAGGAATTATAGATCACCTGTTAGTCACTTTACAATTACCTCTCTGTGTTTTATGATGAGTATACATATTGTGTCATGTTCTGAACCCTTGCAAATGCTAATAACTATCTTTTTATCTTTTTATTTGAAGTTTTGATCATTGTGGTTTTTCTCTTGCCTTGACAGAGTCAAAAAGCAAGACGTAGGTATGCTGTTTCCGGCGGCAGCATCAATAATGTATTAGTTTTTGATTAGGTTACTTTATGGGGAACCACTAGTGGTATGTAGATGTATTAGCATTGACACATCTCATTTCCATGGAGTAATTTGGCCCTGCCCCCTCAGTTATGGTCTATTGACTTTGAAATTTTTGCTTAGTTTACATGTACAGTTGATTCCGGTTATTTGCATAGCCTATTTGTCAGACAAAATTATGCAATAAAGCGGAGTATGCTTATATCCGAAATGCCAAATTACGGAGTCAAAAAACATCGATAGAACAGATGAGTAAAGGAAATCCCTGAAGAAAGATGAAAGTCTATAATCACTTACAACATATTGAATGTTGATTTATTCTAATAAAAGTTATATGTCTAGTGTCATACATGTTATTTTATTTTGTATTATTTCAATAAGATTATAAACACATTTTGTTTTAGTTTATTTGAGTACCGACGTTTCCTTTACCCGGGATACAAAACTAAAACAAATTGTTCTAAAAATAGATTTGTTTCTATGACCCGTATGTACAATGTACAGTGTTATGCTTTGATTAAAATAAACTGTTTAACAATACTACACAGTTTATAATCATTTTAACAATAGATGTGTAATGGACTGCCTTTGATATGCAGTATTTACAGCTTGCACAGTGATGTAACACTGTTTATTTAACCTCGTTAGTTTCGTATATGCAAAGCAGTAATGGGGCCCTGTACGGGTAATTTGCTGAACACAAGTGTTTAAAGTGAGAAAATATAATAATTAGAAGTAAATGCTCTTTTCATAAAATATTAAAAATAAATGATTGATGTATAACATTTTCTCGTTTCTCGTTTTTATATAGATTAGACTGTTGGTTTTTCCGTTTGAATGGTTTTACACTAGTAATTTTTTGGGGCCCTTTATAGCTTGCTGTTCGGTGTGAGCCAATGCTCCGTGTTGAAGGCCGTACCTTGACCTATAATGGTTTACTTTTATAAATTGTAACTTGGATGGAGAGTTGTCTCATTGGCAGTCATACCACATCTTCCTATATCTATTTAACCATATATAAATACCCTGTAATATTTAACATAAATGCAGATAACCAAGAGAGTTCACATTGGATAATGATCGATAATTAGCAGGGGTTATTGTTTTTAAAATTCACCCCAAATGTAATCTTTGGACAATGTTTGAAATCCAATCAACTATTAACACCTTTTGAGATAGAATGGTCAGTGTTTTTACAACAATTACCTGTTTGACATTTTTATGACCTCGAGGCTTAAAATAGAACATGGGAAACTTTACCTGTGTAGACATCGAGATTTATTTTTAAATCAAATTCCATCATATAAACACGAAAGAAACTGTTTTAAAACTTTATTTAAATAACACACAAAAGTAAATATGAAATAATAACGAAAATAATGATGCATTCAAGAAAAATATACTCACCAAATTGCCGTTTCCGGTCAAAAATCTCGACAGTTTTAACTAAGCATATCTAGATGGCGATTATTTTCTATGCAATAAACGGAAAGGCCACTTGTAGAGCTATGCATATAGTCGGACAATTTAACATTAGATGAATGGGAAATGGTTTTGTGCAGGAGAAAATGCAATTAACCAAATTATGCTATTAAGCGGTATGCAATTAAGTGGAGTCGACAGTATTAGTTTGTTATTAGGTCAGTTTATGGGGAATCACTAGTGATAGGTCAATGATATTTAGTATGCTGTTGTATTAGTTCTAGGATCTATTAACTTTGAAACTTTTGCTCAGTTAACATGTATTAGTTTGTGATAATGTCAGTTTATGAAGAACCACTAGTGGTAGGTCAATGATATTTGGTATGCAGTTTATTAACATTGGCACATCTCATTTCCATGAAGATTATTTGGCCCCTCCCCCTCAGTAATGGTCTATTGAATTTGAAACTTTTGCTTATTTTACATACATGTATTAGTTTGTGATTAGGTCACTGATGGGGAACCACTAGTGGTAGGTCGATAATTGGTATGCAGTTGTATTACAATTGGCACATCTCATTTCCATGGAGACTGTTTGACCCTGTACCTTCAGTCAATGTTCATTGACTTTGAATAACTTGCATGTAAAGGTATTGCTATTTTAATTTCAACATTTGCATTTTACTATCAAAATAACAAAAAGGCAAGACATACTGTAGAAACATTAATTTTCGTGGGGTTAAAATTTCGTGGTTTTGTCTCTATATAAAATTTCATGGGGATTTAATTTTGTGGTTTCCATTAAATGGAAGTGATATTATATGTAGGTTAAATTTTCGTGGGGTTTTAATTTCGTGGATATATTCTTTCCACGAAATAAACGAAATTAAATCCTCCACGAAAATTTCTGCTTTTACAGTATCTCTTGTGTTAACAGTTCATGATACTGACTTAATGAGATCTTTCATTTAAGGATGTTTGCTACTCTGTTTCAAAATTACAAGCTTTTTAAAAGACAGTTATAAATTGATACTATATAAATAATGGAACTAAAAAAGCAGAAAAAAATGAAGGGTCCGTGTGCTTCTTTTCGAGATATAAGCCATTGAAAATTTGGCGGGAAATAATTCTCTCTAGACTTTTCATAGATTTAACATTGGCACCTTTTTTCTTTCAAAAACGATGAAAAAATAACAAGGATTTTATAAGATTTTCAAAGATGATATTTTAAACTATATGTAATCAAATTATGGAAAGAAAAGTAGGGGTTAGTGGGCAAAACTTTTAATGGCACTACATGTATAAAAGCAGAGGATTCCGAATATCTGGCAAAAATTCAAGAACAAGAGGAGCGAACATCCTTAACAAGGATATGATAACAACCTTTGCTTTCTATTACTTTTGGAAATACTGTAGGCTTTTTTTTTTGTGGATTACATTTTTTTAGGATTGAGGAAACAATGTATTCTCATGGATACTAGATTTCATTGTTTTGACAAATTTTGCATATAAAACAATGGTAAATTTGAGTTTTGTTCAAAACTAAAATTTGTGATCCACGTAATTAATGAATATTGGTATGCCAAGAATACTACTGAATCTACAGTAGCAAGATATCAATTAGATTTCAGAATGAACAAAGATATGAGGTATATGGCAGTGAGATAGATACCCAGTACATAATACGTATTGGAGAATCTCTTGTCTGTTTTATAGTTGTGTAAAATTTCATACAAGATATATTTTAATAGACCAGATGTTTACACAGGTGTTAATTGAGCTTCCTCTATAATGCTTTACTTCCTTTTTATGCCCCACCTAGGGGCATTATATTTTTCGGTCTGTGCGTCCGTTCGTCCGTATGTCCCGCTTCAGGTTAAAGTTTTTGGTCAAGGTAGGTTTTGATGAAGTTGAAGTCCAATCAACTTGAAACTTAGTACACATGTTCCCTATGATATGATCTTTCTAATTTTAATGCCAAATTAGAGTTTTGACCCCAATTTCACGGTCCACTGAACATAGAAAATGATAGTGTGAGTGGGGCATCCATGTACTATGGACACATTCTTGTTTAAACAAGTGCTATATATTTGATTGACACATCCAGCTGTTCTTAATTGAACATGATAATGATTGTTACACTAACTGCTGAGAAGGGCCTACTTAAAAAGCTCTGAGCATCCTCAGAGCTTCCTCAAAAGAATAAATCGCCTATTCCTTAAGGATGTTCGCTTGTCATGTTTTGGAATTTTTGTCAGATTTTCTGAATCCTCTGGTTTTATCCATTTGAATGCCTTAAAAAATTTTGCCCACTAAACCCCATTTTTCTTTTTATAAATCTTGTATAGTATAATTATACGCCATCTGTAAAAGTCTTATAAAATCTTTGTTATTTTTTAATAGTTTTTGACAACTTAAACATGTCAATGATAAAGCTATGAAAAATCAAGAGAGAACATTTTCCCGCCAAAATTTCAATGGCTAATATCTCGAAAACAAGCACACAGACCTATCTATTTTTTTCGCTCTTTTGGTTCCTTTATTAATCCCATATCAATATATACTAGTGTTATTAAAAGCTTGTTATTTTGAAACTGAGTAGCGAACTTCCTTAAATTGCTAAAGCACAACATTTATCCCAAATAAACAACTGGAAGCACCATTTGACATACTCTGATTTTTTTTTTATCACCTTGTAATTGATAAACTGTATTTGTCTGTAGGATCTGGGGAAGGAGGTAAGATCAGAAGCTTCTTTGCATTTGTGTGAATGTGTTGTTATTAATAAATCATAGATGTTTAGCGCACTGATAGATGGGCCATCTCAAAACAGTTTTGTTTTACTCTTATCACCTTACTTCTTCTTCCAAATGGAAGTGTTAGACAGAAAGAAGTTTTTGATGCTACACAAACAAAAACTTGGAATTGTGTTAAATTTCAGTTTTATTTTGACAGATGAAAGCCACAAATTATGCATGTGAAATTATATTTATTCTGAAAAAAAAATTACAGTAATAAAGAATGAGATGGTGCCTGAAGCTTTGCTTTTGCTTGTATGATAATGTACATGTATGCACAACTTTTGATATTGTTTTGTGTAGCCAGCATGTTGAATACCTAAATTTTTGTTGTGCTTCTAAATTGTGTGCACAACTCTTTAGATATCAGCACATGTTTATGATGATTGGAAAATAAGTTGTTCAGGATATTCATGAAATATTTGCCACTGGATGTTTGGTGAATAACAATCAATCAATCACACACTCATCAAGGCCAGAAAGCACTTTTCTTCTTATTGTTCATCTTAAAGTCCTGGTGAGATCTTAAGAGTGGAGCAAAAACAAGATGGCCCTTAGCTCTATTTTTTCCTTAATGCTTTAAAGACAGACAGTGCTTGGTTATATCCATAACATCTTCTTAGCTATGTATGATTGAAGTTAAAATTATAGAAGCTGAAAATTTAACAACCATTTGTGTCAAAAAAATAAGTAGATATTAGCCTAGTTTAAAAAAAAAACTGTATTACAGTATTACTGTATTAAATTTTTCATGTTTTTTTTAAATTTTTATCTGTTAAACTTGCCATTTGTATTCCTATTAGAATTTGCTGTAATCAGAAATGATTGAATTTAGCATGCTTATTATTTATGAGCTGATAGTGTGGAATGTTAAAAGCTTGAGTTTGTTGTTGACTATTCTATAATACTTCAGTATTGCTTATATACATATGTACATTGGCATTGCAAAAGTGCAGCAAAGTGTTAACACAACATTCCAATTTAGGAACTTATTGGAAATTCCTGCACCTGTACCATTGAAATAGTCATGATTGTAGTGTTACCTTAATATTTTTTAAATTATTTAAAGAAATGCACACTTATGAGTTTGAATGTCCCTTTGATATCTTTCACCTCTTTTTTATATCCAGAGGGGTTGAAGGCATATGAACAATACAGATATATACACAATGCAAAAATTTCAACTTATTAAAACATCATATACTGGTAGTAAAAAAAAGTAATTATACGTATGTTGGGTGGCCACCTTCGTCAGTGCAAATGACTTTTTAATGAACGGAACAGTAAGCTGCATAATATTAAAATAACAATAAAAGTAATTGCAATCTATCTTTGTGGATTATTCCATAAATCCTTCATGAATATTATTTATATCTTGATAAAGCTGTTTCCTAAAGATTTATGAATTTCACATGTTAAGAAAAAATAGGTTTCATCTTCAACCTTATTAATATTTCAATATTTTTGCAAAATCTAAGATTTAATTTGAGTGGGCAAGAGCATGAAGAGTAGACTGTCCATGTTAGGCAGGTAGAAACAACACCTAAGCAGTAGTGTACTGGAACCTTTGAAAAATGAATGTTTATATGTATTTTGCAGTGTACCAAAAATCAGCTGAGACTTCACCTGTAGCAGACAGCTCCCCAAAACCAAGTCCATGGGATCCAGATTATGTACCACCAGAACTGCAGGGCTCACAGAAGTGGAAGACAGTCAAATTAAAGGACACTGTTACTCCTTCTAAACAATCAGTCTTTCTTGGGGTAACAAAATTTCTCCTTTTCAAATTCAGATTGAGCAAGATTTTTTTTTTTTTAATAAACAACAACATAAACAACCAGCGGTATATTCCAACTCACAAGTTGAAGACAAAGTGACAACACCATGGCAAAAACCTAAAAACAAGGTGAAGACAGTCTACAAAACAAAACATAGAATGCTTAAGACTGACCAACACAAACCCCTCAAAAATGCTTTGTGAAACGTGTGATCCAGAAGGGTAAGCAGATCCTGCTCCACATGTTGCAGCCGTCATGTTGCTCATATAAGTTAAAATTCTGTGAAAAGTCTCTCTCAGTAAAAATGAACAGTAAATCAACAATTAGATAAGATCAGTCCGTCCGTCTTTCCGTCCATCCAAAAAGTATTTTCACATATTATAAGCAAGCTTGAGCAGGGGCAATCCTGTCCTCAGACACCTTCTTCTTTTATTTAATTTTTATGCCCCCGCCGTAGCAGAGGGGGCATTAAGTTTTACCCTTGACCGTCTGTACATCTCAAAGTTGGTTTCCGTTCTCTAACTTAAGTTTGCATCAACCAAATGTTATGAAACTTATACACAATGCTTATTACCACATAATACAGATCAAGTTCGAAATTGGGTGGCATCACTTTTACCGTTCTTAAGTTATGCCCCTTTATAAACATAAATTGCTGAATATTTAGTTTCCGTTCTCTTTCTTTAGTTTGCATCAACCAAATGTTATGAAACTTATACACAATGCTTATTACCACATAATACAGATCAAGTTCGAAATTGGTATTAGTCACTTTTACTGTTCTTGAGTTATGCCCCTTTATAATCATAAAAATTGCTGAATTTTGTGTTTCTGTTCTCTAACTTAAGTTAGCCTCAACCAAATGTTATGAAATTATACACAATACATATTACCACAAAACTCAGATCAAGTACAAATTTGTGTAGCATCACTTCTACCGTCTTCAGTTATGTCCCTCCATAACATTATATAATATGCAAGCAGGGGTATCATCTGTGTCCCATGGACACATTCCTCCATTAATTTTTTTGGAAAACACATTTCATTATAGCGCCTAACAAGATTTTGTGAGGTAGACAAAATTGACTATAAAACGATCATATTGAATTTTGATGTCAAAAAAAAAGATCGGACATATATTGACTTTATTTACTGACTACTTTTGTTTGGGATTAATTGTAATTACAACATTATAATGAGACTGAAAAATGATTTTTTTGTTAAGATGAACAAGAATTTTCCTGAGGTAGCCGTGCGTAAAATGTATCTCGGCATTTGTCTTCGAAAAATGACTTGTGTAACGGAATGAAATGTCTGATTTCTACACTTTCTCTATTTTCTTTGGCTTAGGCTATTCAAAAATAATTTATCTACTCCATATGTGGAAAATTTTGTAAAAATATAAGAAGTGGCAATTCTTACCTTTTATACATTCAGTTTCATTGATAAAAAATAATATGGACTCGTCCAGTGTCCAGTTTGAAGGTCATTTAAGTTACTGTACACATTCATGCATGTTCTGATTTAATCGATACACGCGTATGAAAAAAATAAACAGTTTGAAAGAAAACAAATAATAATTTAATCCAATCAAATTGCGTAAGATTAAATAACAGTGACCGGTCCACATTATGATAAGTAGTAGGGGTAAACTTGGTAGGGAGAAAATGACAGATATTTTCAGTTCATGTTTTGCAATAACAAATAAAAATTTGTCAACCAAAAGTTTTGCTATAATTTCAAAAAACATGTCGTTCTGTATTGGTATAGTTTTTCGAAACTTTCATTTGCGTATTTAAAGCAATAGAAAGTTTGGGCTTCAAAAGTCTACATAATTATTGACTTTATACAGAAAACATGCCCTTTTAAAACATTTAATGTTTCACAAATAATACATGGATACAAATAAAAAAAAAATTTTCTTAAAACACTGCAAAAAAATTCATTCTGATTGGTATAGTGGTATTGTCATAAAGTGTGTTGAAATGAACCGTGGTATAGCAAACATCGAATTCCCTCACAAAATGTTATCACACACTATAATTAAAAACAATATATATTTATATATTTATATATAACATCCATATACACTAATTGAAATTATACAAATTTCATGACAAATTTATTTTAATCCTTTCAGATGTCCAAGTCAAAAGGCAATTGTAAGAAAACCTTTGAAATGGATATAAAAAATTCAGAGGAAGCTGGAACTTCTCACAAGGGAGATACATCAGATGAAATTGAAGAGAAGCTTTTAGCTGACAATGGAACAGACAGTGGAGATAAATTGGAAAATAGTGAAAATCAAAGAACTGAAAGTACTAAAAACAATGCTGAAGCTGAAAGAAAAGAAAATGAACTGCTTGATTTTGACAATGAAAATGACCGTGCTGAAAGTGGTGATGAAAATAAAATCAATGAAATTATAGATGCTTTAGATGAAGATGAATTGTTACAAGATGAAAATGAACAAGTTAGTGACAAAAATATGACATTAGTAAAGGAAAGTGATACTGATAAAGTAGATGAAACAAATCTGAATGAAAGTTGCAATGAAAATGAAGATTTAGCAAATAATTCTGGTGATGTGAAAAGTACCAATGATAATTTAGAATCAAGTTCTGATAGTGTAAAAAGTCCTACAAACAATTTAGATGACAAAGAAAAAAATGTCAATTTGGAAGGAAATGAGAAAGACAATGAAAACATTGATTCTGAAAAACAAGCAGCAGCAGATGAGAATAGTGAAGTTGCAGAAGAATTTTCATCAGAAGATAAATTGGATGGAACTGAATCTAATGAAGAAGTGGACAATTCAAAAATTGAAGATGATTCAGAAAAACAATTAAAAGATGAATCCATTCTGGAAAAGGATGAAATTGTTAAGGAATCTTCATCAGAAAGCAAAGTAGATGAAAACAATGTAAATAAAAATGTAGACAAAACTGAATCAGAAAAAGATATCAGTGAAAAAGTGAATATAGAAGAATCTACAAGTCAAGACATTGAAATGAAAGATGAATCATCCTCACAAAATAAAATAGATAAAAATGAATCAGAAAACAAAGAAGTGATTCACAGTGAATCAGAAAATAAAGAAGTGATTCATCGTGAATCGGAAAATAAAGAAGTGGTTCATAGTGAATTAGAACAAAAAGAAGTGATTTGTAGTGAATCAGAAAATAAAAAAGTGATTCAAAGTGAATCAGAGCAAACGGAGGAATCACGACAGGAAACAGCAGATGAAACAAAAACTGTTGAAAATGAAAGCCAAGAACCTCATTCAAGTCATAAATTGTCTGAAACAGGAAGTGAAAATAAGGGAGATAATGCTAGAACAAAAGAAACTAAAAGTTCTCCAAATGTTGAAGAATCAAAGGTAAGAGTTAGTCCCTTCAAAAATGAAAGATATATTTGTTTTTACTATTTTAACTTCAACTTTTCTATACATGGTGCATTGTCATTTTGTATTGGAATTGTATTGTATCACACAAAAATGACAAAATCCTCTTGAATGTACATGAAATAATTGCCACTGGATGTTTAGCAAGCAACAATCAATCAATCTGACACACATACATTTATGAATTCCTCAGAATTAGGGTATGGTAGTGTAGATGCTTGAATATGCATCTTGTCTAGTAATTAGGCTAAAAGGGTTGGTAGGTTGGGATTTTTTTTTCCAATTCACAATCTGTTTATTAATTACCCATCAGTTTTAATTACATGTTATGTACCTTTCAGACATCACACCATCAATCTGATGATAAAAGATACCATGGCAGCAGGTCACATGACCATAGATCAGATAGTCACAGATCACATGACAACAGAAGGTCACATGATGACAGGCGGTCATATGATGACAGACGGTCACATGATCGACAATACCATGACGACAGATCATACCACCACCAGGGAAGATATGATGATAGAAATAGACACAGACATCAAGATGATCGGTATGACCATTTAAAATAGAATCAAATTAGAAACGCCATTTCTTTTCTGTCATCATTAAAACTAAATAATAATGCATTGAAACATTGAATTAAGCTTCTGGATTCAATATCTTAAATTTTAAAAAACATCTATGCTTGGGTTGAGTTGGCAAATGTGGGTAGATGGATACAAATCTCATGAAAACTAGAAAGTCAGCTGTGTTTCTTTCAGTGATTGAGATATTGGCTATAGCTATCACTATATCTTTGTTTGTCCATCTCTAGAAGATGAATTAGTTCATTTATACCAAATAAACTAGTTCTCAGACATAATGTTTTAGAATTTAACGTGCTGTTTAAATTTAAAAAAACAAAAGACACTCAGAGAGGTTGCAATTTCATACGATGTATCAACAGTGAAATAATTTTTTCTGCACAATCATTACTTTTAACATATTTATACAGTTAAACTGTTTCTTTAAAAGTATGAAAAAGAAGATGTGGTATGATTGCCAATGCGACAACTCTCCACAAGAGACCAAATGACACAGAAATTAACATCTATAGGTCACCATACAGCCTTCCACAATGAGCAAAGCCCATACTACATAGTCAGCTATAAAAGGCCCAGAAATGACAAATGTAAAACAATTCAAACGAGAAAACTAACGGCCTGATTTATGTACAAAATAATGAACAAAAACAAATATGTAACACAGCAACAAACGACAACCACTGAATTACAGGCTCCTGACTTGGGACAGGCACATACATAATAGAAAAGAAATACCTGTTATTTTTATTGTAACCTTTCTGTAACTTTTGTTCTTGCATGGTTTTATGAGAATAAACTATCTATCTTTCTATCTTGTGATTTCTTCAACTTTGTTTGACAGCAATGTAAATGCCTGTATTTTTATCCCATCATTTCATCATGTTTTTCATATTACCGGTAAACAGCTATTTACAGAAGATTTATGTTCTTTTTTTACCTAGGGGTTATGATCGTGGGTATCATGACAACAGAGGCTATAATGATCAACGGGACAACAGAGATCATTATCGAGATGACAGACGACACCACAACAGAGGTCATTATCAAGGTCGTGGTGGATATGGAAGTGGGGGTTACCATGGTTATAGATGAACTATGTTTCAAACATTTAGTTGAGCTTGAAGATCGGTATCAAAGTTATGGTGCTTTTTGTTACCATGGCAGCTAACATACAATATCAGCTTTATAGAATTTACATTTTGATGATATGTAAAATATGCAGATCCTTGAATGGCTGTAGATGGCTGCTTTCTATGATTTTATATATCACTGCTGTTCCTGGATAAAAATAAGGGGAGACAATTTTACAAAATACCCATAATGCAGTTTAATTGTATATTTTGTGAAGTCTGATCCTTTATATATCAGCTATGCATGATATTTCAGAACAAAATGATCATAAATATGTCATGTATGTTTTTTTGAGTTTGTTAGAGTGACTGAATGACATTTGAACGATGTTTAATCATATCAGTCGAGAGGGCAAACACTGGAGTAATGATTTGGTGTATATTGACTTTTATCCCACATCTCAGTTATTTCTCACCTGTAGAAGATTTCAGGTTGTAAATAAGCAGTGAATTGCAAGAATTATTTTACCCCGCCTATGAAAGTACGGGGGAATTATGTTTTAGGGCGTGTCTGTCTGTCAGTCTCTTACCAGGTTAAGTTTTGAGTTAATGTAATATCATGTAAATGTGGTCATACAAACTTGAATCTTAGTACAACATGATGTGAATTTTTTAAGACATATGCCAAAAAAGGTTTGAACCCATTTTTTTGTGGTTCACTGAACATATAAATGTGAGATGTGAAAGCAGGTCCATATTCTTGTTTCATTTATGTTCATGTAAATTAGGAAACCGATATATGAATTAGGTTGTCAGAAGTTGTACTTAGAGACAGGAAAATCAAATTGTACTCCTTAAAATAATGATATCTTGTAATTTTTCTGCTCCATTAACCAGATATGTACAATGCTCTTTACAAATGTCATTGGAGGTTGTAAATTTTAAGATAATATAGCCACAACTAGTCCAGGGCCTTCAAGGAATAAAACAGCTGTAGTCTCTTTGAAGGTTCTTTAAATTCTGTTAGTTAATATTTCCATTTTATATTACGGCCTCAGGTCAATTTCTATGTAATAGTTGCTTTCAGATATTTCAGAAGTTATATTAAACAAAATATGAAGTTGATTTGTGTCCCCTTTTTTTAAGATTATGAATGATTCCATTTGAATATAAAATTTATTTTTGATTAGAAATTTGTAAATGTCAAAACCATGAAAATTTTTAAGCCATTAAATTTACATGTTTAAAGTATTTGACTTAGTTGTGGATGCTAAGCAATAGTGTCTGTTTTTTGTAATATTGTTAGAGATATTTTAATTTTTCATTTTGTCATTCATTATCTGTTTTGTGCATATCTTTTTTATCATGTAAATTGTATAAGAAAATTAAAGATACAAACGAATATTTATGTGGTGTTTTTTTTTTTATTTCACCTGTGTGACTGAAACAAGGATGCTAATCTGGTAGCAATGGGGAAAACTATTTGCATGAAGCTAAAAAGAACTGAATATTTAGGAGTGGACCTATATTGCAATCGCCTTGTCTGCATCCATCCCTCCAACAAAATGTTTTGTCACATTTTTCTCAGAAACTACTTATCAGACCTCTTTCATATTTGGTCATCAGTTGTGTAGTGATAAGCTGTAAGGTTTGATTGACTTAAGGGTGAATCACGGATGTGCTGTCGTATACAACCATATAAAAGTGAATCAAGGATGTGTAGTCTTATAGTTCCACATGAAAGTGAATCAAGGGTGTGCAGTTGTATAGAACACATGAAAGTGAATCAAGGGCATGCAGTCATATAGAACACATGAAAGTGAATCAAGGATGTGCAGTCGTATAGAACCACACCACAGTGAATCAAGGTTGTGCAGTCATAAAGAACACATAAAAGTGAATCAAGGGTGTCAGGGCTTTCAATAACTTTTCAATGAACAAGCTGTTTACCAATTTGAAGTGGCTGACCAAAAAGGGAGTGTCAGGGGGGCTTGCCCCCCAAAATTTTTTTTGACCTTACATTGAAAATGGTGCACTCTGAGGCATTTTCAAACTATTTACAAGTGCATTAAAAATGGGGTTTCATAGGAATGTTATCTTTTTATACGACCGCAAAAATTAAAAATTTTTTGGTCGTATATTGGTATGACGTTGGCGTCGTCGTCGTCGTTGTCGTCGTCATAGTCGTCGTCCGAAGACACATTGGTTTTCGCACTCTAACTTTAGTTTAAGTGAATGGATCTCCGTGAAATTTTACCATAAGGTTCAATACCACAAAAGGAAGGTTGGGATTGATTTTGGGGGTTATGGTACCAACAGTTAAGGAATTAGGGGCCAAAAATAAGCATTTTTGTAACTTCCAGACATAACTTGTGTGTTAGTGTATGGATCTCTCTGACATTGTACCACAAGGTTTCATATCACAAAGGGAATGCTGGGATTGATTTTGGGGGTAATTGCCTCAAAATTTTAGGAATTAGGGGCCAAAAAAGGGGCAAAAAACAAGCATTTTTCTAGTTTCATGATAATAACTTGTGTGTAAGTGTATGGATCTTTCTGAAATTGAACTACAAGGTTCCATATCACAAAGGGAAAGCTGGAATTGAGTTTGGGGGTAATTGCCCAAAACGTTTAGGAATAAGGGGCCAAAAAGGGGCCAAAAATAGCATTTTTCTAGTTTCCAGACAATTACTTGTGTTCAAGTGTATGGATCTCTCTGAAATTGTACTGCAAGGTACCATACCAAAAAGGGAAGGCTGGGATTGATATTGGGGGTAATTGCCTCAAAATTTTAGGAATTGGGGGCCAAAAAGGGAAAAAAAGCAAGCATTTTTCTAGTTTCAGGACAATAACTTGTGTTCAAGTGTATGGATCTCTCTGAAATTGTACTGCAAGGTTCCATACCACAAAGGGAAGGCTGGGATTGAGTTTGGGGGTGATGAATCATAAGGGGTTTCAAAAAATTTGGGGGAGGGGATTTTTTTTTTTTCATTTCTTTTCTTTTTTTCCTTTTTTTTTTCTTTTAAAATTTTCCATTTTAAGTTGGTTATTTCTGATTTATATTTAAAAGCAAATAATAATGATATGGTAGGAGATACACACCAAACAGGATGTGTAAATTATTATATAATAAGTATTGTGCAATAGGAAGAAATTTTCAATTGCACAGTATTGCACAATAGACAGAAATCTTCCATTGCACAGTATTGCACAATAGCAAGAAATCTTCAATTGCACAGTATTGCGCAATAGCAAGAAATATCCAATAGCACAATATTGCGCAATAGCAAGAAATTGTCAATTGTACAGTATTGCGCAGTAGCAAGAAATATTCAATTGCACAGTATTGTGCAAAAGAGGATACTTCGTATAAATTGCTTATTTCTTGACCAATTTCAATGGGGTTTTATTCTTGAATTCTTGGGGTTCTTTAATGTGCTGAATCTAACCGTGTATTAAGTTTTTGGATTTTGGGCCCCGTTTTTAAATTGGTCCACATTGAGGTCCAAAGGGTCCAAAATTAAACTTTGTTTGATTTCATCAAAAATTGAATTATTGGGGTTCTTTGATATGCCGAATCTAACCGTGTATTTAGATTCTTAATTTTTGGTTCCGTTTTCAAATTGGTCTACATTAAGGTCCAAAGGGTCCAAAATTAAACTTTGTTTGATTTCATCAAAAATTGAATTCTTGGGGTTCTTTGATATGCTGAATCTAACCATGTATTTAGATTTTTGATTATGGGCCCAGTTTTCAAGTTGGTCCAAATCGGGGTCCAAAATTAAACTTTGTTTGATTTCAACAAAAATTGAATATATGGGGTTCTTTGATATGCTGAATCTAACCATGTATTTAGATTTTTGATTTTTGGGCCCCGTTATCAACTTTGTCCACATTGAGGTCAAAAGGGTCCTAAATTAAACTTTGTTTGATTTCATCAAAAATTGAATTCTTGGGGTTCTTTGATATGCTGAATCTAACCATGTATTTAGATTTTGGATATTGGACCATAAAAGGTGAATGTCCAATTTAAAATTTTTAAGTTCTTAGACCACATTCATTCTGTGTCAGTAACCTATGCTGTGTCAAATATTTAATCACAATCCAAATTCAGAGCTGTATCAAGCTTGAATGTTGTGTCCATACTTGCCCCAACTGTTCAGGGTTCGACCTCTGCGGTCGTATCAAGCTGCGCCCTGCGGAGCATTTTATATTTAGCTTGTAAGGCCAATCTTGTGATATTGCGTATTAAAATAAGACAAATAAAAATATATCAAAACTAATCTTAATTGTTATTGTATTGCCAGATTTTGCAAAAAGTAAGAAAGTATTGGAGGGTCAGCATAAACTAGTAATACCAAGACTCCGTGTTGAAGTGAATCAAGGATGTGCAGTCGTATAGAACCACACCACAGTGAATCAAGGTTGTGCAGTCATATAGAACGCATAAAAGTGAATCAAGGATGTGCAGTTATATAGAACACATGAAAGTGAATCAAGGCAACAAGTCATAAATTTCGTGAATCAAGGGTGTGCAGTCTTATAGAACACATGAAAGTGAATCAATGGTGTGAAAACGTATAGAACCACATGGAAGTGAATCAATGGTGTGCAGTCGTATAGAACCACATGCAAGTGAATCAATGGTCTGCAGTCGTATAGAACCACATGCAAGTGAATCAAGGGTGTGAAGTCGTATAGAACCACATGCAATTGAATCAATGATGAAGTCATATAGAACCACATGAAAGTGAAACAGGAAGTGCAGTCTTATAGTACCACATGAAAGTGAATCAAGGGTGTGCAGTCGTATAGAACCACACGAGAGTAAATCAAGGGTGTGCTTTGGTATAGAACCACATGAAATACGTGATTCAATGGTGTGCAGTCATTTACAACCACATGAAAGTGAATCAAGGATGTGCTGTCTTCTAGAACCACATGAAAGTGAATCAAGGATGTGCTGTCTTATAGAACCACATGAGTGAATCAAGGATGTGCTGTCATATAGAACCACATGAAAGTGAATAAAGGGTACACAGTCTAATAGAACCACATGAAAGTGAATAAAGGATGCACAGTCTTATAAAACCACATGAAAAAGAATCAAGGATGTGCAGTCGAATAGAAACACATGAAAGTAAATAAAGGGTTGCAGTAGTATAAAACTACATAAAGAACCACATGAAAGTGAATCAAGGGTGTTCAGTCGTATAGTACCAAATGAAAGTGGATCAAGGGTGTTCACTCCTATAGTACCAAATGAAAGTGAATCAAGGGTGTGCAGTCGTATAGAAACTAATGAAAGTGAATCAAGGGTGTGCAGTTGTACAAAAAACCACATGAAAGTGAATTCTGGGTGTGCGGTCGTAGAGAACCACATGAAACTGAATCAAGGGTGTGTAGTAGTATATTACCACATGGAGTGAATTCTGGGTGTGCAGTCGTAGGGGGCAGGCGTATAAAACAACATGAAATTGATTTTAAGGTGTGCAGTGATATAGTACCAAATAACATTGAATTAAGGGTGTGCTGTCGTATACAACCACATGAAAGTGAATCAAGGGTGTGCAGCCGTATAGAACCACATGAAAGTGAATCAAGGGTGTGCATCCGTAAAGAACCACATGAAAGTGAATCAAGGATGTGCAGTCGTATAGAACCACATGAAAGTGAATCAATGGTGTGTAGAGGTATATAACCACATGAAAGTGAATCAATGGTGTGCAGTCGTATAGTAACACATGAAAGTGAATCAATGGTGTTCAGTCGTATAGTAACACATGAAAGTGAATCAAGGGTGTACAGTCGTATAGAACCACATATAAAATGAATCAAACCATATAAAGGTGAATCATGCATTCTTCCAAAAAAAAAATGTCACATTTTTCTCAGAAACTACTTATCAAACCTTCTTCATATTTGGTAACCAGTTGTACAGTGATAAGCTGTAAGGTTTGATTGACTTAAGGGTGAATCACGGATTTGCTGTCGTATACAACCACATAAAAGTGAATCAAGTCTGTACATTCGAAAAGAACAACATGAAAGTGAATCAAGGGTGAGCAGCCGTATAGAACCACACAAAAATGAACCAAGTGTGTGCATTCAAAAGGAACAACATGAAAGTGAACCAAGGGTGTGCAATCGTAAAGAACCACCAGAAAGTGGATCAAGGGTGTGCATTCTTAATAAACAACATGAAAGTGAATCAAGGGTTTGCAGTCTCATAAAACCACATTAAAGTGAATCAAGGGTGTACAGTCGTATAGAACCACATGAAAGTGAATAAAGGGTGTGCAGTCGTATAGAACCACATAAAATACGGGAATCTATGGTGTGCAGTCGTATAGTACCACATGAAAGTGAACCAAGGGTGTGCAGTCGTATAGAACCACATGCAA